TCAGGTTCAAAGTAGTCTCTGCTTAATTACTTAGTCGTTGGGCGGAGCCAAAAAGCAGTTGATTCAGTCTTATATTTTCTACTTCCAGGCGATGTTCTGGTATTGGCAGGGTGAATGCGCCCGCGTTGGCTGGACATAAAAATCTTGCATAAAAGTTTGATCTCAAAGGCTAGCATCCGACGTGAACCTGAGAAAGACGAGGCCTTCGGATTACGAATAACGAGGCTCAACTAGTTAACTCGCCTGTGCGACGTGGGGCCACCATTTTGAAGACTGAGTACCACCTGCGCGGTGCCGCCGTCCCCCCACCCAAAAGTCAGAAGGTAAGAATTTTAACCGTTTCGATTGTACAGACGTTTTCCTAAGAGATGGAAGCACATCGAGACAGTTTTGAGGACATGTGTATGTGTTGAGACAGCAGACAGTGAAGGAATTTTTGCTTTCATTTTCGACTAAGCAAAGATATGGCACGGACGGGTCGGGTTTTCTAAGTGAGTTGGGGACTTAAGGGTTTTCCTTCTTCACCATTTCTAGATTGACACTCTGAAGGCCACTGCGTCTGTTTAGACCGCAGCACACATCCAACATTTCACGTTTCAATTTGAGGGAGAGATAGCTAACAACGATGGCTTCTGGAGGAGCTGTAAGTATACTTGTAGAAGGTTATGTTTGAGATACTTTTTGATGTTTGGATGTGCTGTAGCAGCATAACCCAAGATTAGTATTATGGGTGGATTACATCTCCTTAACTGCGAATGAGAACAAGTGAGGACCGTAGTCTCATAATCAAAGAAATACGCCATCCGTAAAGGTAAGCATCATTTTTTTTATTCCAACATGTAATCACCATACGTGGTGACGGCACACTCAAGTTTTTTTCAACTTATATTAATGCCGCCACCAACACAGGAGACAAATACATGACAGGACAATACTCATTTTCACCTGAACGAAGTGAGGAAAGTCGTGTTCAGTGCCTTTCCCAAGGGCACAAGGTCGGTGGCATGTTAGGACTCGAACCCGGGACCTCTCGACTCCGAGTCGCCCACTCTGCCACTACGCCACACGACCCCAAGTATCATTTAAGATATGGGTGTAAATTGGCGATTATTTAATCTCCTTCAGGCATCATCATCTGGACCACACAATGGCGGAGGTGTGTGGATCTTTGTAGATGATTCCAACATTTGGATTGAGGCAAAGAAGCTGGCTGCGCGTCTGAGCGGCATTGAGACGGAGGAGGACCCACGCGTCAGAGTCGACATTGGTGAGCTGGAGACTGTTGTCCGGGCCGGGCGTCCCGTCATCAAGGGCACTCTATACGGCTCTAAGCCTCCACCTCAAGACTCGGTCAAGGCCAAGATCGACAGCAAAGAATGGGAGGTCATCAAACACAAGAGGAGCGAAATAACGGGGAAAGAGAAGAAAGTTGACACTCAGATTGTTGCTGACATCGTGGAGCTAGTGTGTGACAAGGACAATCTCCAGAAAGGCAACACAGTCATTATCATCACTGGAGATGCCGACATTATGCCGGCTGTGGAGAAGGTATTGGCCAGACCACAATGGAATGTGGAGGTAAAGATGTGGAAGGGTGGCTTGGCAGGAGACTTTAAAGTCAGAGCAAGCGAAATGCCAGGCCACATGATCACAGCTACACTTGATTATTATTTTGATAAGATAGCATTTATCAACTACCGTTTTAACGTTAATAAAAGTACTGATTTCAATTTACTTTGTAAAACTGCCGTCGTGCTGGTCAACCCACAATGGCAAGTGGTTGATGATCTACGGCAGTGGAGGAAGAAAATGGATGAGGAATGCCGGTATCCCTTCTGGTACCACGGAGCTTCTCTACCAAGTACTAATGACAAGCTAGTAGTTGTGGTATTTTACATCTGGCCGCTCGACAGTAACGTGCTAGTAGACTTACTAGCAAAAATCCAGCACAGTCCTGATCTAAAACTTAACGCGCAAGAAACGCTGCTTTTCTCTGCGTTTAGAGATGACATTGAATATGACGACAGTTTGGGGAATGAAGGCGATTTTGAGGAGCCATGGCCATTTATGGTGAACCAATGCCAATACAAATTCAACTGCATGCATGGTCTCGACTGTAACTATGCACACTCTGATGCTGAAATGCAATTCTTCAGTGAAGCGCAACAGATCAGAGGGGAGTTTCCTCAAGGTTATAAGACTACGATGTGCTACTACTATGCCAAGGAGGGCATATGCGCCAATGGAGACGGATGCGACTTCGCACATGGAGATGCTGATGCCATCTGTGTCGACTGTCACGGAATAGGACACTTCAAGGAAGACTGCCCAGAGAAAGCAGGTTGAATCCGTGAACATTATCAAAGAGAGATGGTCTGTCTACAAGGTAGCTGGGGTATCCTGACCCGTAAGGTTGGGTAACCCCCGGGGAGCCTTGGCCTGCCATCTAACAATCATGGACAGATCTAGAACTACACCCACCAGAGAACGATACAAATTATCCAAGGACCCCTAAACACCTCTTAGCATCAACATGGTGTCCAGCACTGGCTACCGCCCAGGAGAGGCACCACCACCGCGCGCACCACTTGTTCCAGTAATAAACTGACTCTTACCAAATGTAGAACGGAGCGGTACAAACAGAGTAGCGTCCCATGTACGATCTATCTCTTGAACAGTCATTGTTTGCCTTAGACACAGTATGTCAAAGACTTTATGAATAATGATGTGGATATTTGTGTTAATGCCTGTGTAAATAAATGTGTAACGAGTTTGGATGTACAACTGGGCGTAATTCAGCCGTTGGCTTCAAAGTCCACGTTTTTATGAATTGGATTGATTAAAAAACATTTGATTGATGTCCAGGCGACGAAAATACTCCAACTTGGATTTGGACTATGCAATAGTTACTGAAGTAATCATCTCAACTCTCAAGTCTTGAACCTGACTGTTACTGTATCAAGTAATTGGTGTCAGTGTGATGGTTAGCTGTGTGATTTGAATTTTATAAACATTCAGTAACTGTCTAGATGAGTTTGAGGTGCCTTGATGTGTATTTTGTATTCGTGGACTTTTATATGCTACATATTTTCATGTGTGACCAACTGTAGTATCTGTATTTGACACACATACTAGTATTGTACCTGTGTTAGCTTACAATACAGTCAACCAATCTATTCTTAGCATCTGTATATGTGTGGCTGTGTATATTGTCAACATTTTTCTCTTGTGAAGATCAGCAATGGCTGTTCCAGGAATGTAGTGTGGACGGCATCATTTACTGTGCTTTACTATACATAACGTTAGTTCTAGATTTTTGCTGTGGAGTAACAAGATATCAAGATGTACCTTCCCAATAACTAGATTCAGGTATCATTTGTAAGCATCTATGTTTGGTGGTATGTAATTAACTACATATACTCGGTTGTTAAGCATTGTCTGTGGAATAGTCATTATACATCATGTCGGGATATTCTAGAGAGCTTAGATGTATGAGGCATTTTATTCGATTAAAATTTTGATGCTTTGCTGAAGGATTTCTGGTATCTTTATTATCTAGAAAGAAAGGAAGAATCTATATAGTGGGTACTTGTTCAATTACAGTGAAAAGAATATTTGAGGCATCCAATTCATTACAGCTTTACATGAAGGTACTTTTTTTATTGATGTCGATTAAAGACTTTCCAAAGGTACTAAATACTGCTAAGAATACTTAGTACCAGCTTTCTTGTAACTGTGAAACTCAGGTCGCAATGTTAGGCAACCTTACACGTTACATGATCCGGACGTTTGGCCTGTTGCACAGGTGTATCTATAAACAATTAATATCCTGTTCAATCAACATGACTATGCACACAAGATATTTTCTTCACACCTTTTGGACATACAGTATTCCCTTACATTTGCCAAACTATTTAAATTTCTTCGCCTATAGTACATAGTTTAAGTAGCAAAAGCTATCAGAAAAAGGTATTAGACATATGAAAATGCCGTATGCTACAATATATATATGCATCGCTTTTTCATATTACAAATTGCTTACTTCTACGTACCGTAAGTTCTGCGCATACGTAAACAAAAAGCAAGGAGGTTTGATCTAATGGCCAAGTCTAGATCTGCTTTTTTGTATCATGTTGGATAGTCCGTGTCTGGATGAGGACTGAATTTCACAAACAAAGCCTTCAATACACCAATTCTCCAGTGTAATCAATACTCTACACTTCCTTCAGAGCACGCTTTGGAATATTTTTTTTTTATTTATTCCAACATTTAATCACCAGACGTGGTGACGACACACTCAAGTTTCTTCAACTTATATTAATGCCGCCACCAACACAGGGGACAAATACATGACAGACCCATTTACTAAGAGAGGAAAGTCGTGTGAAGTGCCTTTCCCAAGGGCACCAGATCGGGATATTTGGAATATTGCCATCAACTTTTGCTGGTGTATGATCATCATCTACTGCAAACATAAATTCGAGATACAGTCATGGTATAAGGAGTCTAAGGCAACCGTCAGTTCTACGACAAAATAAACATTGATCTTGGAGGCCGTTATACTGGAAAATATCAAAAGCTACTTGTCTACAAAACATTAAATATTACCACTCCACCAGTTTAAAAAATTAGGTTTGTTGTCTAATGTTTGAAACCACATATTCATATGCTCCATAGTTTTCAAACGAAACCATGTCAATACCATGCTTCTCTACCCGTAACAAGTGTGTGTACAGTCAGTACTAGTGTAAATTACCCCTTATATACATATTAATGTAAAAACCTTAAATTCGACAGCATTAATGCATTATGGCAACAGTTCCAACGGTATGGCCCATCGATCTACAACGTGAAAACAAAACGGGGTTAGGCCACACTGATTTTATCATGTTATGCTGAGGTCACATTTCCAATCCCGTCCGGGTTTGGAAATGTGACGAAAAGCGAAAAGTACGATAGAAAAGTTGAAAAAAAAATTAAAATGGGAACTATTTGCGTATACTATTGATATAAAACATCGATTTTTCGTTAATCGAAACAGCCCTGCCAGTTTGTAACAGCCCAGTTTGTTTAACCTTTTTGACCACTTACATTTTCTAATGAAGGCAACTTTTTTTGCCCAACTTTTTTTCTTCTTTCGAACGCTCACGACAGTTTTGGGGTGCATCTAACGTTATACAAACATATCAGTGAGGCCTTAGGATATACAATTTAGATCTCCGTTTCAAATGGAGTCCGCGTGGCGGACTGATCCTGCCGTAGAAGGTCGGTGTGGTCGCTGGTGGTGTGCGGCTTGGTGTCCGTGGTGTAGATGGGAACACGGTTGGACGGGGCGGTTGGGACGTCGGTAGAACCATCTGTACGGGAAAAAGAAATCATCGTTCAAAATCTTCAAACACTTGTCAAAGGTCTTTGAATTTGAACGTCACCAAAACCCAAAACACTTTCTCTGTGAACTTGACAGTCACTGTATTTACCCAAGGAAAACATGTGGTTTTTGCTATGTTTTCTCTCCTTCTCCAAACCAGTAAACTCAATGACCTGAACCAGACGTCTGTCACCATGGCAACTAGTCGTGGGTTACATCATGCTGCAATTTTATAGCAGGAGGGATTTAGGCTGTTGTCACCATATATATGCATTTGTTTGAGTAAGATTGAACAGAGCAGACCAATTGTGAAGGTAAACATTATGCATTTGCTTTGCATATGTTACCTTTCTTGTTAGAAAAAAAATTATCCGGGAAATCTGAAATTTCTGATTGTTGTTATAGATAGAGGCAAGTGAGAAACCTACCTCTCTGATTCAGGCTAGGTTGCATTGCCTGTGCCAGTAGCGGCTCCTCCTCTCGAGCTTGCCGCCGGGAATCCATACTGCCTGGGAATACAGGCGCAGTCCTTCCCAAGGGCGGTACAGGCACAACCTGCAGCTGTGGTGGGTTGTTGGGTAGTCCACGGGGAGGCTGGATCTGTACCTGGTGCTGGAGTGGGCTTAAGCTTTGAAGCCTCCACAACTTCCGTATCTGCAAGTTATGTTATAAATGAAAATGATTTTTTTCCTCTTAATTTTTTATAAGCTCGGTCCTTCTTTCTTATGTGAACACGGGAAGATGATTTGCGGAAATGAAACAAAATCATAAGTGACTCAGAATCTACTTCTGATCTTTGGTTAAAATGTATTTTGGTTCACAGCAAATAAAAGTAACCAACCACTGCCTACCTCCCTTTGCTGTTGATGGACAACGAAGGCCAATATCACTGTGATGCAGAGATTAACAGAGACCCCGGCCACTGTCCCATACCTCCAGAAGATGGACTCTTCTGCATCAAAATGAATATAGATATTTCAAGCTTCATATGAGATCAGTTGGTCAAAAACGTTGCATTACATACTTGACAAACTATGCTAAACGTGACTATGCGTGATGAGAGGAATGTGAATGTGCCACGTGTCTCGCCAGTATCGCAAAATACTGCAAGTAATCTCGCTAATTTGAACTGACGTTCAGCGAATAATTTAGAAGACCACAAGAACGCGGTTTTGTTCAGAGACTGTCTCTCTAAGTTGGTTCTTCGGGTGAGGACGATTGGTAAAACAGTTTTGCCTTCCTGGACCTTCTGTCAACTGTTCCAGCACATATATGTTGTGAAGTCGCCAGACCTGTTTGTTGTGTTCTGGTCTGAACGTAATCCATATGTGCACTAACCTTGTTTGTTGTGTTGTGTTGTGTTGTGTTGTGTTGTGTTGTGTTGTGTTCTGGTCTGAACGTAATCCATGTGTGTAAACTGCACTAACCTTGTTTGTCTTCCTCGTGATGTCGGTTCAGCTCCTGTGTTGGTGTCACTGGATGAATCGTTGTTCCAGGAGAGGTCGTCGGCTCATTTTCGTCGTCACCATGAAGAGATATCACCACTGCTGTGGGGGGTTGGTAGGCTGGGGACGGAAAGAAATTATACTTTATGATGATGATAAAAAATTGGTCAATTAATTGCCCGAAGTTGCCTCAAAAACATCAATAAAGATAATTTATTCAAATTATGAATTCATTTGCATAATGTATGAGGAAGTGCTAGAATAGCATTTTTTGTTAAGATAAGGCTGTCATCGGGTGAAGAATATGATCAACTGATGTAATCATGCAAATGAGGCTCTTATTTGCAAAATCAATGATTAAAATTGTATAATTCGTCAACCGGAAGGGTTAACTTCATTTGGCGAAGGTATTAGATCGTGGAACTCTTGTTTATAGTGTGCGGCGGCACGTACGTTCTGCGAGCTCTAAGTTAATGACATTCTTCACAGCAAAACGATCAGTGTCCTCTCGATCACTGTACATTTTCTTATAATAGGGATCCGCCAAGTTGGTAGACCAAAGAGCCCCGTGATATCTAAACAAGGAAGATGGTCAGGGGTTTTTCTGAACAGGGGAACAAGGGCGCTGCGCCCTCATGTAACAAACCAGCGCCCTCATATCAATTTTCAGATTGAAGCCTAAGTCTTTTTCAAAATCATCTTTTTCCAGTAAAAATACAAAAACAACACCACATAACAATACATTCTAGCATTACAAACTATGTTACTCTCATAAAAATTCCAAAATCTTACCACAAACTTGAAAATTTAGCTCTAGTAGTAAAAGTTTGAATGGAATAAACAATGTTCATTGAGAACTTGCTCAAGACATGTAGCTAGACCTCCTTCATTTGCATACTATAGAACAGGCTCTGAAGTGAAACATGAGACCTGAGTTTGTAGCAGCTTGGATGAATGTGTTGCAATTGTGCCATGGGATTAAAGGTTTCAGCTTGTGGCAAACCCAATGTTGTCATCTGGAGCTACTAGTAACATTGATCACTAATTGTGTAAGTGTATAAAGGGTGATTTGCAGATTGTGTGTGTACTGTTGATTGTACTTGAAATATGCAATGCATGAATAGAAATTTGGGAAAGGTATACTGAGGTTAAGAGTTCAAATTTCCCCCCTCAAGTAGCCTCAAAATGTCCCATTTCAACTTCAAATTTTCAAAGGCTTCACATGCTGGAAGGGGGAGTACCCCCTTCCACACCAACCCCACCTCGGTCGCTTCGCTCCCTCGCCATGATACTGCTCCCTCATGCCAAATTTTTCTAGAAAAACCCCTGATGGTCCTTTCAGGCAAAAATACGCGATTTGGCGACTTGGAGAATTCGGTTATCTTCGGGCGATCAACAAATTCCGCCGAAATTTGACAGTGTGTAGGCCCTGAAGGATTGAAAAACAGACATATTGGGGCACCGACCCTGTTGCAAAGTCGACAGTTTCCATGGGCGGAGCAAAAAGGGGAAGTTAGGCATCAGGTACGCCTATGGTGTCACGTAACGCGGCACCTGTTTGCCACAGCTTGGAGAGCTGCCAACGTTCTTTTGTTCCCATATTGACATAGCAACAACACGTCCCGGCAGTCACACATATTAACACAAACAAAATATAACCAAATTCATTAGGTGCGTGATGGTGTTGAGGATGATGTTTCAATTATCAAGGAATTCAAAATGTTCTACAACCCAATCGCTATTTCAAATTACAGGCGCCTTGGAAAACTTAATGGTGTCTTACGAGAACTTCTTAAACGTTGCACCAGTTTAGACTTGCCCATGTTTATCATTACCGTATCTCTGTGTGACTTGGTCCAGCACGTCAGCAGAACAGAATCCTGTATTGTGTATAGCACCTAGGTATAATGTCTCATATTAGGTCGTATTCGCGTATAGAAGGCTTTTAACATCCCGTTTGTAGTTTCCAAATGTTATGTATAGTCTGCAACAGGCAGAATTCTGATGCAGCGTTGACTAAACATCCAACGAAAACCGTGAAAAATCCGAGTTTTACGCGGGCGCAGTACGTTTTGCCGACGTGCTACTTGGCCCTAGCCTGATCGCGTGACCAAAATGAGCCGCCAACGTGATCAAAGTATCACGAGTTCACCCTATTTGTCTAGGGCGTTGTTTTGCATACCTCAAACGATCAGTGACAAGATTGTTATTGACGTTAGGCTAAAGATCAATGACAGACATGCGTACTGCACATATCGGCTGGAAAGTACCCACCGCCCTTCTACCCTTCCTGTATTTCCGGTCCACCCCTCTGCAGATGAGTGGTATAACCCGTTAGTCACTTCCGGTTAAAGATGACGTCAACAGGTGGTAAATTAAAGGACGACCTAAAGGACGAACTTTCATGACCTTTTAAAGGTATGGATTTTCGGTTAACTGGCCCAAACGTGTACGAAACATATACTTTTTACATGTTGGCAAGGAGGCTAATTCCCTTTTTTACCCCCCTGAATTTGATAAATACTAGGTGTTTTATAAACATGATCTAGCACACATGTATGTTCTACACAAAAGAGAAAAATTCCCTCAGGTATTCAGTAATCGTCTGCCAGCCAGCTTGTTTCAGCCTGCAAAAGCACAAAGCTACCAAAAGTAGCGGTGTTTGGGCGTAAACCACTCAGTAGAAAGGGCGAGCGTCGTTGCCATGGCAATAACTATGTTGTATGTCATCGCCCTTTTTTCTGCACATGTACACGATGGATCGCACAAAAGCGCAGCTACAAGGCCATGCCTCTTATTCTAAGGAATTTAAAATTCTCTTTTATCTTATGCTAAGGAATCTAAAGTTCTCTTATTCTAAAGAATGTAAAGTTATGTACACCTACCAGGACAAAGCTCGCTGCACTGCCCAAGCGTGTCCCTTTGAGGATGACAGAGGTCCTTACACGCCTCACAGTGGTGTGTGGCGCGGCTGTAGTACTCGTCCGACCTACATTCCAGCCTGTGCCTCACCGAACGAGACAGCACTGCTGGAATGACACACAAAAGGCAGACGACGCTTCCGAAGTTGCTGTGGGCTTGCATGATCAAATTGTTGCGGTCAACGTATCACGACGACCCTTCCGACAACGGCGTTATAGTAAATAATGCAGTGGGGGAATTCCACCCAAGAAGTTATTGCATGAGTTGCGCAGTAGAGCACACGTTGAAGGGAAGTACCAGTTACTACGTTGAGCACACAGTGCTTTCCACCCTTTTATACTGTGTTTTGTAATGGGATCCCCCTTTTGAGTAACCCTTCCGATGCTGGATTACTAAACATTATTCCCCCTTCCCATCTAACCCTTCGCGACTGGATTACGAATGGGATTCCCCCTCCCAATCAACCCTTCGCGACTGGATTACGAAATGGAATTCCCCCTTCCCAGGTTCCCTCACCCAGTCTCTGCGAGCCAATCAGCAAAGAACACCTTCACAAGCAGGACACTATTGTTTACTATTGGGTTACTTATAAACAGTTTTCGCTGCAAGTGACAGGTGACTTTCTCAGTCAGCTACATTTGTAAGTGTAACGCTATGCCTACGACAACATGATTAAGATTCAACCGGGAAATACTAGAGTATATGTGATCCAGTATTTGCTGAAAGAGTGTACACAGACTAGACTCCATTCTACGAAGGCCCACAACGACTCTTCCACACACCTCTTCTGAATGTCATGGAATAAAGTAGCCATTGTGAAACTAGGGTCGCACAGTTAGGCAACCATACGCATTGCTTGTTGTAAATTTTTCCTCGGTCCATTTCGGCACAATTCAACGAGGTTTGATTTATGGTTTTGTTTTGTTTGTTTATTTGCACAACAGCAATAAAAATTATACATAATACAATAATAATAAATAAAACGTGCAGGAGGAGGGGAAAAGCTTATTATGTATGTAATGTATGTAAGTCCCATAACCGTGAGCGGTCGTAGGGGCATCATGGCAGCCAGCAGCATGTCTGGACTTGCCACGATGTTTCAGTAGGCTTATAATCTTGGCGGCGCCTATCTCCTCTCCAAGATTTTGGCTGGTACAGACGGGGTTCGCCAGGCCTCCGTCCGGGTGAATGATGTAAATCACCATGTGGCTTATACAAGACGGAGGTCGCCAGGCCTCCGCCCAGGTGATTTGAAGTGAATCACCAACTGGGTACAGTAGTGTTTGTACCATCGCACACCGGGGCACGCCCCTACTCTTTGCGAAAGGTGTGGTGGGATCTTTAACGTGCTCGAGGTGTGGCTCTCCTCAAACACGGGACCTCCAGTTTACGTCCTATCCGAGGGACGTCCCTAACCGAAGCTAGGTACTCATTTACACCTGAGTGAAGTGAGGAAAGTCGTGTAAAGTGCCTTTCCCAAGGGCACAAGATCGGTGCACAAGGTGGGGTTCGAACCCGCAACCTCTGGGGTGTGAGCCGAACGCGCTACCGACTGCGCCACACGACCCCACAAAAGCTTATTACCTCCATGAAAAATGGAGGTATTGTTTTTGGCGTGTCCGTCTGTCTGTATGTATGTATGTATGTCTGTCTGTGTTTCCGCAACTTTGTGGTCAGCATAACTTCAGAACGCCTATATGGATTGTGATGATATTTGGTATGATGGTAAGTCTTAGAAAGACAAAGGTCAAGGTCAAGCATGGGCCTCCTGGTGGATGACCTTGGTACTGCAGCAGAACTTCCGGTTTTTGTATCTTTTGTCCTGAACAAGCTATGGTCTTGACTTTTTGGTGACAGATAGCTTATCCTGTCAGGAATAAGTGGGGTAAGTTTGGTCGCTCTAGCAGCTTGTTCTGGAACTGCAGGTTAGTTTCTGTTAAAAACTTTCAAAGCTAATAAGTCCAGATTGGAACAACATATTTTCATCATTTTTGGTGTGTAGGTACCTGAGTGACAGTTGTTCATGATTAAATGCAAATTATGCAAATGAGGTCACCATTTGCATAATTGAGTGAGTGAGTGAGTGAGTGAGTGTGTGTGTGTGTGTGTGCGTGCGAGTGAGTGAGTGAGTGAGTGAGTGAGTGAGTGAGTGAGTGAGTGAGTGAGTGAGTGAGTGAGTGTGCAGTGAAGTCATTGAAACCAGCACCATAAAATTCCCCGTCGCGCACTAATTCGCCTGAGCGGACGGCAACACTCCCAGCACCGAAAAAACACCGTGGAGCTCCCGACGGTCTGGTCTACCAGGCTATAGTTGTACCTACGTGAGAAGATAACGCATTCCTGCAAATACATGACCATTAATAGACCCTATCTGGCATTCATTCATGCAGGTGTTCAAAAGAACTGAAGACTTAAACACAACCATACTCAATTAGTGCTTTCAAAACAAGTATTTTATTTAGAACAGGAGAACGAACACTAAGTAAAACAATCGGTCGACTTCGGCATAACGACGCATATATACTATTGCAATAACACTGGCTCCACTGCTGACACAACATAAGTCCTTACCCTACTCTCCAAGCAGAGGTTTGGGCTTTTACTTGTTTTTTATGCATTTTCGGCCTTTTTATCAGACTTTCTGTTTTGTACTGGTATTTTTTTTTTTGTCGCTAGTCAAATGTAAACTGCCTGGCACATGGATACTGCCTGGCCATTTTTCTTATTCATCAAAACATGAAAACATTACAATGATAGTGTGACGCTGCATTCAAGTGTATAACTTATATTAACGGCGCCACACAACAAAAAAGTGCGATTAACATTTAAATACCCAAAGTTGACATATCTGTGCGCCGTAGTCCCACCACCCCAAGACACTAAAAGTGTTGATGCTAACAAAGTTATTTGAAAAATAATATCAAATTGCCTGGCCAATTTGGTAGTATCTTACAGCCACCAAAAGATCTGCTTGGAGATTACTGAAATGTCAACACTGACATGCCCAGGCAGGGCTGAACGGAGCCATTGTCTTTGACAGAATGATTGACATGTTGTTAACGTAATCGTGCCGAACGTGTTGAGGCAAGCGGAGGTAAGATAAAGTTCACTCCAAAGTCCGAGGGCGGCAACCGAGCAAATCTTTGGCGGAACAATGTCTGACTTAGCTGAATCCATATAAAAACACTGCATGAGGTTCAAAGATGGAAGACGATACATGTAGGTGGAATGTATATCATATGCGTGAGAAAGACAAATACCAAGCACAGCCTTGTCATTTTGAAAGGATTATTATTGGGCAGCGATTATCTTTAACATTAACATATTAAAAACAAGTACACGAATAAAGACGTTGAACGTTTGAAGTCATCAATTAAGTATGCTCATTGTCTATCTTCATAACATGACATGATCATTTCTTTCTTTTTACCAAATTTACAGAAGCACGATATTACAGATGAATTTGTGCATGCGTCATATACATATACTTTGTATTTTTCTAGTAAACATCCATTGTTATATCTTACATGATTAACCCTCAAACACCCGAACGGGGTCCATTTGGACCCCAGGCGTATATTTTTATGTGCTATTTGAAATTTTTTCATTCTAAAAAAAATTCCTCCCGTCACTTTGTCGATAATTCTCCTAAATTTTTTTGGAGATGGGCACAAATTTGTAAAAATAACAACCGAAGTCTTATGTAAGACCAGGACCCCATGTATTTGCACTTTCCTACACACAAAATTGTTCGGATGTCCTCAATTTGTCTTCAAGGAAGCATTATTGCTTTAATATTATGCAGTTTGCCAAGTAACCTCAACCTCAAGAATTATTTCATCAGGTTTTCAGAGGTTTGACAATTTGACAATCATATGAGGTCAAAGGTCAACCCCATGTTCATGCCTGCAGGCCTCATCCTATTTTTGCATAAATTATGATAATGAGCTGGACATTTCTTTAACACTTAATCATGCCAAAATATACCTCTTACTATGTTTAACCAATATATGTGCAAAGATCACTGAAAGAATGCAAAAAGGAATATAAATTTGAAAGAAACCAAATGGGTCCATTTGGACCCCGTTCGGGCATTAACGTCACAAAAAAAGTTCGGGTGTTTGAGGGTTAATATGCAATATTATCCATAATAGTTTCATTTACCAGATCTCAAAAACATAAAGAGCAAACTTTTCATACACACATTTCTACGTTTGCAATCAGTGTCATCCCTTACATAATTATACAACATCGTCCAAAATAATTTCATTTGCCAAAAATATACAGAGTAAAGACCTTGAATGAAGCAGCATAGCCATAGGCTTGGTTATAACTCTAGTACTTACTTGCAAAGCATATAGCTACCAATACATTGTCCTCAAAGATATACTATCAATAATACTACTCAGAAAATACAAGAGGAAGTAACACTGTTCGACTATCATATACTGCGTTCATTATTAATAAAGCAAGCTTTCAAACTACTAGCTAATTCTATCACCAACTGGATGCAACATAAGCAACTCTCCCCATACACATCTAGATCTACAAGCTACTTGTTTATACAATCCTTACCCCTAGCTGCTAGCCTACACACGTCAATACACATTTACCAAAGCGTACAAAAGAGGAACTCAACATTATTATTGAAGTGCTTCAGTTTCGGTGGGCGGGGCTAAAAAGAGGAACTTGGCGGTATAAGTTCCGCTTTCTGGTATCATACCATAGCCGTATACTGATTTTATTCCATGGATGACATCATCTGGGCACCTCTAAATTGGTGCGAGTGTGCAAAAAAAGTCGCCTTCACTATAAAAAAAAACATCTAAGTGGCCTGGAAGGTTGGCAAATACTAGTAGCTGAACACACAGAGCACGGTTTACTTTTAAAAATAAATTCTTTATATTTGTTCATTCACTTTGTTCTTTGGCTTTAGCTATATATAGAAGACGGGGTGATTATCATATGGCTTGTGAGTTGCTATAACAACCGAAATTAGCCAACTAAACTGAATAGTATCTAGTATTCCAAAGGAGTCAGCCGGCCAGAGGAGTACGATTTCCAACTCCCATAGCCAGCTAACTCTGGTATACTACTCGGTCTATTTTACAAATTTGTATTGTCTTCTATTTGGCAAATTTCCAGCGATCTGGGCATCCTGGTAGATGGTCTAATACAAAACGGCAGTATTCGAGAGACTTCTGTATCGCCAGGGCCTTTTATATTATGAAATTTTCTTTTACACGAGACTGTACACAACCAGGAATGGCTGACACACTTTGTTTACGTTTCGATGTCTATCAAAATCGTCATCTACGCTGGCTATGCTGCGGTAAGAAGCAGAACTCCAGTCAGAAGCTCTGAGCAAGGTGTCTGATAGACACTGAAACGTAACCAAAGTAAGAATCTTTTCTTGGTGTGCAAAAGAAAATTCCAATATCCCACTAGTACTAGGCTATTGGGATTTTCGTTTGCACAACAATGAAAGATTCTATTTTCGGGGGTTCTCAATAGCCTATGGTACAATGGGCTTGCTCAAGAGGCAAACACCTGACACTAGCAAATTTCTACTGTTTTCCAGGTAGAGCCTAATTCAAAACGGTAGCATTGAAGAGACTGTTCTTGTCAGGGTCCTCTACAGTACGTGTATCATAGCCTATGGTACTCTCCAAGCAGAGGTTTGGGTTTGTGGTTATTTTGGCGTGTTTTTAAGCTTTTTTATCGGGGTTTCTTTTTTGCACTGGAATTTTTTTTCACCCGACACCAAAAAAAAAATTCAGTGCAAAAAATAAACCCCGATAAAAGCCTAAAATAACCCAAAACACAAACCTCTGCTTGAAGAGTGAGCCTACTGTACATGTACTTCGGCTTGCTCAAGAGGCCAGCATCTCACACTGGCCGTTGTCGGTGAATGCGTCGGTCTTGTTACCGGCATCAATGGTGAGAAGTGGCTTGGTGGTCTCCTCGGTATTGGTGGCATCGGCATGGATGCTCCGCATGTCACGGGATGGAGAGAACGGCGTGTCGTCATGCGCTGTCTCTGCCGAGTCAAGAGAACCTTGATTAGAAAGTTGTTTAAATATTTTACACGTGATTTGGATATTGGATGATGGCGACATAAAACCAGGTATGGGGAAGTCTCAAACGCCTGAACGTAAAAGAACCCACTTTAATATCGAGAAGAGTAGGGGCCACTTTTCCAAATCGGGCCCGGCTGGGCCGTTTACATGAAATATGAACAATTCATATCAAGGATATACACAAAACCAAGAATATACACAAATAGTGCCCTGACTGATCCATGAGTGCTATTTGTGCTACTCTCATGTTTGTTTCATTGTAGCTCCCTTTTCAATTTTAACTTAAAAACAAGGTCGATAATCAAGGGTTCAAAGTGGGGAGTCGAAATGAAAGTCCAATACCTTGAACTGGACTGGGGGGTCCATTTTGCTGTCCAGTCATATGCATCTGGAGGTCGGCAGTCAGGTCCTTGGGATGACATCGTGTCCTGGGCTCGTTATGTTGTTCCTTGTTGGGTTTTTGGGCCTGTAAAATTTATTGTATTCACATAGATTTGAGACCATTGGACAGAAAGCACATAATGTGTTTATAAGGATCCTTTGCTCATAAAACATGAAGAACATAATCACAAAGTTGGGGTGACAAAAGCAAAACGTACAGTGGACATAAAATGAAAATGGCTAATAATCCTGTAAATAAAAGCGTGCATATTGACACCAACGACCTTCTGGCGTCCTAGATGGATGTGAAATTTACCCTATCTCTTTGAGAGAGTTTCCGCTTCATGAATTCCCCCAAGTCAGATTATGACATCTTTGGCCTCTTGTCATTCTTCCCCATTTAAGTTCAAAATTAGGCAGGAAAATTATTTCTAAGCGGAAAAGGTTGTACCCATACCTTTTTCTTCTTACACATGGGCAGCTTGCAGTGTCCTATGGCCAGTGACACTATCAGAATAATGGCAATCAGCCACCCGACTCCTCCTACAGCCCATACGGCAATGTTCTGTTTTGCCTCAGCTCTGCTTTCAAGCCAGTCTGCATAGATAGAACGAGAGAGAGATACAGTCAAGTTGTAACTGTTGTCTTATATATGTATTGTCTTACTCGTACACTTTATTCCATAAGCGAGACCATATCATCAATACATGACCATATTGTATCTCATATACTGTTTAGATACGAGTAGTAGTTTGTAGTAAGAAATGTAATAAGATAGTTTAGTTTTGTAGTATTGTTGTATTACTGCTACACATTGTACCAAGTACGATTGTTGAGCAATAAAGTTCAAGTGTACATACATGAGATTCTGTGACTTTACAATAAAAAGGAGGGCAAGTAAAGGTAAAGTATGACATGATTTTTTAAACCACTATTCTGTTTGACTTTTTTGTTAGACATCCCCTGTATCAAAAGATATTATTAATCTGAATAGCAAATCGAGCACTGGCCACTTGTTCCTGAGCCGCCATATTGTTTACATGTATATAGTTCAAAGGTGAACGGAAAAGACTGTAATCCTTGAAGGGACGATCCTGATTTTAAAAATACACGGTATTATAACATCGGAGGGTACACTTAAGCACCGTGACACACACTGATCAAGGATTCCACTACTGTTACAGTTTTCACTGCCTCTTGTAATAATTTTTTAAAGTCTTATTTGGCTTCGTAACGTCCAACATTCGTAAAACAAATATAGAGTCTCATCACGAATCACCACTGGGCAAACAATATAATGGGAGTATTACAGGTAAGGTAATATTTTCGTGACGCAAGCTTCCTACTTTCTGAAAGCAGAAGTTGATACAATCCACGGTAACCTTTCCGATTAAACGTGAACGACCCTGTGTGACTCACTGAGTACAAAGGCATCTGTAAACAAGCAGACAAGGTGAATTGGTAGGTCAAACGGAAAAGAGACACCCCACTCTGTAAACTAGCTGACTACAGGACTATACGGTACCTGAGCACTTCTGCCTGCAGTCATCCTGGCTGTCTCGGACGGCGTCGCAAAGCTGAGAGCACGGCTCGCACCCTCGTGTGTGCTGGTCCCAGTAGGTGCCGCGGTGGCACTGAGAAGGCAAACCGACTGGTCCGGCTAGCACAAGTGTTGCCCACTCTCCGAGTGCAAAGACGATCAGACACAGGACTGCTGAAACGAGAAGTGTCTCAGTCATGATTTACACAAAAGTGTAAGCCTACTCAAAATACGTATTATGATCAGAGAAGTGCTACTGAAACCCAGCATTAGAAATAAAAATGCCACAATTGTTGAAAGGGAAATACCAAGTTGTAATCTTAGACGGCTTGATCATGGGATTCCCCTTCCACGTTATTCCCCGCATTGCGTGAACGGTACTTTCCACCTGTAAAAATCCCCCAGTGGGGACCATTGTTCTGGCTATAGAATCCCCAAATTCATGGTTTTCCCCCAAAGGACCTACCAGACTATAAATCTCCAAGCAGATCCTATAGGGTGGCGAAATACAGCATCAAATTGGCCAGGCAGTATCCATTCGCCAGAGAGGGTCCAATACGGCACCCTAGGTGACCCTCTGATCTGGCTAATGGATACTGCCTGGCCAATTTGATGTTGTCTTTTGCCACCCTAGTAGGATCTGCTGGGAGATTAGCAGACTAGGCCTTTAGTGCGTTTTGTGTGCTGTCAAGCTGCAGAAAAAGGCAAATACACTGTGCAGTGGAACAGAAGAATCAGGACGACAGAGAGAAGCCATGATTATAGACTATGTACAATACCCAGTCTCGGAGCCTGTGTGTTTTCGTAGAAGGGGATTCCCCTGACTGTACCTGCTCAAATATCCGCACCTGAGAATGTCAACAGTGTCACATTTCTCCTTTATGACCAGCACGACGAAAACATGTTTACGGCAAAGCACAATTTTTTGCCGTTAAATCACTGAGGTTTCGTGCAAACAAATCAATAAATCATTAAATCTTATCAGTAAGTGTGTTTTTGTACCTGTCCCACCAAACTTTGATGTGTTCCGCCTAAAGGAAGTAAAAACCGGATGGGTAGGGTCTGGCCTTCAGATAAACGTACTTGTGAGGCTTTCAAGCACATAACAAGGGGGTCTGCTTAGTGTTGACTTCACAGACCTGACAAATTACATATTACATGGTTAACGATTAATGACATTAATGTCAGTGCATGTACACATAAAATACTGCTTCTATTGACAACTGTATGAAGGCCATATATTACCATACCACACTGGAGAAGTAAATTTAGGGAAGTCTCAAATGCACAAAGCAACGACATCTTTGCAAACGCGTACGCTAACCACTACATCAGCGCTGTTCCACAATTTGTTGATTCGGAGAGTTAGACGTATAATTGATCGAGCTAGTGCAGGCCTGGGGGCATGAGTGTCACAAGGTTACATGTGTATGTACAGTTCACCATGGATGGTTGCCAAACCACTGGCGTAGTAGAATTAAATCCTAGCAGTCAACACAAGAGCAACGCCCACTTTGCACGTACCGACCTATCACGGGACTCAGAATCAACTGATCATTGAGAGATACATAATTGCTGACTGGTTGATTCGTATTGATTGTTTGTCTATTTTATTTCAAAGTGTAATGTCTGACTGTCAAACCGTAATCTATATGTATGGTTTGTTTTGAAATTTTAATCTGAAGGCAATGATTCAAACGCAAAGTTCAGCTGCTTAAATGGGATTAGCTAAACAAAACACCGTTGTAGTCATGTTTTTAGTATAACGCAAAAATGTTAATAATCAGTGAAGCAAAGAAAGTCAACAATCCCAAAAGCTTTTTATCGCGACCTGGCCGTCTCATGACTGACAGATGAAGTGCACGTGCTCACTGCATGATCAGACGGGGAATACCCTAAGTCAGGGCGTGTAACTTTCGCAGCTCAGTCTAGAAGCTTCCAAATCGTCTTGGCCACCGATACCGAACTCCTGGCCCGCACCCCAAGCTCACAATTGGTAAGATTTTCTATGTTCTGTGATAAGTATGTAAATGTAAAGGCCTTACGTAAAGGCCTTATTTGATACAACTACATTGTGTACATGTAATATTGTAACCGACATGTATTCTGGACGTGACGTCAGTGTATGTAAACAACGGCAGGTACTGTTGCCATGTGTTAGCGCCATAATAACTGCCACCTATTAAGGTAGTGACACACATGGTATAAATAGGAGAGTACTAGGATAGCATGAACTATATTTTCCCTACATTGTACATGAGGCTATGCCGGAGGGTGTCGCGACGTTGAGACGAACCAAACAGACCAACAGACCATGGCAACAGCCTGTATACGGGAGGCATTCTAAAGGGGCTGCCATGCATGCAAAACTATATTAGCCATATTGTTCGTGCTTTTCATGTTATGTTCACCTGCTGAAAAGGTTTGACAAATAAGGTTTTAAACACGAAACAAGACATGGCCAGGGTTTCCAGTCTGAATGTAGGCCTTGGCTCTGCAGTAATAAGAAGCTTTCGCAGCAGACGGAGGTGACATATTTGCTGATAGATAGTATTTCAACTGGGCGGGTTGCACTCTAGTTAGACAACATGACAGGTGAACGTCGACGCCCTTGGGCGCAACAGATTAACAGCAGCTGTAAATTTTTACTTTGTCTGATAACAGTATCTGTATTTGTTTTTTGTCCAGTTATCTACTAGTAAATGCTACGGGTCGAGGTCAAACAGGTGTCCAGGCTTTTGGAATTCTTGTTGTTTTGAGTAAAACAGTGTACCATTGTCGTGGAAACATATATATTGAATGGAAGCATAATTTGGTGTTGAACAGAACACACAACATTATATTGTGAAATAGTCGTTGCCTCATTGTTATCCTTTATTTTCAACATTTCGCAAGCCGATGAGTATTGTGGCAGTGACTACAGATTATTTCAAGGTATTTCATAGGCCGTGCTTGAAACCGTAAACCGAACTATTGCAAAATTTAAAGCCATACATTTGAAAGATCAAATTATTTCAAGTCACTGGGGTTGAAAACAATGGAACAGGCCATAAATCAATGTATTGTATTAAAGCTCTAGAGCCCTGTGTACCTGATACGCGTGACTATAGGTTAAATATTTACAACTGGGGGTTCCCATTGCCTAACACTGTAGCTGTATATATGCAGCGGTAGGCACATCTGGACAAAAACAAGTTAGAGCCTGCAGCAAGAACGTACGATTGTGCAGTATTGTATTTTTGCAAATTTAAGTCATAGACAGAAGATAGCTTGCGGTCAACATTAATGACCTGGGTTTGAATCGTGTGTGTCTTTGACCCAGTGTTACTTAAAAGGACTTCGTTCTACGAAAAAAGACAGGTAAGTCTTTTCGTCACGTTTTGTAGAGCCTACAAGTAGTAGGCAACCTAATTTACTATATTCCAAATAACGCTGACAACGAGGAAATGGATAAGAAAAATATATGGCACGCATAGCATGAGGAAATGGCCAGAAAAATATGGCAAACATGAGGAAATGGATACGAAAAAGACTACACAGGTCCTTTAAAGTGCACATTTACTATACTTAGTCTTAGATCGGAGAAATAAGAGCAAGAATTGTTTATTTAGTAGAGATAATTGCAGATAGCAACATTTTCTGGTTTTGTCGAAAGAATATGAGGTGTCACCTGCCGAATCAGTATTCACGGTAAGCGAGTCGGACCCAAGGCACTGAACAACAAAGTTGACTCTTATAATATAAATGATGGTAAAGCACTGCTTTACCATCATTTGGAAATCAACTTTTTATGCAGGGGAGTAAGCTCGAGCTAGGCAATACATGCCAGACTTAGTTTTCTAATGACGTGGCCTGAAATTCTAACTTCCTAACGCTGCTTGGCAACTAATACCTGCATTACGCTTCAAAGCATGTAGCAGCAAACAGGTGGCATGTACGTGCGTCAGAGCATAGATAAGTTCACCACGGTTACCACCACAGTCAAGTCAATTGTTTGCTTGGTGTGGGCATAAAGTCCTTGGTAGGGGGTATTAGTGATTACATTGTAGCTTGGCACTCACGGTTTACTGAATGCATGCTTGAATACGCTCACATTGAAGCCTATTGATTCTCCAAAAGTGAAAGCAACTTCACGCTAGAACTGATGTCGTTTCAGTTTCGGTCGAATGATGATAGCCAAGACTTGATTACATAGCCCTATTTACGTGCGCTTTAGACTGGGGAAAATTAGTGCTGATGAGTTGAATAATAGATGCGTTTTTGATGTTGTTGTGATATCATGATGTCATTCGCATCGTTTTGCGTATCAATCTCTTTTAAAGTCGAACACAACGAACATGGCGTCCATATGCCATGGCCTATGTTTGTTTTGTATGTGGCGTGTGTTGGATTTGTATGTTGCAAATATGGAAAATAAATTTGAATGGATGTGGGTTTGATGCACTGTTGTGTAACGAGTCCCTTATCTTTATTTTTTCCAGGAAGCTCCGCTGCTACCAGTTCTCCAGTGTCCGTACTGTTGTATTACATTTCTAAACGATTCTCTGTTCATTCATTTAGAATGAATAGGTAAAAAGATCTGCACTGTCCATCTTTTCGCATATAATGCTCCATTATATCCACAAGTTGTCCAAATGTATTATCGTTTTAGGAGCGAAAACTTCTGACGGAAAGTTTGTACTAATAGTAGTATGCTTTGTAGCCTTAATTGACATTGGTGTCGTCGACTCTTCTGAAGAAATTAACTTAAAGCTCAAAACAGGTAGATGCAAAGGATGGCTGACCGGCGGGCGGTTGACCAGGATGGGTCAACCGCTAGTGTGATGTCAGCTGCGTCGTAGGCTGATGGGCATCGCGTGTCATCGAGCCCTGGTGCAGATACTCTCTTAGTCAGAGCATCTGTGCCAGGTTCCGACGACACGCAATGTACACCAGCCTACGACGCAGTTGACACCGCACCATCCCCGTATACTGTAGAGCTAGTCAGGTTAGGGTCATTTTATTCGTGGCCAGAGAATCATCCTATCAATCCGAGAACATTAGTAAAAGCTGGGTTTTATTACAGCGGAGAAAGCGATGAAGTCGAGTGCTTTAGTTGTCATGGAAAGTTTAGTGGTTGGGATGGTACAGAGACCCCCGCAGAAAGGCATATTCGAGAGCACCGGGACTGTGAATTTGCCAGAAATCTTTTTGAAAAAGAGAGGGAAAATAAAGATTCTTTGTACGATACCGATTCAGTAATACGAGGTACTGAGAACCTTAGCTGTAACGACTCTTCTGTATCGCCTTTTGAAAGAGAAAGCGTTTCTCCTCCACCAATAGATGACAAAAAGAATCATCAATTCATTCGCACATTTAATGAAAATCCCCGAAGCACGTCAATGCAATATGGACAGGACACTGTAGATAATACTGCCTACGTACAACCATCTCCTAGCCTATCCAAACAAGATAATGTGAACGTTTCCTACATACACACTAACAACCTATCAGGCCAGAAAACATGGACAGGTGCAGGTAAACTTTCTATTCAGCCTTGTGGGCCGAAATGTCCCAAAGATTTGAACACTGAGATACACCGAATTCACACCTTCTTCGGGTGGCCAGACAACGTCCCTGTCACACCTGCACACCTGGCTAGACTAGGGTTCTTCTACCTGGGCGTGAGAGACAAAGTGGAGTGCGCATTTTGTGGAGGAGTGCTGCATCAATGGGAGAAGGGAGACGACCCTGAGGTGGAACACAGAAGACACTACCCGCACTGCCCCCTCATGAAGAATTGGGCCACGTCCAATGTGCCTCTCGGCTCCGGACCGTTCCAAACCCAACACAACCTGCAGTGGAACAACTTTGCGGGACATGGACAACAGCAAAACGTGTCTGCCCCGTAAGACTCAAAATAATCCTTCCTTGGACCTCCTGTATCAAATACTATGTATAACATTAAACCAAAGCTTTCAAAGTAAAAGGTTCTAGCAATACATGGGGGTGCCATTGATGGCCATATATTCAACGGCATCTATTGCAATTTCAGGGTGGCAAAACTGGATTTTCAAAGTCAATTGTTTGGTCATTCTTTCAATGTAGTAATTTCAATCTATCCTGCCCCATAGCATACTGATATCTGTGAGGCAAGAATGCGATCTTTTTTTTTTTGCCGCCCTAAAATTGCATCGGATGCCTTACCATGTTGCTGTTACTGAACTACATTTCCAGCTATGGCCGGTCAGAGGGTGTCACCACCGAACCCAGAGGACGGCAGGGTCCGAAACACCCGGAGCTGGCATCAGAAGAGACGAGGTACTCCACGTACTTCAGGTGGCCGCTCTACTCCCCCATATCACCGAGGAAGCTGGCTCAAGCCGGTTTCTTCTACACATGTAAGTTTTGTCTCCTGCTGGACACAACATCTTACAGTTGGCATAGCGGTCTTTGATTATCAATTGTATGAATGTTTCAAATTCTATTGGTAGTTACTGGCGATATATTATTTGAAATATTTAGAAGGTCAAAATAAGGCAGGGAAGGGCAAAATAAAAACTAGCAAAAGCACGACAAAAGCAGTGTCCTCTTTGTCACATTTGTGTTAGGATGTTCAGCACCAAGGACAGGTATGTGTGTGTGTGTGTGTGTGTGTGTGTGTGTGTGTGTGTGTGTGTGTGTGTGTGTGGAGGGTGTGTGTGTGTGTGTGTGTTGAGAGGTGTGTGGTTTTCAGCACCAAGGACGGGTGTGTCCCAATGTTTCGACATATCGACTATGCACTGTTAGGACCGGTTCGATACTAATTTTGCTGAGATCGCAAGAGTTGTAACGTTTCTCATTGACTGTTTTCTCCCAGACATAGACGACCAGGTGAGATGCTTTTGGTGTGACGGAGGTCTAAAAGACTGGATGGCAGGCGACGAACCTTGGACAGAACATGCCCGGTGGTATGGCGAAGAGTGTGACTTCGTCCTGAACACGAAGGGTGCCCATTATGTTCGTTCCATCAAGGACGGTTTCCCAACACTCGTACCACAGGTAGGTTCTGCGGTAAGGATATTCATAGCTGGGACCTCAAACTATCCACTGCAGGAACCAGCTAATTCACATTCACTTTACGTGCAAACTTTTTTTTTTTCGAAAAATTTCCAAAATCATATCCAGTTGCTTGAGTAACTGTTTTAGCGTATTTTCTTACCTGGGTGTCTAACCTTCACCGGCGTATAAACAAGGATGTTGCAAGCTTCTCTTTTTTGTTAATTTAAGATCCTTAAATCATCTACAGCTTTTTCCTTAATCAATGGTACTTGTTATAGGATAAAATCAAACTGACAAATTCGTATAATGACAACTAAACATCTCATCATTGATTGGGTAGGTTGAACACCACACATCGGAGCAGTCCTGGCAACACCAGTACGTTGGAGGCGTCCCAGTGTCGATGGGAGTGAATCAACAGAACCAGAACAACAGCAACGACCAGAACCAGTACGACAAGCTTTTCCTCGACGCCATGGAATCCAGAGTAGTTCAAAACGTTCTGGAAATGGGGTTTGCTCAGTCAGATGTAGAAAAGGTTGTCCATAGACAACTCAAGTCCAATGGCCAGCCTTTCACCACAATGACCAGTCTTGTCGAAAGTCTCATAGCGCTAGAAGAGAATGGAGGCAATGACGACAGTAACCAACCACGCGGCACAGATGAGAAAGGAAAAGATGAAGGAAAAGATGAACAGGCGTCAGCACAAGCTGCTGAGGAACCTCCTAACTCCGACCCAGAGGAACATCAAGAACCTGGTACGACAGAGTTGAGTCCTTCTAAAGACCACCATGTTTCATCTCTTCGTTTCATCTTTAAGTTACTCAGCATACTTCGCTTTTGTATTAGCCTTTCTGTGCATTTGTGTTTTATGTCAGACTCTGCAATGTGTTGTTATGTGTCAGTGTACCTAAAATAAAGAAATTCAAGTCAACTAGCTTTACTTGGTGCTCAATATAACATTTCAGGGTTAATGCTACCACTAACCACTACCACGCGGAATTGTTCAATGACAGTTTTTTTTTCTTTCAATTTTTTTTAAATCTCCAGGAGAACCACAATCAGTCGAACTGCTCCGGAGAAAACTGCAGCAAATGAAAGAGGAGCGCACCTGCAAAATCTGCATGACAAACGATGCCTGCATGGTGTTCATCCCGTGTGGACACCTTTGCTGCTGCAACAGTTGCGCAAACACCATGCGTAAGAGAGGATCCACATGTCCTCTTTGCAGGGCTCGTATAAGGCATGTCCAACGGGCTTTCCTTAGCTAAACTTTTCAAATTTTTAAACGTCAAACGTGTCATACTCAGGTCTAGCCGTGGAAGTGCTAGACCTTTTTTTTAATCCCACGCGTGGCCTAAAACGGGTTCAAAAAGGTTTGAAGTTGAAGCGAGGTGGAAATGTTGTGAGGTTGTGTGGCGTAATGGGCAGAGCTTTCGCCTAAGAACCGAGGGGTCCTTAGTTCGAATCCTGCCATGTCACCGACCTTGTGCCCTTGGGAAAGGCACTTTACACGACTTTCCTTACTTCGCTCAGGTAAAAATGGGTATGCCAGAATGATCATTATCATGATTGTGGGCATCAAAGGAAAAACCAAACCAACTGTACTGCAAAGTGTACAGTTACAAGGACAGTGTACAGTTAGTGGGGTCGTGTGGCGTAGCGGCAGAGTGCTCGACTCGGAACATAGAGGTCCCTGGTTCGAATCCTGCCAAGTCACCGACCTTGTGCCCTTGGGAACGGCACTTTACACGACTTTCCTCACTTCGCTCAGGTGAAAATGGGTATGCCATAATGATCATTGTGATGATCGCGGGCATCAAAGGAAAAATCAAAACAACTGTACCGCAACAGGCTTCGCATATATCTGGATCCGCGGTCGGGACCAGACGCCATACTCCCGGGTTCACAGGGTCAGCATCCGGGCCCGGCATGTGCAAACTCCCGCCAAAGACTCCAAGCCTCAAAGTTTGTTTTGCACATTTATACTTCCAATTTTGGGACTTTTCCTACAATGGAATAAACTACCTGGTCTCCAGAAGAGACCACTCAGGCTTCCTGTTTGGGGCTCAAGAGAACAAGAATAAGCTTGGAGGCTTGTAAAGAAACAAACACATTTGCCAGGAACTTGGCAACCAGAAGATGGCAGATCATGGGTCCACGAAGACTGCCGACCAGTGCCATGGGAAAATAGATGAATGAATGAAAAACCTTTATTGTACATCCATTCCTCGAAGGAATAGAGAACATGAACCATACCCGGCCCATCTCTCCCGGCCAGTAGTAAGTGGAAACGGTGTCTCTCAAGAGCCAAGAGACGTCTCTTGGCCCACTTATAAGTGGAACATGGTGACCACAATTGTCCACTTGTAAGTGAAAATGGTACTTGTTTCGGGTGACATGAACTTCAAGGCAAAGTACAGAAAGGCCGTGGGAAGATAGGAAGGAACTGCAAAAACTGCAGCATTAATCTTGGGTCTGCAGATCGGATTTTGAACAGGATTCTGCCGGGCCTTATTTTGACAATCCACGGTGGTATGATTCCAAATGACTTAAGCAGGATCTAAGGGTAGATCCGGACCGGATCTCGGTTGACAGAAGAATCGTGATCAAGTCGTCAAAGTCAAGTTGACAAACGTTCCGCAGCGTTACAAAATCGACCCTCAGCTAACGTGAGGTTTAAGTGTGATGACAGCTCAAATGACTGACCACGCTGCTACAATGTATTCTAGTATCCGGGAAGTCACACAGGATCTCCCACTTACCAAGGACATTATTGCACTTACCAATGAGCATTTAAGGTCTCCTGAACACTTGTCTAATTGGAGACAATACGTGATATTGACTCAAAGATCATCGAAGTTCAAGAAGCTCGGTGAAAACTCTGTACATGGTGTGTACAAAATGAGTAAAAACCATAGCAATGGTGTTTGCAGTTAATGCTTGTTTAGCTATCAGAGTGGCTTAAAGGAATTTTAAGGGCAATTACATATTGCCAGATATCAAAGACAATAGCAACACATTCACGAAAATGTGATATTGAGTGCCAACTCAAAAAAAACCTGAAGAAAGCCTGAAAAAACTGAAGTTGACGAAGATGGACGATCATTGATCATTTCAACACTTGCTGCATTGTGACGGCAGCGTTACATTGTCATTGACACGAGTTGAATATGATGTATACTAGTGTGGCATATGTACATACATATCACTGGCTGAATCGAGCACTGTATATTGCAGCAAAGACCATCGAAGACCACTGTACATCTTACACATGTAAGATCAGATCATTGTTGTATATACTGCATGTACATGTATATATGTGTGTATAAATGACCATATGTATATATGTGTATAAAGGTTCGATTGCAATGTGTACATATAAACCATTAGGATCTCAATCTAACATTCTACGAAGTTGATCTTTAGATCCCATGTAATTCATCAATAGTGTTGTGCATTTTTTTTTTTACTTTCTTTGATTAAAAGTTGTGTAAAACAAGACTTAAGTATATGAATCAAGCTAAAAAGGTTGGGTGTACAAAAAGATTTTGGGGTGCAACATATAAAATAAAATTATGTTTCATTTCTAAAGAAAAGTATTACATCAATCATTTTATTATTTTTCTGACACTTAGATGTTGAATATGCTCCCACTTCTTGATGAAACTTTATTGATCAGACTATGCGAGGGACGCTCGCCGACTGACAATAACTTGTTAAAGACGGACGAAAAGCGACTGTACAGTGTTAAGTGTCAAGTCCAGGGTACATTCTAGTCTTGAGATATCGTCTTGACAAGACAATACTGGTGCGTCAAATATTGGCCCTCCCCACAAGCGCACCTCTACCGTGACTACTTTGATTAAAAACAAAGTAGAAAGGTAACATTTGCAATGCAAATGCATGATGTTTACCATCACATGGTCTAGCTCAACAAAATTCTGCTCTATTTATTATTTGTACAATGTATATATGGTGACCGGCCTCTCCAACTCTGATCTGTCATTTGCCTCATGATGTAACAGGATGTCTGCTACAGCACCAGTTACCATGGTGACAGACGTCTGGTTCAGGTCATTGGGTTATCGACCTTACTACGTTATCGGGAACGGAAGAAGAAGAGGAAGAACAAAGAAGAAGAGGAACAAAGTCACTATGTTTTCCTTCTGATAAGGTTGACAAACATGAACAAAAAAGACTTCACAAAAACTTCTGCACAGCTTTCGAATGAAACCGGCTACGCAGCTTACAGTACCCAGTAATAAAAAACTAACCAAGGCGTCCCGGGTTCGAGTCCTGACATGCCACCAATCTTGTGCCCTTGGGAAAGGCACTTAACACGACTTTCCTTACTTATCTCAAGTGAATGAGTATTGTCCTGTCCTGTATTTGTACTCTGTGTTGGTGTGTTGGTGGTGGCATAAAATAAGTTGATATAACTTGAGTGTGTCGTCGCCATGTCATGAATTGTTGGAATCAAGTAAAAAAAAAAAAACTAACACTACTCGCGGATATAGCGCCCGGTACTTTTGCAGTGTGACCTAAGTATCCCAGAGCCTATAGTTCGTCTAGAAGACTTGTGTTTCCACTTCAATCCAGAAGGGCGAGAAAATTTAGGACGTGAACCATATTTCATTACTACCGATAAAGCAATCAAGCAGTCAGAACTTTTTGGCGTAACGCCTCACCGGCGCCGGTAGATCAGAAAGTACACTGACCCACAGGTCTGCCTTGCACGTTCGGGCAACTTACTACACAACACTGAACAGTAAGCACGTTGGAAAAAGCACGTAAGCACGTACTGCGCCTGTGCGAAACCCTGAGTTTTTTCACGTTTTCTTGGGCGTTGGATGCTTGGTCAACGTTGCCTGTTACAGACGGTCATCTTCGATTTTCCCGTGACTTACAACATTTGGAAACTACAGACGGGATGTTAACCTTATATGCGCGAATATGACCTTATATGATACGTTCTGCCGAAGTCCTATGCATAATACATTACGGGTTTCGCGCAGGTGCAGTACGTTCTGTCGACGTGCTCAGTGAACAAGTGTCTGTATATTTTATGCAGAAAACTACTAGTAAATTGCGTATGCCTTAACACCAGCGCAAAAGACAGAAAGTCGCTTTACTATGAATCATGGAAATTTTTGATCGGAGATTTCAGCCTGACATCCGTGAGTCTAATCTCCAAGCAGATCCCTATCGGTGGCAAAAGACAGTATCCATTAGCCATAGGAGTTTAGCCCGTCGGTGGCCGCGGACCTTCTCTGGCTAATAAAAAAGGATACTGCCTGGACAATTTGATACTGTTTTGCCACCGAAAGGGATCTGCTTCGAGATTAGTGAAGTCTGCAATCCTCTGCTACTTCTGAAGTGTCAGCCTCAGGCTGGCCAGGCCAGATTGTTTAACCTGAAACTGCTTGGAGACTTGTCAACTACAAGTTCAATCATGCAAGGTAAACTTGTAGTGGGTAGATGTCGTAACTTGAGAAACATCGAGAAAGAAGTTCAAGCCCACACACAATCACTGACTCACTTACTTACTCACAAACACACTCAGATATGACCTATGAGTCATGGTACTGGCCATACTATAAATAGTATGATAAGGTAGTGGGGAAACACTGTCATAGTCTTTATATATACACTTTCAACAAAGTTTCTTTCTTTTTGCCTTCCACACGCACACCTGTCACCAGCGTTAGGCTATTGCCTGAATAAAGAAGGTAAGGAGACGGAATCTGTACAGATTTTCCGTGTATTCTTTTTTTCCCCGCACGCGGTTCGCTACTAGCACTGAACTTTGACCAGAAACATGGCGCCGATAGTGAAACAGCACTTGTATTTGAAAAATAATAATTGTACCATGCACATATCTTTGATACCAGACATCTAATAACGGATATAATAACGTTTAAAAGTTGCACTTTCCATATATCCTGTAGATTGATACTTGACCTGATCATGCAACATGTATTAATGAAAACGTAACCGTTCAATGTCAAATTGGTCCAAGACTGGGAATGCAATACCTATATCAAGGCGTTGTTTCAAATAATATACAATATCATTTATGAGTTACAAAATTGTCCTCATCATGATGAGAAATACATCGTTAGATCGTTATTCCAGGGGGGGTTTACGGAAAAAGGAGTCCAGTCCGATTGGCGGAAAAAGCAGTCCAGTCCGATTTTAGGGTGGAAAAAGCAGTCCGGTGGTTTCTACGAAATTTTACGAAAGACCATAGGCACAATTTTTTCTTGTGTGTGTACTTCTAGTTTCTATGGGCACTTTGAGTTTCTATGAGTACTTCGAGTTTCTATAAGTACTTCGAGTTTCTATGGGTACTTAGAGTTTCTATGAGTACTTAGAGTTTGTATGGGAACTTAGAGTTTGTAACTTACATATCATCATCATGCCTCCGGATTATTACTTAATACATATAAGTAATAATAATTAGTCAAAAGATGAAGCGGTCAACTGACGAGATTTCCAGGGCCGATCCTGCTTGCAAGTAGCCTGATTAAATCGCTTTACGGTTGCCAGCTGCCCAACATCCAGTCGGCCCCTGCTAAAGCCACATATGGCAGACTTTGCATTACACCGACAAGCATGTAAGTACCGGAAGTACAATTGTAAGAAAGAATCCCTTAATAATTAACTTTTGTTTATTGTGGATAGGTGACCTGTATGTATAGAAACTACTTTTCGGTGGTCCCAAGAGGTGTAAATCGGTTGTCCGCTACTCCTCACCCAAGGCTGCCTGAATTACGGGTTAAGGCGGCATATAGTGAGTCACATATATGCTAATTCAAGTTCCCATACAAACTCTAAATAGTCATAGAAACTCGAAGTACCCATAGAAACTCGAAGTACTCATAGAAACTCAAAGTACCCATAGAAACTAGAAGTACACACACAAGAAAAAATTGTGCCTATGGTCTTTCGTAAAATTTCGTAGAAACCACCGGACTGCTTTTTCCACCCCAAAATCGGACTGAACTGCTTTTTCCGCCAATCGGACTGGACTCCTTTTTCCGTAAACCCATTCCAGGGGACAGAACTTTGCATGATATGTTCGGTCCCTGTTGCCCTTCTTGGTAATCATCAGGAGTCCGAAACCCGGGACTATTTGATGACTCATACGATGACTCATTCAGCAGGCATTCAGGGGATTCCCCTTTGCAATATAATAGGTGTTTGTCTAATGTCTAAGGGCATTGATGCGTGAATGTGGAACTTTCCATGGGTTAAACGACTTTTTTATGGGCCAAATTTCAACTTCATATTTGGTTATATATGATTTTTATCGACAAATATACATTTGAAATCCTAATTTTTATCACCCAGTGCTTTCTTGTCCTACTTCCTTCCTTTCTGATCTAAAAAAACAATACCGTAAATCACTGAACACCCCCCTGGTTCCCAAAAATGGAATAGTCCATAGCGTTGGAGATCGGCCCCCAACATGGTGAGTGGTGCAACGAACCTTTTCTCTTGAATTTCATGTCTTTTATGGAATAGATAGAGAATATAGTCGCTATCCTACAAATGTTTACTTAGTGAAACCAAGGTAAAATGTCGTACTGTTGCGGCGCCTTATAAAAGTGAAACAAAATGGCGTCGACAACCGCCACGTATCCATTACATGTTGTTTGTCGAGTTTAGTGAGTCAGTCCGCCATTTTGAATAGCCCTTTTTGCACGACGTCTTCCAAGTGTATTTGTGTGCTTGGTAACGACTCAGCGTCTTTTGTGTGATTTAGACCGACAACATTCGCTTTATTTGTAATTTTACAACAGATTCGCCCGGCGAGTTTGTGAATGCAGCTTCTGTGTGTTTTAAAGTTACCATGAGCTGCTAGCTGCGTTGGTCAAACATACTACTCAGTGAGATCATGCATGCTTCGTTGAGCCTGGATAGCGTGACAGTGGGTCTTACGTCTCAAGTTGCTTGCGTGACCACTTTTAAAAGTTCTTCGGAAGTTTGAAAGTCCATCTAGCAAGCTGTATACAATAAAGGGTTTTCAAAAAAAGTTGTATGCTTCACGGTACCTGTAACATAGGTAACTTGACATGTAGGTACATGTTCATTATGTAAACAAGACCGCACCTGTTCTGCGAAGATGAAAGGTGCGCTTTTCCGGTCACGTCCAGAAGTTAGTATCAAATTATGAGTTATTAGAATCAACACTTACAAGTTACCTAGTGAAACTCCCACGTATTTTTCTTACAATGTATCTTAAAAAACATGATTCATGTGATTGCAAGCTGTTGTGACAAAGTTTTTGGGGGTTTTCCAGCAATGATGTAATACTATTACTTAATAGCGTCCCCAGTACCCAGATTTAAGAAGTTTTTTTCCACTTCTGTTCAAAAGAAGAGTGGATTATATTAATCACCTGATTATCGGAAGATTTTACTATGGATTTTATCACTGTCTGTACTTTGTGCTGTGTCATGTGATAATAGAAAGACTCATGATCAGCTGAGTAACGTTACCAGTCACTTTGGACTCCCCTGATAAGCAGCCACATCGGCAAACTCTCAGCTCTCAGGTAACATAAATGTCGTAATGTCTTATGTTGACCTTAAAAACTAACTGACTAGTCATAACATTAACATATGATAATCCATAATGTTAGCTGTCCAACATGTTACTTTAAGTAAGTTTTATGTTATAGACCACAGTTCTAGCAGAACTAGATAAACTGAGTTTTGTCCTGTTTGGGCATGTCTGGGTTGAAATTCCATTTGGAATGTGTTGGATCCCAGGTCTATTACACTTTTAGTTGTACTTTTGAGTTTTAAGCTAACAAAAAACGTCACTTTCCCCCACTAGCACATGTACTAAACTTTTGTTCGTACAATGTACTTGCGTCACCACCATTCCCGTGGTTACAATCTTTTGTCCAAACGTTAAAGCTGTTAGTTGTGTCAACAATGATAAGCCTCATGTATGGCCATACAAGTATTACTTACATGTACTTAGCCTGTAGCCTCCATTGCAGGCTCTGTTCAGCATTTTGATATTTCAACGGAAAATAGGCACCAGACTGACAATGGCAATCTGAAATGAAAGAAAAAAAGCTATTTTAGTAATTTAGTATTTTCTCCATATGTACTTAAAAATGCTGAGTAGGACATTGCTGAAATAAATCATCATCTGAAGCCTACACCTTGAAAAAAATGTTATGATGTTGTTACTTTTACAGTTTCAGACATGTATAGACATGTATTGACTTTATAATTACGACGATCTTTGGTTTGCTTTGTAAGTAAAATACACATGGTGTAAAAGCGCCACCTTCCAACTGACAACAAAAATGCAGTTTTCAAAATGAAGTCAATAGTTGTCCGACAAGTTTGGCATCAGCTGTCAGAGTCCACTTTGTGTAACTGACTGAATATGACAATCTTGTGTTGATCCAAATTGTTATTTAGTTTTGGTTGTCCATTTTGGTCATACATTGAATGTGATAATGATTATATGTACTTTTTCAGCTCTGTTGCAAAAGTTTAAGAACATGTAACTGGACAGGGGTAACAAACAAGATCACTCCTTTTCAAGACCCTTTTGGGAAAGTTGAACCATAGTTATGACGACCTGGTTAGATTTTGAATTACCACCGCAAGTTGGTCTTTGCATGGAAATTTTTGTGTGAAGGCTGCTTCTTGCAAACCCAGTTTCCATTCTATATTGCCTGCAGGAGACGTAAGTGTCTCATATAATGAGTTTTGGAGCAGTGAATTTAGCATGGCTGTATTCTCAGCTTTTGCATTAAGATCCCCTTTAATAAAGACTTTGTTCTGATCAAAATTATGATCTAGTTTTGTAAGAAGCAATACCATTTGTCCCTCTAACTATAACACTACACTGCTTAGAAGTCTTGAACTATGAAATTGGAGTCTAATACAGGAATACATGTATCTGATATAAAAAATTTGGCACAATATCAATAATTTTGTTTGCCAATGCATTCTGGAATGTTGCTGGAAATGGTGCATGGTATACGTATGCAGTCCACTTGACTAAAGGCCTTTTTTCAGATCAGAAAGAGACAGATCTCTGACTGACTTTTTTTTTCTTTTCCATTTTTTTACAGCGTAAACTCTAGTTGGTGCAGAGGCTGAAGTAGAACTTGGTGACAGCCGACAACCCACTTGGAAATATCAAGGTGAAATATCTTTTATTCCATTTATTGTCATGATAGAAGACTAAATTTTATATTTCATACCCACACATTAATGTTCATATCTATATATATATATATATATGCATATAATAGTCGTACTTTATTTGAAAATGAAAAAATGAATGAGAAAATAGATGCACTATCACAAGCACATCAAGCTCAAGCTTTGTTGCATATTCATGCCCAGTATAGGCTAAATGCATTAATTTAGATAAGTGGAAGGGTACGAAAATCGTGCTGTATTTGTATCTATATCTACACAGTCTACGTTTACTAAAACATTTTTTGTCTTTTTTGTTCGTAGGTCAACATCAAAAACCCCAGCAACAACATACAACAAGTGAATTCCATTCCAGAAGTGGTAAAAATGAGTATCGCAACAATGAGTGTTCAAAATCAGGTGATAGAAAGTCTAAACAGTGGTGGATGTCTGTCGATGTCACAAGGTTCCGCTTCAACCTCTGCACCGCCTGGGCGTGGCCAGTATCCATGGCAACAAACGGTTGCCGGGGATACGGCCACGCCCATGCACGTTGGGGAGTCAGCACTGCTGACTTCCAGCACAGAAGCTTCTGCTGTAGAGCATGTAGAGTCTAGTAGTGCTTGCTTCATGACTAGTAGTGCAGAGGTTGAGGCAGAACCAAGTGTAAATCCCATGTATAGCATGGAAATCATTCGACTAGGATCGTTTCAGAATTGGCTTAGCTCAAGTGCAGATATAAACCCTCGCAAATTTGCAAAAGCTGGACTATTCTACACCGGACAAGGCGATACGGTACAATGCTATCAATGTAGTAGGACGTTTAGTGGATGGCTAGATGGTGACATACCAATTCAAAGACATCACCAAGAAAGCTCAGACTGTCTATTTGCTAGAGAACTGTACATGAAGGACAATGAAGCTCAACGATCTCAAAACAACACCTCTTCGCAGCATAGAGGTATTGACGTACCAGACAATGCAACATCTAACATCGTTGCACAACAATCGTCTAGCAATGGACACGATGCTCCTGACTCTTCTTGCTTACAATCAATGCAAAGATTATCCATACACAATGTAAATACAAGTAGTAGTAATGTTAACACTGCAAGTAGTAACACAGCATCTGACTATTACGCATACGACACAGCCGCAACTGCAAGGAATGTAAAACATTGTGGTGAACACTGTCCAAAAGACTTGAACACTGAGCTCCACAGGATCCATACCTTCTACGGATGGCCAGAAAGCACCCCTGTTCGACCGGAACACTTGGCGAAACTTGGTTTCTTCTACCTTGGAGTTCGAGATAAAGTTGAGTGCGCGTTTTGCGGAGGGGTGCTCCACCAATGGGAAGAGGGAGATGATCCAAAGAGAGAACATGAGAGACATTACCCCCACTGTCCCTTCATACGGAACTGTGCCACTTCTAATGTACCCCTGGACTCACCTGATGGAGATTCATCCGACGGACAATCTGAAAGGTATCTTGAAGTCTTCACTTCCTGCTGTTCTTTACCTTATGCACCTTTACTTTATGCACTATTTTACCTTCCAGAACTTGCATTAGCCCAGAAACAGAGATCCAACCTCTTAGTGTGATAAGAAAACCATTTTTCTGACCTACAGTATTATTAAAGGCTAGATGCACACTTTTATTTCCGGCAACTGAAAATATGTGGCACAGTCCAAGATGATATCTTTGAATTTCATAGAATCTGTTTGGAAACATAACTGCAGCATGGTCTACACTGCAGCATGCCACTAAACAAACCAAGAAGAAGCATAAATATGCAAAAATGTCATTTTTATTCAGCTATGGCATGCTCACAGATTTTGTTTCCAGTTACTGAAATTATGCTGTGCAGTCTAAAACAACAGATACATGTATGTTTAAAAGCAAAAAGCATTTTTTTCTTTCTTTCTTTTAAAAGCTTTTGTTTGTAGTTACTGAAAGTATACTGTGCAGTCTAAAACAACAGACAAGTATGTTTAATAGCATATTTTTAGAGTTAAGAGCATATTTTTGCTTTTTTAAAGACGTGGACACACAGAGAGTGAACCACCACCACCTCCTGGGGGTACTGACTGTCCGAAGCATCCGGAGCTGTCATCAGAAGAAGACCGTCTGTCCACATTCTTCCGCTGGCCCCTGTACAGCCCCATCTCACCTCGCAAGCTCGCACAGGCCGGGTTTTACTACACATGTGAGTAGTTATTTTATCTGGCCGTTTCTACCTCTATGTGGGCATGTAAGTAACATGGGCAAAATAGCATAAACAGGAGGGACATTAACTTTGTTTTGCTTTCCCATATTGATTGATGCTTCAAAATTTTCAAATGTTGAATCAAAAAAGAGACTTTTGAAACAAGAAATCATCCAGGTTAAGAGGCAGATAAAATGATAAGAGCCCTATACATGTACAAAACAATGTATATCCCACACATGCTACATGTATTTGACTTCACCTGAAGGCTTTCTGAATATCAGGAAAAAGCACACAAAGCTTTGGGATACTAATAGTTCAATGAATTCTATTCCTTCATAGCTGAAGGTCTTCTAAAAGCATCTTCAGCTAAATGTTTCAGTTGTGAGTTCTAACCTTGTTCCCCCTTGCTTCCCCCCAGACATAGATGACCAGGTGAAATGTTATTGGTGTGAGGGAGGGCTGAAAGACTGGCAGGCAGGGGATGACCCATGGACCGAACACGCGCGTTGGTACGGGGAGGAGTGTGGGTTTGTGCTACGGGAACGTGGCATCGGCTACGTCAGGCAGATTAAGAACACCTTCCCCTCTCTCGTACAAGTAAGTACAGATTTTACAGATTTTAAAGATGACTGTATATACTTTGCACTCCAAAAATACAGGTTTAAAAGATGGTGTATGATACAATGTAGCTCCTGGTGTTGCGAATGGAAAAACAATCTTCCAATTTCATGATCTCCTATGTATAAATCGTATTGCAATGTCATTTCATAGACAAGAATGTACAAATGCCAATGATCAGTATCAGTAAGAAAATGCATGTTGTGACAATCATCATTTCAAACCGTTATGGAAACAACCAAAGAAGCAAAACAAATAGCAAGTTTAACTCATGAGACTATATGCCAGTCATGCACCGCTTTCATTTGAAGCTGTTTTGCTTTTCAAGATTATCAAAATCTATCCACTTGCTTGAGTAACAGTTTTCATAACCTGGATGTCTAACCATTGATGAATCAAGTACATGTATACCACTTGATAAGAACAGTTGAAGTGTATGATTTGTTTTTAAATCTGTTTTTTTTTTTGTCGTATTTTTTAGGTGGCCCATCACCACTCACAGCAAGACTTTGTCCAAGACTTCATTGTGGGCTCCGCAAACGTAACAGTCCAAGTCGGAAACCTCGACCCAGAAGACGAATTCGAAGAGCGCGTGCTGGACGCCATGGACTCTAGAGTGGTGCGAAACGTGGTAGAGATGGGCTTCGGTCAACAGAACGTAGAAACAGTGGTACGGAGGAGGCTTCGCGCTCGTAGAGGACCCTTCACCACCATGACAGACCTGGTGGAGTCTTTACTAGCCATGGATGAACACCCAGATGGACAGGGAGACAACCCCGATGCTGAGGATGAAGAGGACAGAAATGTAGAGGGGCCAACACCCACTGGAAATCAGGAGCCAGCTGCAGAGGAGGCAGCTGCAGAGCAGATGGAAGAAGAACCAGAAGAAGGTAGGTTTGACTCGAGTACTAACACTATATAGTACTATGTTACTACTACTAACACTATAGTACTAGCACTATATATATGGCCAGCCTATCGAGAAGTAAACTCAAGAAAATTGACTTGAATTCTCATTATGTATTTTATCAGCTCAGATGAACTTTCATGCTACTATGGCAGGCCAATTGCCTGGCAGAGCCAACCAGCTCTAGTCATATGATACATTAAAAGTATCCTCTACCAGGCTTCAGAGGTGGCTGGAGTAGAAATTGGCGAAATAGACAGATAACATGTCAGGGAGTTGGGCCTCTAAAGGAGAGGAAAACCATACTCCTTTAGTTGACTAACTCCCCTGGCATGCCATCTGTCTATTTGGTCAATAATTAAGGTGGAAGCAGCCCTAGACACATTTTGTACATGAAGCAAAAATTTTTTCCTTTTTGTACTACATTTACTTGCATAATAGTTATGATTTCTTTGGCATGTGGATTGATATTGTGATTTTCTATTTCTTGCAGAAACCCCAGCTTCAATGGAAGAACTACAGCAAAGACTCAGGCGAATGAAAGAGGAGCGTATGTGCAAAATCTGTATGTCTAACGACGCCACAATGGTTTTTATCCCATGTGGGCATTTGTGCTGCTGTGAAGGCTGTGCTCATTCTATGAGATCTAGAGGTAGAAAGTGCCCAATTTGTAGGGCCCGTATCCTTAAAGTGCAGAGAGCTTTCCTTGCCTAAAGATATACACATGTATAATAAAGTATTTCCAGTTTTCAAGCTCAGTCTCTGTGTTCAGTTCTGTTAGGAAGCAACTTAAGGCCATTTTACTAAGCAACTTTTCAAGACTATAAATGTTACAGAGTTTACAAGCTAAAAGAACATTATGTTTTCAGTAGTTGCCCAAGTAGTAACGTTATAACAAAGGCAGAAGTCTTGGAAGGGGAGGCTGTTACATGCTACTAAATCTATCCTTCTATCTTTCCAAGTAACGATTTGTGTCGAGTATAAACCAGTGTTATCTAAACATGCTCCCCTACATAAGAAAAAGGTGTGGCTACGTATGGTCACGTGTAATGACCAAGTCACATCCGCCCCACGATTGCAAATTAAATTGATGATATTCATGGAGCAATCGTCAATGTGTCGTCCGTCTGTCTTGTTGCGGAAAGAAACTGTCTAAGATCCTTGTCGGTGGATTGATCTGTCATAGCTTGACTGAAAACCTAACGTCAACAAAATCATACGTCGACTTACGACGCGTATGTGGCCGCGTCGTATTACAACGCAACAAACGCAATGTAGGAATGACGTCACCTCGAAGCAATGTCCTCTCGCCCTACTCAGAAAAAGCTCAGTATCTTCTAAGAAAACATTACGCATTTAATGGATCAAATCTTAACAGTTGCCCACAAAGTTCCTCGCTAAATCTTAAGTAACAACGCCGCGCCTATACTTTACTTTAGACGACATTCATTGTGAATGCTACCCGCCATGAGTCATGTGAGTCGTCCAATGCTTGTCTATACGTACCCAGAAGCGGACGTAAGCGTACAACGTAACAAAACGCCATTTGTGCCCCCTAATTTTCCTTCATATCCACATGAAGAATCAAGAACATTACAATATGTAAGACCGAACCCCAGAAGTTCGCTGTATAGCTTGAAACCTTTCGAAAACGCGGAAAAAAGCTGACCCACCCGAAGAAAAGGAGGACCGACTGACCTCTCACAAACTAACAAACGACGACGCTGCGCACTTCTGTAAAGTTACATGCAGTCCAACAAAAGAACATTTTTTTAGAATCACAAAGTTTAGTTCCTCGTAAGACAACATTGGATAAACGTACTCACCTTAACTGCTGTAGTTACTTGTGCAGGTAGACCACACCTGCGAAAGCGTTCCTTTTATCGTCGTCTATACCGCAGCAAGTGTCAGAACACCTTAGTTCGCGCCATTGACGTATGGTACTGGTGGTGAACACGGTAAAGGCTAGGTGACCGTTACAACCGTTCAAATCTTAATCTTTGGTAACTCAACTAACTGACATGCTGCGGCTGCGCGCCTTCAACACTCCCCCAAAAGCGCCCGTTGGAGGTGGGGGATTCCCCAATTTGTGCATGTGGTCAGTGCGTGCACACACTATGGCCCACACGCCATTGGCCAACAAGTAAAAGGTCTAACCAACTACAGCCATTCTCTGAAAGAAAGATGTTTGTACGCAGTTGCATTGGCTAGTATCCAAGTTGGAAATTAGCCAAATGCGTCCCTGGGTGGTAACATTAACCGCCGTATTGACGAACCTTTCCGTTGATTTGGTCTCGTGATGTTTATACAGCGAAAGTACAACGGTTTCTGCACCGAGATTGTGCCAACTGGCGTTGTGATAGATATCAACAGCAATGAGTTAAGGGTGCGTCATCTAGTGACATTTTAATAAGGATGGCAACAGATAATCTTTTGACACGACTAATACTAAATAAACTTTGTCTTTCGAAAACTTCGCGTCATAGTGCTATACAAGCAATGCATATAAGTACTGGATTTATGGGCATGTGTATATTTATTCGCTGCTGCATTTCTAGTATAGCAACTGTATTGAGTATGTATTGAGTACTATTAGTAGGTCTTCCGTCATGCATGCCAAAAACAGAAGTGTATATTATGAAATAGCCTAAAGCATTCCTATAATAGGTGTCGAAATCAGAGCCTCTCTTTCGTGTCCTTTTGGTGACTGTGTCTGTGGCGAGTGGAAGCGTTATATTATGACTCCTACATTCAAGTGAGTATCATCTCTTTAACCCACCCTTAGGCCAAATGAACTCGCCCAGGTGACGTATCGTATCTATATGGTCTTAGAACTGATATTGCCACATCATTACCCGGAACATTGCTTAACTTAACACATGCATTTCTGATAACTTCGTCATCCTTAGCATTGCTTCCCTTGAAAAAGAAGTCATACTTCCTCTTTTTGTGCCCAGTGCTATTGAAACCTTTTGCTGTAGTCAGTACTAGTTCCGCTTTTCGCGATGTTACTAGTTCCGCTTTTTTCGGAACTCGCTGTATGTGCTGGTATTCAACTGCAGGGGAATCCCAGTTGGTAACTTCTGTAATGACTAAAAAAGAGGAACTACACTTTTTGAGGTCCAAGATAATCTACCGTTATCGTCTAACTTTATCTTTCAACAGGTTCTTTATATAAGTGTCTTGTCATAGCATAGCATAGTCAGAGTTTTTTAGTTGTGCTTTGGCCAGTAAATTTCGAAAAGGCACGATGAATGAAATGATACACTTTTCTATTAATGGATAAGTTTGTAGGTTCGTGAGTGAATGTTTCTTCTCTATTATAAAATCGCATGAGATGTCTTCTCTTTGTGACCACATGGTTGTAAATCTGGCGTATTACCAAAAGTTATGAGAAAAACAAACCCGGTCTATTTTTAGACTCTGAGTCATACAACTTCCCCACCATCACTGTGACGTCATTTTCCCAACATCTACATGTACAATTCAACACGAGGTTCGAGCTAGTTGCCTAGGTCACCGACGTTAACATCTATCATCCAACGTCCTTGTCAATCATCTGACCGTCGTGACGTATAAGGGAACAAAGGCCAAGGTTCACAGGTGAAAAGTCGTAGGGCGTTCCTTCTTGGGGGTAAATTTTGCCTGCACTGAGCACTAGGTGTGGCGCAGTTTAAAATGTGTCTGGCTTTCGCTAAGCCTTCTGGGATATCTACCTGTTGTACCTGTTGTTTACGGCGTACCAGGTTCAATATAGGAGCTACGCAGGAACTTTCTAGTAGTACTAGTTCCGTTGTGTCTTACTTGTGGTAGCCTCGAAGCATGTGTGCGACCAGAGCCTAAAACCCAGATTTGCCGCCTTTACTAATGTCGGTAGACTATCTGGTTACCTTGTACACATATGGCTTTGTTTACCTAGCTATTCTTTGCTTTGTGTTACGCAAATACCCCCTTTTGTGTTGGTGGGTGTGCTGGCTACGTATCAATGCTACATTCATGGTCAGCTAGACTTGAACAACGGGCTCTTTCGCCGTACTTGGGCGTATGCATGGAGTGCTTGGCTCACATTGGCAATAAGCCTGTATGTGTGTTAAGTATATGTACAGTTTGGGTGTGCACCAAAATACGTATCAATGTGCATTGACCTCTATAATATTTCATAGGGTGGTCTGGGAAAGTGGTTAGTTTTAGATCTAGAGATCCAGCTGGATTTTACTGGTACCAGATAGATAAGAACGGATTTCATTTTGTTGCCCGTATATTTTCCTGTATGGCAATGTACTGAGACATATGTTTGAAACATTTCAGCAAAACACAAGACGACAGAGAAGACAGAATGCGAATGATAAAGGACATCCGAAATAACTGCTGATATTCAAAACAAACAAAAATAGGAGAAAGAAACAAATCCCTCTTTAGTCAACTCTTCAAAATGGCACAAGGTACCAGAACCACAGAACAGTCGGGTGGGCAGGACCAACCCGACTTGGCAAGAGACGTGGTGAGATTGGGTGGAGCGGAAGCAATGTCAAGACAAAACTCACAAGAAGAAAACATTCGGCAACAAGAAATTCATCTCTCTGTTACCATGAACAGACTAGCATCTTTTAGTGCTCTTTTAAAGACGTTGCTACTATCCATAAATGTGCGAAAACTCGCCAATGCTGGTTTGTACTATCCGGGATCAGGAAACAAGCTCGTGTGTTACAAGTGTAACGGAACGATAGATATAGAAGACTGGACGGATCACAACGAACCGATAGAAAAACACAACAAGCTATACCCGCAATGTCCATGCTCCAAAGCACTTGATGTAGCGGATGGTAAAGCTAGTACTCGCATTAATGGTGAATATAAGATGCAGAAATCTAAACAAGAACGGACGGTCGATTTGACTGACGCTGGCGAGTCGAATTCAAAGAAAACCGACACAAACGACGTACGAATGTGCAACAGTTCTTGCCCAAAAGACTTGAACACCGAACTTCACCGATTGCATACCTACTACGGGTACGGCTGGCCTATGGACACTCCCGTATCCCCTGAACAGTTAGCAAAACTCGGCTTCTTCTATCTTGGAGTACGGGACAAAGTAGAGTGTGCATTTTGTGGCGGAGTGCTACACCAATGGGAGCAAGGGGACGACCCCAAAGTCGAACACGAGCGACACTACCCCCACTGTCCACTCATTCGGGGATACGCAACTTCCAACGTGCCTCTAGAATCTTCTAGCCAGCCTACGAACAGCAGTGCAAAGTTATCGCCCTTTATCCAACAGTCTAGTCTACCTCAGGCTGCAACTGTAGTTTCACAGAGCCAGCAGAGGAGTTGCTACGCACAAGAGAACGAGAAAACAGCGAAAACGTCTCAAAGAAAGGAGCCCAAGCACCCAGAGTTGGCTTCTGAGGAAGATCGCTTGTCTACGTTTTTGAGGTGGCCGCTGTACAGCCCCATTCCTCCTAGGAAACTGGCACAGGCAGGATTCTATTACACACGTGAGTATTGGGAATGTGTACTTTGTCAAGTTAGTTCATATGTCACTTTTGATATTACGCATACGGTGTCCGCAACGTGTGAGTGTGTTCAGCACCAAGGACAGAGTTTATGTGTGTGTGTGTTTGTGTGTCCAGCACCAAGGACAGGTGTGTTTGTGTGTGTGTGTGGATGGTGTTCAGCACCAGGGACAGGCATGTTTGCCTGTGTGTGGATGGTGTTCAGCACCAAGGACAGGTGCACTTAAATATTTTAACATGGACTATGGGCTCTTAGGACCAGTACTTGTAGTTTTGCTGAGATAACAACAGTTCTAACGTTTGTCATTAACTGTTTCTCCAGATACAGACGACCAGGTGAGATGTTTTTGGTGTGACGGCGGGCTGAAGGACTGGCAGGCAGGAGACGACCCTTGGACGGAGCATGCCCGCTGGTACGGAGAGGAGTGCGAGTTCGTCCTGCTGCAGAAAACTCCCAGTTTCGTGCAGGACGTCAAACGACGTCACCCAGTACTCGGACAGGTGTGTTTGATTTTTTAAGCGTTGATTAGGCCATTATGATTCTATTACATAGATGACATTTTCAGGCACCCCAAAATCGTTGCGAACGTCCGAAAAAAGTTGTCTCCACTATTAAAGCTAAAGGTTGCACAAACGCCGGAACACACTGAATATTGTGTTCTTTCACATCTTCTTTGACTTTGAGCTAATTCATGCACAAGTTGGGCTTGGCCCCTCCTCTTTGTTACAAGCAGCACTCCAAAATTTTGGAGGATGCCCTAAATCTTTAAACATGTTTGTTTCTGTATTTGCCAGGTTCCTCATGAAGAAAAGACATTCAAGCAAGCTTTCGTGTCGAACGGCCCGGTCTCTGGTGCGACTTGCGTACAGGAGTCCAACGATCTATTTCAGGAGGCCATGGACTCACCGCTGATACAGAACGCTCTCGAGATGGGCTTCGAGCGGAAACAAGTGGAAGACATCGTCAACAAACAGCTAAGGAGACATGGAAGACCGTTCGCCAAGATGACAGACATCGTAGAGGCTCTTCTATCTCACGAAAAGGGCCAGAACAGAACTGGTGATGAGGAAGATGAAGAAAAGAAGAAAAACTCGGCTGAGACAACAACTCAAACTACACCACAAGAAAGTCCCTCTGAATCGGGATCCCCGGGAGCACAGGCCCCGTTACCGGCTCCGAGAGAAGCGCATGGTACGTATGTTAGACTGATAGAATGTTCGAATGACCGAATGTTCGAATGATATGGATAGAATTTTAGAATGTTCGAATGATAGAACGTTCGAATGTTCGAATGATAGAACGTTCGAATGTTAGAATGATCGAACGTTAGAATGGTAGAATGATCGAACGTTAGAATGGTAGAATGGTAGAGTGATAAAATGTTCGAATGTTAAAATGATAGAATGTTAGAATGATCGGATGATAGAAGATTCGAATGACAGAATGTTAGAAGGATAGAATGTTACAATGATACAATGTAGAAGGTTTGAATGTTAGAATGTTAGAACAAAAGTTGACAACCTTATCTCTAATTCATGTTTTCTTCAAGTTAAACCTGTCTGGACATTCAATCATGTTTACTGCAGGTGAGGAGCAGGCTCCTCCTTCTGACGTCATCAGCCTCCAGCGTCAGCTGCAGCAGTTGATGGAAGAGCGCATGTGCAAGATCTGCATGGACGAGCGGTCGTGCATGGTGCTGATCCCGTGCGGGCACATGTGCTGCTGCGAGGGCTGTGTGCAGATGGTACGCTCAAGGGGTGGGAGGTGCCCCGTCTGCCGGGGACGCATCCAGCGCGTCCAGAAGACTTTCGTCGCGTAACGGTCGCGTTACAGTTGCGTGACAGTTGCGTGATGTCCCGTGCGGGCACATGTGCTGCTGCGAGGGGTGTGTGCAAATGGTACGGTCGCGCGGAGGGAGGTGCCCCGTGTGCCGGGGACGCATCCAGCGGGTCCAGAAGACTTTCGTCGCCTGACGGTCCTTAGAAGAAGAACTTTATTCACACCGCATAGCGGGCTGACTCTGTGCTACCAAACCTACAAACAGAATGGTTTTCAGTACCAAGGACAGCTACCATTGGTCTTCTCTTTATGATGAACGGAAGCCTTCGTTACATTTATCTCTAGGCCTAGACTTAAAGTTATATTAGTTAAGATGCTTCTACTGTACGGGTATCAACGATTTTCGCTCTACGATTGTTTAATTCAAGAAAACATGGATGTAGCTTTTAATGATAATGACATTTGGCTAACTCTATCATCTAACTCCAGGCATTGGTTAAAGTTATGTAGTAAATATATTCCTACTAGTACTGTACCGGGTATCTCAGAGATCTACTATACGATTTTTTAATTGAAGAAAAAAAGGATGTACCTTTTTAATGATGATGACTTTAGGGCTTTTTAATGATGATTGTATTTTAGATAATAGTGAGAGAGGGAGGTCCGAAGAATAAACAATTTGAATTAAATAGATTTCTTGTTCTCATTTGCGTGTTTTTCTTGAGTTTAATATTGAATTTATTACTGTTATATATTGAGCCTCTTTCACAAACGTCAGCATTAAAGATGGAAAACTGAGTTAAATGGGAGTGTTTTAATCAACTTCTTGCTTTTTTTTTATTATCATCCACAAATCTTTTTTATTATCATCGACAAATCTTTTATTATCATTGACAATTTTTTTTATTATCATCGACAAATCATATATCGTCTTTCACTATTTCTGGCCACCTCAATTCCATAGTCAATTTCTTAATAGTACTCAACAACCATTTCGGGAAATTCTATAGTATTGCGTCTTTTCTGGTGCCTATTGAATGCATTGGAGCTTTTATTCGCCCTGCCGGTCGTTCACCTTTAGGCCAAGAGTCAAAGGTCACAGGTGAGTTTACCAGCCTGTAAACTTGCAGAGTAAACAGGTGATCTAACCGCGTAAGGCATATGCCGTCATTCTATCAATAGATGGAAGATATCGTATAAAAGAGCGGCCTAAACTGCAATTCTACGCTTCCTATCTGGCCTAAGGTTCGACTCGACTCATTTTTAGGTCCCTCTGCGTATTATTCGAGCAGCTGGCCACTAGCGAGTGATCAAGAATGGAGTTGGACGTCCTCCCCATTCCGCTAACATGGATTCTGCTGGCCTTGTTACCTGTACTCTTCTACGTGTAAGTAAACTCTGCCATTTCTGTCACTCATTCATTCATGAAGCTTACTACATTTGTGGAAGGATTGACATAAAAGTGATGTGGTGATATAATATCACCTGTTCAAGGTTCCAACTCAGAACCTTTGGATTTTGACTTGAATTGAGTCAACAACCCTGACCTCGAGCTGAAGGCCACTTTGCTACCCAAAAGACCACCTAAGCAAGTTAAACTTCTTCTTGCTTTAGCTGTTTAGCGACTGAGCCACTACCAATGTTTTAGCTCAGTGACAAAATTTAGCCACCAAAGACCACTATAACTGTTAACTGTTATAGAAAAATGGAATAAATATTAATTTTAAAATGTTAAATTTAAAGAGGCGTTTCAGCTATCCATGTCAAGTAATGTTAAGTGTTCAAGGCATCCCCGACAATATAATTTGTACACCTTTTTAGGGACAAAGTGAAATGAGAGTTGGGCAAGAAAGAAGCCAAAACTACACAACAGTGCTGGTATTTATTAAATGTCGTTTACAGTAAAGAACCTGTTTGTTTTATCCAGGTCTTGTTTAATTTACCTGTAGCATCAGCAGTATGCAAAGTAGGACAAAGGTCAGCTTGGTAAGAGTCAGGTCTATTCATAGGCATGATGTTGACAAGCAAAGTGGGACAACCATATGCAAATCTTGTCCCTGTTAGCAGGGCTAGCCCTTTGCAATGCTACAGCAAAACCAATAGATAAATATTATCAAATAATTGACTGTGTCATATAGACTTCAGCTGTCTTGTAACATTGGAAGATTAGCTCTTCAGTGAGATAAAACTGGATCATTTACACTTTCACTGACTGGAGTTCTGCTTCTAATGCCGCTATATGTAGCTGATGCAGGTTACGTTGATGCATCCATGAAATGTTTGTGACCATGTCTGTACAGGTACTGCATACGGCCCCATCAGGTGTTAAAGAAGATGGGAGTTCCACACCCAAAGCCACTGCCAGCCGTGGGAAACATGCTGGACATGATGAAAAATGTAAGTTCTAGCTAGCCTGTCTATGCAACTATATGTATAACATGTATTATGTTTTATGTACTCTTTCTATTCTATTCTATTATATTTTTTCTATTCTATACAATACTATTAAGTAACACCCCTCGCGGGGCCTTAAGTGCTAATAGGGGAGTGGTCCTTTCCCAGCGTGACTGGTGGTGGTGGTAAAAAAACAACAAAAAAAAACAAGAACAAAAACAAGTGCACTGACTATATACAGAAGTCATGGCTGGGGGTTGGCTAGCCGCTGCGACTATTGCAGGGCTTCTCTTGCTTGCAGTCTTTTACAGTAGCCCTGTAAGCAAGAGAAGCCCTGCAACAGTCGCCGCGGCTAGGGGTTGGCCACATTCCTACAGCTGGGTACAACTCAAGCCATAATGGCTGGCTACCCCAGCTTTAAACTGCTCAATTGTCTTAGCCATGGAATTGTCTTTCCTGGAAGAATAGCTGTTAGAGGTGAGCAGTTAGAGTTTTTCCTCAATAAACCTCTTCCAGGCTTCAGGAGGCAGCTGGAAAGAGTAGAAATTGGCCAAATAGAGAGAATCTATTAACATGCATGTCCACTAGAGAATACAGTGTGTGCACGTGCATGTCAAACTGTACTCTCTAGCAGACCAACACCCCTGGCATGTTATCTCTCTATTCAACCAATTTCTACTCTTCCAGCCGCCTCCCAAAGCCTGGTAGAGGCTAAGTTCTATTTGTACATACAGTAGATGTCAGTTATTTGTTGCAAATTTCAACACTTTATAGAAAAACTCTGCCAATTGCAAAGAATTGTAAAAACCCAAACTGTTTTCTTTTCTAAAATCTCGGCATCTTCTCTTTACAGGGAATGTGGAATCCTGATGCGCAGGTTGAAAGAATCGAGAAGTGGGGCACTGTATATGGGTAGGTTTATAAACAATTGTTTACACATAATACAAAAAAAACTTTTAACTTAAATTTAAGGTAAATTTGCAAAGCAAAAAAATGCATATTACCTTCACATGGCCTAGCTAGCCTAACAAACAAAAAAAGTGCATCAAAGTTAACTTCATTGAAGTACACATGTACTTCCAAGAAGTTTGAGAAATCTCCAATTTCATGTTAGTTATGTTTCCAATTAAGCAATACTTGCACTTTGTTAACTAGAATTAGACCAATACACATACTAATAGGTAGATATACCAAAGAATGTTTATAGACATTAGAACTAGACTACAGTAGTACTATCATAATTGATACTTGAAACTCAACATGTTGATTTATTCATATATATGTACTTGTACGTTGGTTAATTCATTTGTATCCAATTGTTTGTATGCATAGTAATGTATTAGACAGTTTAGACCTTACGAAAGTTGCTGTACTTTTGTTGTATCAATAAAGATGTCAGTGAGTTTAACTTTGTAACCAGGAGGTCATGAGTTCAAACCCCGGCCAGGTCATACCAAAGACTTTAAAAATGGTACACACTGCTTTCTCGCTCTGCTTTAAAAAGCACTCAGCATATATGAGAAAGTGTGTGGGAAGGTCAAACACACAGCATTACCAGCGGACATAAAGAATAGAGCACGGGAGACCTTTTTTTTTAGCTCAACTCCATCCACTTTGTTGCACATGTAGAGTCTACCTGGGAATGAACCCGTATGTCATAATCTCAGACCCTGAAATGGTGAGAGAAGTCTTCGTCAAGCAGTTTCCCAAGTTTATCAACCGAGCCGTGAGTACATCTTTGATTTCAATACATGACATGTACATCTGTATATCTGTATCTGTATAGCCGGTATAACCGCCCTTCAGCGTAACACACCAGCTTCTGTATCTGTATAGCCGGTATAACTGCCCTTCAGCGTAACACACCAGCTTCTGTATCTGTATAGCCGGTATAACCGCCCTTCGGCGTAACACACCAGCTTCTGTATCTGTATAGCTGGTATGACCGCCCTTTGTGGTAACACACCAGCTTCGCAGGCACAATATTATACCAAACGATCTGTTACACCCAATCTTTGCACATTTAATTCTTCATCCAGTATTTACTGCTAACTGTGTTCCTCCTGTAGCCTGAGAGGCTGAACCTGGAAGTGAAGCCACAGTGTCGCATGATGACTGCTCTGGTCGACGATGAGTGGAAGAACATGAGGAGTACTGTCAGTCCTGCATTTAGTGGAGGCAAACTCAAACAGGTGACTGTGTCTTTAACTTAAGACATCTTACTTTAATTTAAGTATAGTCTCAAGATGCTGTTTTGAAGCTAATTTTTTCAAGACATACATGCTAGTTTGATGGACAGAAAAGTTGCTTTAAATTTGAGCCCTGCATCTGTTACTCTTGTTTATTTATTTATTTGTTTATTTACCATTTGCACGTATATTAAAAACAATTACACAATCAAATAATAATAATCAAAGAATGTGCGGGGTAGGCCAGAAACCTGGGTGGTTTTTCTAGAGGCCTACCCCAAGCAAAGATAACTTATGACAAAACATATTTAAATTAAACATCAAAATTAAACAATGAAATAATTAAACAATGAGTAATTAAACAAAATCAAGACACAGAAATAATAACTGAGGTGTATAAACTAACTAAAACGAAATTAAACAAAAGTCTTATACCTGTTATTCAGGTAGATGTTACAGATTAAACTGATTAAATAATTAACATAAGAATTAACGCTTAAAACAAAATATTAACAATAACAAGGAAAACAAACAAATCAGATTGTGGATGTACTGGGATTTTGTAGGAAAAAGTTTTTAAGAAGTTTTTTAAATACAGGAGTTGACTGGCAGTTTTGTAACAGTTGGCTTAACTTATTCCAGACGATGGGGCCTCTATACGCTATTGAGAATTGTTTTTGTGTAGATTTAGTCTTGATCGGCCTTAAATGGTTATGTTGTCTCGTATTGTGCTGGTGAATGTCTGAGTTGAATGTAAAAAAAGTGTTGAATTGATCTGGTAAACTATTGGTATTATGAACGATTTTATGAACAAAAATGGCTATTTGTAATTTGTTTAAGTCATATACATTTATGATTTTTAGTTCACGAAACAGAGCTGCTGAGTGTGCTGTGAAGTGTGTGTTAGCTGCAATTCTAACAAAGTGTTTTTGCAGTTGATAGAGTGGTTTAATTGAAGTTGTGTAAGTGCTCGCCCAAATGAAATTGCAGTATGATAGATACGGATATATTAGACTGTAGTATAATGTTATAAATATTCTTCGTGGGAGGAGGGTCTTTATTTTTCTAATGATGCCTATGTTCTTATGAATCTTATTGCAAATCAAATCTATATGTATCTCTAAAGATACAAGTGTATCTCAATCCATACTAGGATTATATCATGGATTCAGAAAGCACATTCAATACATATATATATAGTATTACAATATGGCATGTGACAACCATGCATATAGGACAATATTTCAAGAAATGCCAGAATGACTGAAATTTGACCATTGACTGTAAAAGCATATTCTCATCCCATTACAGTAACTTAACACATTTGTGAGGTATATTAGTCTCATATTGTATCATGTTTGCAATTAACACTTACTAGTAATGGATGCCATATTTTGTACATTGTACAAGTGTAATGTACAACTAAGTTTATTTCCACAGATGGCAGAAGCCATGAACACCTGTGCCAACATGCTGGTAGAAAATATCGGCAAGTTCGCTGAGAAGGAAGAGTCCTTTGACACCAAGGAGTGAGTTTCGTCTTTATTCTTATATTTAAAAAATTAACATTACTACACCCCTTATTGCTTGTGCAATGTAGAATTTAGCAAAAATTGTTGACATTCAAGTATTAGGAAAAAATAGTCTAATTCGGTAGACCTTTTGTTGTATTAGGAAAAATGATTTTAGATTCAATCTCTGAACACAGGGACTTAAAAGTCAAGTGTTGAAATTAGATTTTCTATCTCAGTTTATGCTAACTTTTGCACTAAAATTTTTCTCTTATATATGCACCTAAATTTGTTTTTATGTTTACGACTTAACATCCCATCCTAGGAACCCTTTTCAGAAGAGTACATGTCAATAATGATAATAATAATAATTCCGTGATTCCAGTTTGACTGCAGGATTCACCACAGACACCATTGCCCGCACCGCATTTGGTCTGGAGGTGGATTCTCAGCGGAACCCGGAGGATCCTTTCGTCCGATACACGAGGGAGCCGTTTGCCACCGTGTTTAAGGATCCATTGTTCTGGCTCTTCTGTGAGTTTACGCTTGATATATATGTGTGATATTATTCTTTGAAATAAAATGTTGATAGTATAATGTATAAAAATGACTTATTATTCAACAACCAATCGGTTTTCAGATCTGACATTTTGGTGACCGTCTCTCACCTTCTAGAATGACTGGTTCTGATTCATACTGCAGCTACAAATGCAGGTGTGATGCAACTACAACATAAAAAACATCACCTTAAGCAGCAGTACAAATCAGAACCAGTCATTGTTACCCTGAACAAGGTGACAGACAGCCACCAAATTGTGAGATGTAAAAGAAGCCACTAGTTGTTGACTAAAGACCCAAAATTTTAATAATAATTATACAGTTTCTTGACAACCAAATAAAACAAAACAGACTATTATTCACCAAAAATATTGTAGGTGTTGGTTCCAAATTAAAACATGTCATGAAAAAATCTAAGATACTACATGATATATATTGAATTTCTCACTGTTTTTCTCTGCAGTTATGTTCCCCGGCATCATGAAGCCCATTTTGGAGAGGTTCAACTACGGTTTCCTGAACAAAAATGTCGCTGAGTTCTTCTACAACGTGGTTGACCAGGTCATGGGGATGAGGAAAACTGAAGGTGGAGCACAAGTAGGTTACCTCAATCTGTTAGATGTCTCAATATGTGATCTCAACTATGCGATGTAGATTTTTGTACTTTGCAAATTCATGGCCAAAAGCTAATTATAAGTAATCTCCAAGCAGATCATACGGTGGCAAGGCAGTATCCATTGGCCAAAGGAGTGTCCATTCGGTGGCTAATATATATGATGGACACTCCTCTGGCCAATGGATACTGCCTTGCCACCGTATGATCTGAGATTAATTACAGTGTGTCTGTATAAGCTTTTGGTTGTATATAATATATACATGTAAATTGTAAAGAAGCAAAGAAATGGAAAGTAATACCATACCAGTAGTAGACCTCCCAGTATGGAAGTATTGTTTTGGGTAGCTTTTTGGACATAGTAGGTTGACAGTATGTGTGTGGGGAAGATTGACAAGCAGAATTAAAGGTCCAGCTCAAAAAGTCAGGTACAAAATGTACAAGTAATGGGACAAAGGCTGAAGGTTAATGTCCCTGTCCCTAGTGCTGAAAGCATGGTTGATATTAACCTTCTCCTTGCTGCCTAGCCCCATAACCAACACAAATTTGGTACCAAATGGCTAAAGTAGAATGCTAAAGGTTAAACCAGGAATGGCCTTCCACTTGCTGTGCAGTCCACACAGCCATTGAGGTCCTTTAAGAATCAGGTCTCTACAAACATTTCCATCAGTAGCACTTGTGCAATCAGATTGTTTGTTTTTAAATAATTGTACTCTTATTAACTGTTATGATGTGTACAAATGTATGTTTTTGATATTGTGTAGTGACTGCATTGAGTATTGTATATAGTTATATGTATATGTGTGAATACTCTTGGGCCCACCGCTATTGGCAATTTGAATAAGTTTCAAGTTTCAAACCATGTGTTCTTATCTTTGAAGGGACGTGTGGACTTCATGCAACTGATGATGAACGCTCACAAAGATGAAGACGATGACAACAAGGCAGAAGGGATTCAGGTGCAAGGAGTGAAGAAACGTACGTCTGAACATCTCATAGTTTCCATTTTAATCCTCCATCAAAGGCTTTTCACGCAATTCTGGATTTTCAAAGTTAATTTTATGGTCGTTCTTTTAATGTAGTAAGTTGACTCAATCCTATCACATACTTTTAGCACTGATCTCACTGATACACACTGATCTCTCTGTGAGTGGTTCAAACCTTGCAGTCCAATCTTATGTAGCTTGTACTTACTGTACGAAGCTAGTGTGTTACATCTAAAGCCGTTTACTGATAATGCCAAACAATCACATCGATCTAGTGTAACACTGCGGTTCAAGCACCAATGGGTCTGGACATTTTGGCCCAGTGATTGATGCATTGGGTTTAAAGCTGGGAGCTAGGAGGCTTTTCTACTGGCTTGTACGGTAGTTGTTTCAGAATCAGTGGTTCCCACACAAACATGCGTGTTGATTCTGATTCCAGCTCTCAGCAGGGATGACGTTGTTGCGAATGGCTTCCTGTTTTTCATCGCGGGCTATGAGACCACGGCCACCACCATGGCATTCACGCTGTACAACCTGGCCTTACACCCGGAGGTACAGGACAGGGCCAGGGAAGAAGTCTGCCAAGTCATGGAGGACAGGGTATGTCCACAGTCTTACAGTTTCTTACAGTTAGGGTCTACTATAAGCCTCAGCAATGATCTAGAAAGTTAAACCTAAAGCTATGACGTCATGGCCTTCACGCTGTACAACCTGGCTCTGCACCCGGAGGTACAGGACAAGGCAAGGCAGGAGGTCCAACAAGTCATGGAGGACAGGGTATGCCTTACAGTGCAGACTGGTATCCAGTCTATCATGGTTAGGACAGTCTTCGGGGCTCTAATATTTTCCCCCTGCCCAGCTCAACAGACTGCCCGGTAGGAGTGTTACGCCTGTAGAAGTTTTGCACAACGATAACCTACCAGGGAACCTAGCTGAGGCGGGCGGGGAAGAGCTCCTGCAGCCCCAAAGAGAACCCACCCCAACTGCAATAGACTGGCACATGCACCTTTAGCACTTTTGCTGTTAAGGGCTGAATGCCCTACCATAAACTACAATCTTGGAATTAGGATCAATATCATATCTGGTCTAAAGTCACAGTGATTTGCTGGTAAAATAAATAAAAAATTAATGACATGAAAGAAGTTTTATTGGCTAATATAGTGACTGTTCTGCAGGACCTGGTTGACTATGAGGCTGTCCACAAGATGCCGTACCTGGACATGTGCATCAGTGAGACCCTCCGAATGTACGCTCCTGCTGCAAGGTGACAAGAAATTCCTCTGTCTACACTCTAATACCTCAAACAACCAGACATTTCTTCCAAATCCAGCAGAAATTCATCAGCCTACTAGTACACAAAGATCATTCTGTGTTTTTCTAATCATGACTTTTTGGACCTTGGAATGGCTAAGAATTTCTGAGAATGATTTTAATATTTGTTTTATGCGACAGATCTTTGTACAACTAGATATTGTCTTCACATAACACAAAACATTTTTTGTTCCGTATATGCTGGGCTTGACAATCAACTTTTGTAAGTTGATCGGCTACCCAGTTTTGTCATGATGAAATAAATGAATGAATAGCTTTTGTAATGTAAATGTACATTGTACATTAATCCCTGGTCAACTATTTGTGGAAAGAGCTACTTCCCTGATACAATATACCTGTAAATACTATACATAGCATTTGTCTTCGAATTCTCTGTCACAACTAGTGGAAGTGTTAAGCTCGAGATCTTCAGTTTCTTTTCTTTTGATATCAAAAACTGTATTTCCAGTATTGTGCGTGTGACCAATGATGAGGTGAAGATGAAATGGCTGACTATCCCAAAGGGCTTCAACGTGATGATTCCTATTCTCGGGATCCATTACGACCCAAAACGCTGGCCGGAACCAAAGAAGTTCATCCCAGAGAGGTATGCGTGATACGGTGTGTGTGTGTGTGTGAGTGTGTGTGTGTGTGCTTATGGCACCAAAAAAATGCAATATTTTCTTATTATATGGAAAATACAACTGGACATTGGAGTTATTAGTTGAGTCAGAGAACAGTTTTATTCTTAGTTTCTCATAGAACGTATTTTACCAACTCAGATGAATTCTGTTCAATTTCTGCTTTTTTAGCCTGTTTGCCAAACCTATTTTAGCTTGATCCCAAGTCCTACATCCTCTCAATAGAGAATGTACATGTAGGACTCGGGAGCTGTAATAGGTTTGGTAACCAGGCTGCTTTGTACCAATTTCTCCAATAGATGTATTCACGTCTACACTCTAGTTTTCCTATGCACCAACAATTTGAGTGTCTAGGACTGCTGTACACATAGGCAAAAGCTAGCTTGAGGAACAATCCCACTGTACTTTGTACACCAGTCTGTAGGCTCACGAAGGAGGAGAAGGAGAGGAGGGACCGGTATGATTGGCTGCCGTTTCTGTATCTTTATCTGTACAGCCAATAGAACTGCCCTTCAGCATAACACACCAGCTTTGGAGGCACGTGGCGCGGCGGCAGCTGGCTACATTACATTGAATGACCTGTTACACCCAATCTTAGTACATCTAACTGTAGGAGTTGTTTAAAGCTTTCTATTGATAATGCTGGAACCCAGTGATGATTTGGGACGGATTTGTACACCACTGTAGGTTCACTAAGGAGGAGAAGGAGAAGAGGGACCCGTTTGATTGGCTCCCGTTCGGAGCCGGACCGAGGAACTGTATTGGGATGAGACTGGCCCTGATGGAGCTGAAGGTGGGACTCGCCAAGATCCTGATGAAGTACCGCATCGTCACTGGACCTGATACTGATGTAAGTTTTCATTCGTTTTCACGCAATTCAAGCATAAACATAACATAAACATAACTTAAAGAAATTAAACTGAGAGTAATAGTGGAGTACAAATAACTGATGGCCCTGATGGAGCTGAAGGTTGGACTGGCGAAGATCCTGATGAAGTATCGCATCGTCACCGGACCTGATACTGACGTACGTTCTTCAGTTCTTTCTTTTTTGCACCTGTGGCTAGTGCTTTGAATGGCCTGATATAGCTCTCTACTGCTCATTTTCTGGAGCCATCATTGCTGTCAGGGCATACTCTCTAGCCCTCTCTTTCTTTCTTTTTCTTTCTTTCTTTCTTTCTTTGTTCCCTCCATCCTTCTTTTGCTTCTTTGTCTCTTTCCTCTTCCTTTGTGGTTTTCAAGCAATTAAACAAAGTAACTGTACGTAAAGAAATTAAACAGAAAGTACTAGAGGAGTAGAAATAACTGCATCGGGATGAGACTGGCCCTGATGGAGCTGAAGGTTGGACTGGCCAAGATCCTGATGAAGTACCGCATCGTCACCGGACCTGATACTGACGTACGTTTTCTTTTATTCATTTATTTCTGTACGTTCTTCAGCTTATGTTACACTGTAGTCTGTCAGGGCTTATTGGGCCTCCTCCCTGAGACTATTACTCAATCTCTCACTGTCAGGAACTTGGATTGAGCCTCCTTGGATGTTGAAAAGTTGACTGGTGGTGCAATCATGGAAGAAGTTACTTCATACAATAACTCTCTCTCACTAACTCACTCACTCGCACACACACTCACACACAAACACACACTCACACACACTTATGTTATTCAGTCAGGTATATCCCTCTGGTCATACATGTCAGTAATGTTACAGCTCCTAAATATGCATAAATTACCCAATACAGTCCTGAAAGTCTGAAATCTCCAATTTCATGTTAACTTTGATGTGTTTTCTCCCTGCAGATCCCGTTGGTGATCCAGAAGAAGAAGCAGTTCCCCACCCCGGAGAATGGGATTAAGCTGAGGGCAGAGCTGCTGCAGGATTAGTCTCAGTATCATTCCACACCAAAAGGCTTTAAGCCTGGTTACCAGTTTCCATGGGCTGGCTTAGGATAGTATCCACCAGACTCCTTTGCAGGCTGAATAAATAGTAGAAATCGGCCTAAGAAGAATGTAGCTGACCAGGGGAGTTGGTAGAGGGTCAAGCTGGACCCTCTATTTATTCAGCCTGCCAAGTAGTCTGGTGGAGACAAGGCTTGGGACTAGTTAGTATGTGAGTGATATAGCTAGTGGTTACCACTCTCTATGGGGTGGCTTGGGTGTTACATGTCTTTTTTTCTGGAAGCCAATCTTTTCAATCAGCTTTTCTGATTATCTATTAAGAGATTCTAATTTGTAACACTGTGACAGTGATAAGCTATGCACAATTACTTTTGATCGGGACCATTATTTTTAAATCTTAATTTTGCTAATACTATATATGTGCTTAAGTGCTGTGTATTATTGTGGACACAGCCTCGGAATTGCAGCTGACTTCACAAATTAAGAATCTATAGCATATATAGCATTAAATGGAGCAGTTTTTGATATAATATGAATGAATATGTATGAACGAAGACCTTTATTGTGCATTTTTGCTCAAGTAGGCTAAGTACAGGTCAGATATTGACAATCACTCATAAAACATAATGATAATAAGATATATATATAACTTGATGTTTAGTACATACTCATTATATACATATTAATGGTTTATGTTTCTCCTTATCTATCTTGGTGCTAAGTGCTTTTTTAAGTCAGAATCTGCAATGATATTGATCAAAGCTATTATCACATTTTAAGGTGGTGGTTTACATTAAGTTTTAACAGTGATCTAATATAGGCTTAGTCATAATAACCTATGTAGATGACTAAAAAGAAATAAAGAAAAAGATGCATTCGGCTGTGCGTTTCTCATCTACTAATATATATTATGCAATGCAGTTTCTCTATACACCCTCAGTGCTAGTGTTTTGGTCTGTGATAGCGGAAAGGCCACAGTATGGGTGAGGGGGTGAAGTCTAGCCTCTACCAGGCTTTGGGAGGCGGCTGGAAAGAGTAGAAATCGACCAAATAGAGAGAGATAACATGCCAGGGGAGTTTGTCTGCTAGAGAGTACAGTTTGCCTCTCCCGAACAATGAGGGGATTACTTTTATACCGTTTGATCGTAGCCACCCACGACAGGCTTTGGGAGCGGCAAACTGTACTCTCCAGCAGACCAACTCCCCTGGCATGCTATCTATCTCTATTTGGCCGATTTGTACTCTTTCCAGCCGCCTCCCGAAGCCTGGTAGAGGCTAGGTGAAGTCTGCCATCTCGGCGGGTTTTTTTTCTACAGATACGTGGAGACACTGGCAGCGTCTTTTAGTTCTTCTGCTGGAGCCTTGGAGATTTCTTGTGTCTTTGGGGTAGAAGCTGGTGCTTCTTGGGGCACCACAAGTAGTATACTCTGTAACACCCGTGTAGCTGAATCTGTAAGAAAAAACAAACAAGAAACAATCAACAAGTGGTTCTGATGATTAATTATAATTGTTAATTAAGGGCTAATGACCTATTGTTTTTTCCTCTTCTTCCATTCCAAGAAAATAAGGTCAATGACCTGGGCCAGATGTTTGTCACCATGGTAACTGGTTCAGAGGCAGACACCCTGTGGTGTTGGATTACATTATGTAGCAGGTGGCAAGACGGTTTGGTCACCACCTTAGTCTCCAGCTCAGTTTTGCTTCATAATGTAACCCAACACCACAGGGTGTCTGCTACAACACCAGTTACCATGGTGACAGACCTCTGGTCCAGGTCATTGACTTTATTTGTTTGGAACGAAAGGAGAAACAAAATGTTTTCCTTCTGTGAAGGTAAACATAATGAACAGAGCAGTAGTTTGTCTACTAAATCGATGTGAAGACTAAATTGGTGTGAAGGTGAACATTGTACTTTCTAGTTCTAGAATTGTTTGCCATAGGTTTATCGAGTTTGCAACATGTAACACCAAATCATCACCTGTGAATTGTCTCAACCAGTCCGGCTTGTTCTTCCACACCGCCAGGACGTACACCGGAACTCCCGTCAGCGTTAGCGCGAGACCTATCCCGACATCCACCGGGGCAGAGTACAGGGACATGGCCACCACCACTGCGCACACCAACGTGAAGATGATCGGCAGCACTAGTGGAACCTGGTGGGAAGAAAGTTTTGAACATCAAACTTCCTTTCCAGAAAAAGCAGGATCCTTCGTTACCTCTGTCTCCAAGAAGGGATTCTAACTCGGTTTTGGAGTTGGTTTTCGGGTCTTGTTATGATATATTGTTATCACTGTTACGACGTTATCAAAAGTTCAGTTCTTATTTACTTGCAACTATCCCTCAGACAAGAGTTTGCAGTGAGTGATAATGGCTGTTTAGCTCGGCTGAACACCATCCACAAAGAGGCAAACATGCGTGTCTTTAGTGCTGAACACCATCCACACACAGGCAAACACACCTGTCCTTGGTACTGAACACCATCCACACACAGGCAAACACACCTGTCCTTGGTACTGAACACCATCCACACACAGGCAAACACACCTGTCCTTGGTGCTGAACACCATCCACACACAGGCAAACATGCCTGTCCCTGGTGCTGAACACCATCCACACACAGGCAAACATGCCTGTCCCTGGTGCTGAACACCATCCACACACAGGTAAACATGCCTGTCCTTGGTGCTGAACACCATCCACACACAGTCAAACACACCTGTCCTTGGTGCTGAACACCATCCACACACAGGCAAACATGCCTGTCCCTGGTGCTGAACACCATCCACACACAGGTTAACATACCTGTCCTTGGTGCTGAACACCATCCACACACAGGTAAACATACCTGTCCTTGGTGCTGAACACCATCCACACACAGGTAAACACACCTGTCCTTGGTGCTGAACACCATCCACACACAGGCAAACACACACAGTTAAACATGCCTGTCCTTGGTGCTGAACACCACACACACACACACACACACACACACACACACACACAGTTAAACATGCCTGTAGTTGGTGCTGAACACCATACACACACACACAGTTAAACATTGGTCCTTGGTGCTGAACATTACTTGTACATTCCAATATTGATAGCTATAGATAACAATGAATCATATCATTACTAACTGTTCTATAAGTTAGTACTTACCTTGAAGGGGCGGTGCATATCTGGCCTTCTCCAGCGCAGGTACGGTACGGTGGCGGTGGCCAGCCCGATGAACAGCCAGCGGACAGCGCTGAGGAAGTTAATCAGCCGGTACACGTCATTGCTGGTCAGCATCAGGAGAGCGATGGGACACTGTGAGAAAACGAGAGACTTTAGATCTGGATGTGTTGCTTCAACTTTAGAGGAGCGTGGTATTCTCTCTTTCTCTCTCTGTCTGTCTGTCTGTCTCTCCCTCTCTCTCCCTCTAGATATCTCTCTCTCTCTCTCTAGATCTCTCTCTAGATCTCTCTAGATTCTTTCTCTAGGTCTCTCTCTAGATCTCTCTCTCTAGATCTCTCCCTAGATCTCTCCTAGATCTCTCTCCCTAGATCTCTCTCTCTCTAGATATCTCTCTCTAGATCTATCTCTAGACCTTTCTCTCTCTAGATCTCTCTCTCTAGATCTCTCTCTAGATCTCTCTTTAGATTTCTCTCTAGATCTCTCTCTCTAGACCTCGCTATAGATCTTTCCCTAGATCTCTCTAGATCTCTCTACATGTAGATCTCTCTAGATCTCTCTCTAGATCTCTCTAGATCTCTCTAGATCTCTCTAGATCTCTAGATCTCTCTCGCTCTCTAGATCTCTCTCTAGATCTCTCCTTAGATCTCTTTCTAGATCTCTCTCCTTGGAGACTAATTAAAAACCCTTAGCTCTAACTTACCAGCAGCGCAACAGCAGGCAGAGGCGTGAGCAGAGAGACATGTATCATGGCGAGCAGGTCGGGGAGGTACCCGTCACGGGCTCCTACAAACGTCACCCTGAAAACAACAGGGCAATCAGAGATGGCAGACTTCGCACCCTTGCTGTTGGGCGCCCTCTGTCAGAACATACAGAAACTGCAGTTATACAGAGAGCCGTGTATCATGCGAGCAGGTCGGGGAGGTAGCCGTCGCGGGCTCCCACAAACGTGACCCTGAAAACAACAAGGCAGTCACGCCCTCTGGCAGAACATACAGAAACTGCAGTTAGACAGAGAGACGTGTATCATGGCGAGCAGGTCGGGCAGGTATTAATAAACCGTCACGGGCTCCTACAAACGTCACCCTGAAAACAACAGGGCAATCAGAGATGGCAGACTTCGCACCCTTGCTGTTAGGCGCCCTCTGTCAGAACATACAGAAACTGCAGTCTGGAAACCTGTCACTCGCTACCCGAATCCGATATTCGAATTTTCGAAACGTGTTCGCATCATTCTATCGAACATTTGGAAGTCCGTGTGTGATGTCGCTAGTTATCACACGGCCAGAACACCCGTATCGAACGCTATCGCATTCTCATGATATTTACTACATGTTGACTTGTTTTTAAGAGCAAACAGACAATAAACAAGTACATACCTCGATGCAGACAGGAAAATGCCGTTAGTCGAGCCGAAACAGGACACAGCGACTGCCACCGGCACCACCCATGCCATGACTCCGAGAACACGCTGGGCGAATGTCTGAATGGAAAAGAAAAAACATTTTTACTTCGTGTCCTTCTTGATGCCACTATTTTGCTCCGTGTTTGAAAGGTTCATGTAGGCTTAGGCACAAAAAGTACCGTCCTTTCGCCACCGATGCGAAGGTGATGAATAAAGTTCAAAGTACACACAGTTCCCTTTGGGAGGTACAGCACCATCATCATCATCAACATGGCCGCCGCAGACCAAGAAACGCACGCCAGCTCAGTTCGTCCTCGTTCCTACCAAGACGAGAGCTATCAGCACGGGTTTCTTGGAGCTGTGGGTGACTTACAGAAGGAAGGGGAACTACAGGATGTCGTCCTTGAAGTCGAGGGCCGGCGGTTTCCCTGCCATCGGCTTGTTCTGTCCGCGGCCATCCCCTACTTCCGAGTCATGTTTACAAGCGACATGGCGGAAAGTCGGCAGAACACGGTCGTTTTACAGGGTCTGGATGCAGACATGTTTGCGGAGATCCTGAGTTACATCTACTCGGGAACCCTCCACGTGTCCCTGGACAGAGTGCAGCACCTGTACCAGGCAGCCGACCTCCTGCAGCTGGACTATGTGAGAGACACCTGCAGCAGCTACATGGCCATGAACGTGGAGCGCTCCACCTGTGTGGACATGTACAAGTTTGCTGATGTCTTCAGCATGAATGTTGTTCTGAACTCATGTCTACAGTATATATGTCAGCATTTTGTGGAGGTTTCCTCCAGTGAGGAGTTCTGCAGCCTGAGTGTGGATCAGCTGACTGAGATCATCAGCCAGGATAAGCTGGATGTTAAAGAGGAGACAAGAGTGTGGGAGGCTGTGGTGAGATGGGTGCAGCACAGCAGGGAGGACAGGTGGGCAGCAGTCTTATGTTTACAGGCTTCTTTGACTTGTCTGATTAGTCTGAAAATGTATGAATACATTCTATGACTGAAGAAGCCTGACTTAATTGATGATATTCCAGCAGGCATTGGTTTTGTCCAGTTTTAATAGTACATGATTCATGACGTATGAAAAGCATCCCAGCAATTTCTGCAGTGATACCTTGATACCGTCTTCGGGATGAGAGGTAATCCTGTGGTGATCCCGATCTCGACTTCACTCAGTGTTATACTTTAAAATTATGCTCTCCCAGTATTTGTCTAGGTTCGTCTTGAACTCATTTACTGACTCTGAGTCAATTATGGCCTGTGGTAGACTGTTCCAATCCCTAACGACCTGGACGCTAAATGACTGTCGTCTAACTCTTCCCTTTGCCAAAGGGACCTCCAGTTTACAACTGTGCCCTCTTGTTGATCCTTCTGTTCGCTTCTTGAAGAAGGATTCGAGTTGGATTCGAGTGTGATATAGTGTAAAAATAGAAAACTCTTCCACCCTACAGACTCCAGCACCTACCCAGCATCCTCTCTCACATCCGCTTCAACCTGCTGACCTCTGACGACACGGCAGCCATCTTGGAACATCCCCTGGTCAGGGAGGATCCTGGGAGTTCTGAGGTCATCAGGAATGTGGTACACTCCAACCGGAAGCCAAGGCATGGGATGACAACGGAAATGGTTCTATTATGTGATGATGAGAAGTATGTAAAATACTATACTTGTTCTTCTTCTTTGACTCTGTTTTCATGTTTGAATTTCTCTTCAGCATTATCTTCCTAAACCCAAGAACCAACATTGTATGACCTGATGTTTGGATGCATCTTGCCTTTTACAGCAGTAAAAAGATGCTGTGGATGAACCCAGGAGAGGGGAAGTACATCAGGTGTGACTACGACCTAGCAGTATATCCATACAGGGGTGTGGTTACTTGTGATAATGAGATCTATGTGTTAGCTGCAGATTCACACATCCATCTGTGTAAATACAACCATGCTGAAGACAAATGGGAACAAAAGTCGACCGTGTCCGAAGGACCTAGAGAACTAAGAGTTGGAATTCCAAATGACTACCTTATGGAAATCGAAGGACATGATCTTTTTTACCTTATGGTGTATCCATTTGATCGAGTGGTGGTATTTAAGAAATACAACCAACACACAAATGAGTGGCACAACTGTTCAACACCTCAACCTAGTGATTCGCAGTTTGCCTTCATCTTTGCATTGTCCTGCAATCAGCGCATCTACCTCTTCGAACGTACAGAAATGCATTGGTATGACCCAGTGGAAGACCGGTGGACTAGGAAAGCCCTTTCAGACTACGGCCCTGAAGTAGAACTTGACGCCGGTTCAGCAGTTGCCATGGGGACAGAGATTTTCTGGATGAATCCGGAGTACTGCGACAAGATGTTGGTGTACGACACAGAAGCAGACAGCTGGTCTGAGCATCCAAACCCAGGGCTTGAGGAGCACGATAGTCCAAACATTGTAGATGGGGCTTTCTTCGTACTCCAAAACACGCTGCATGCAATGCTCGATTATGCAAATGATGACTACTTAGACATAGACATGCCAAGGCAACAGGTGTTCGTGTATGACAGGCATGAAGGTGTGTGGAGTGTGTCGTGTGGACTGCCTTTTGATCGGGAGTGTGTGTACAATGATATGAACGCCGTGGCTCGTATGTACCTACCATATCTGATGAACACCAGCCATGCAGACACACGGGATGCAGAAAACCCAGAGGGACCAAGTGAATAGTTTTGGTAGTGCACAACCCATCAAAGAAAGTGTGGGAACATGCTAGAATGCCATCATTGAGACTTTTATGACTTCTTTGAGTTGGTTTTATAATTCATTTCCATGAATTAGAGAATAGGCACTGTGTTCAGGAGTGAAAAGTAGTCTCTCCAGATCTGTTACACTTATTCAGTGTGCTTTTGGTGCAAGACTTTAAGGATCTCTCTATGTTGCACAGTTTCCAGTTCTTGTTGAATGCCCCACGTTGGATACATGTTTTTGCACACAAACTAGCAATGACTTTTACTGAAAAGTGATGTATGCTTCTCAAAGTGACCAGATATACAAATACGGCTTACCAGACCACACATTCTTTAAGATATGTTTCCAATTATTCCATGCATTGTATTATTAGTACTAGTATCTATTCTTGCATTCACCATATGTATGGGCATTGAATATTGATAGATCATAGCACAGTTGATACTAAGTCAATCACCTTGAATTATACATCACTATAAAGCTTACTTTGCAACCTCATACCACACTACCAAAATTAATGTACACTCATATTTACTCAAAGTTCTGTCACATCTTCTTGACAATGTACATACTTTTTATAACAATACTGGTGAATATCGATACTAGCTGTAAAGTTTTTTCATGTAAAAAAAGATCATTTGAACATTCATGCTAGCCTCAACCAGGCTTCGGGAGGCGTCTGGAAAGAGTAGAAATCGGTCAAATAGAGAGCTAACATGCCGGGGAGTTGGTCCAGTAGAGAGAACTCGGCATGTTATCTCTCGATTTGGCCGATTTCTACTCTTTCCAGCCACCTCCCGAAGCCAGGTAGAGGCTACATTCAAGCTAGAAATTCCGTCTTTCACACAACTGGTGACCCTATCTTAAAAGTTCACGTCACGGAAGCGGGGTAGTGCTCATTCTTTGCCAAATACAGTCGAAAATTTGGGTAAGTCCAATTCTTTGTGTTGCAAATTACAGTTTCAATTTGCTGCAAAATCTAAATTTTAATACAAATGAATGAATATCTTACCACCGCTACTGCGTCTGACTCCAGGACCTCCTGGGCGGTCATTGTGGTGAAGTAGGCGATGTTCGTCAGCAGGTATATCACCATGACAACCGCCACTCCGATTAGGATAGCCAGGGGGAGGTTTCTAGAATTTGAAAGAAAATGAGATTGTTTCAAACAATCCTGAACCTTGAGGTGTTTTGAAGTGGTGTCAAACAATCTTCAAACGTTTTTTCTGAAATGTGATCGAGAGGAATCGGGTTATATCGCTGCCGGAAATGATCTTTAACGTTAAAAATAAAAGCTAGCTATTTTCTTGCTGTGTAACACCAACTTTCCTTCGACTTCAAAAATTCCTATTGGGAGGTTTGATACGAGGAAATAGTTGTAGATCTGTACACATAAACTATGTACCTTTTTGGATTCTGCACCTCTTCTGTCAGTGTATTCAAATAGAACCTGAAGAAAGACAGGAGGCACGACATATGACAAGATGGTAACAGTTTCTTATAGCAGTTGCTTCTTAGAGTGAGGTTGAGATATCATATACAACTAGAAAGGTAACATTTGCAAAGCAATTGCATATTGTTAACCTTCACATGTTCTAGCCCAACAAACTACTGCTCTGTTTATTCGTACTTAAATAAATACATTCATATATATGTGCTGACCAGCCCTCTAATACTTGCTACATCATGTAATCCAACACCACAAGGTGTTTGTTACAATACCAGTTACCATGGTGACAGCCAGCTGGTCAAGGTCATTGACCTTTCTTGTTTGGAGAAGAAGACGAACCTGAGCAAACACTATATATTTCCCTTCTGCGAAAAAGAATTAACAGGATGAATATGAGTAGATTCTTACCAGCCGGAAAAGGCAAAAAGTCCGGAGTAAAAGGCGAGAGGGATTCCCTCTGGTGTAATCGTCTTCCCCTCAAAAGTGTTCTGGAAGTTTTCGGTGGCACCTAAATTGGAAGATAACTAGAAATGTAACATTTGCAAAGCAAAAGCATAATGTTTACCTTTACGTATGGTCTGCTCTGTTAATTCTCACTCAAACACATTCATATACGTGGTCTGACAGAAGTCGAAATCCCTCCTGCTGTAAAATTGCAACATGATGTGCTCCAACACTAGTTACCATGGTGACAGACGTTTGGTTCAGGTCATTGGCTTCATTGTTTGGAGAAGAAGAAACAGAGCAAAAACAATATGTTTTCCTTCGGTAAACATAAATATACTCTTACCGTTGGCGAGTTGTACGATTCCAGCGACTATGATGACCCCCAGTCCCAGCACTTTCCCCACAGCGAACACGTCCTGGATCCACGTGGACACTTTCACGCTGTAGCAGTTCACGAACGTCAGTAGAACTGGGGGGAATTCAGGGTCAAGGTTGTATGTGTTAACCTCGCAGTGGGGTCAAGTACACGATGTGACTTGCAATCTGTTTCTACTTAGCTCTAAGGGAATATTTGTTGTGCTTGTTTTGTGTGTTTTTAAGAGAGAGAGAGAGAGAGAGACGGTGTGTGTGTGTGTGTGTGTACGTGTGTGTGTCCTTGTAATATAAACTTAACAGCATATAGTTAAAAATGTAAGCATGAACATTTCCAGGTTTGTACTAGGCTCTCTTGACCAACAACGGTTCCTCCCTCGAACTTGGAAAATTCTGATGCAATGCGCGCAAACGTTACGTTATACTGCGCTTAACAAGAACTGTTTATTCTGCTCTTAAGCGTGAATTGAACCAAGATCCGGTGTTGTCCTTTATCTCAAAAACACTTTATTACCTTCGCCAAAAAGGTTAATATGTTTGTCTTTGTCGTGTGCTGGTTTGTTGACAGGACAACTCGAGAAACTGTGGATAGATCTTTCTGATATTTTGTACGTGAACATGTTTCCGCAAAATGAAGGATAATACCGTCCGATTATAAGCCACCAGGTCGACTTTCCTTCTCACAGACCACCTTTATCAACCCCGCCCACTCCTCTTTGTCTTTCTTGGCATTTAAGACATTTCGGCCCAGGTTGGCACACAGCCGTAGTGTTTGCTATAGAGTTGTTGACACATATGGTACGTTTACCAGGCGATAAGGTTAGGACCAACCACGCTAAGCCAACACACGAGTCTTGTGTGTAAACATTAAATTGGAAATAACTCGTCTGTATCCTAAATCATGGTACGTAGAGGAGCATGACACAGCAAAAACACACCAAAACTAGTTTGTGTAACTGTATGTCTATGTGTGCCTCTGTGTGTGTGTGTGTGTGCGCGTTTGTGTGTGTGTGTGTGTGTGTGTGTGTGTGTGTTCGTGAGTGAGTGAGTGTGTGTGTGTGTGTGTGTGCGTGTGTCTGTGTGCGTGTGTCTGTGTGTTCGTGAGTGAGTGAGTGTGTGTGTGTGTGTGTGTGTGTGTGTGTGTGTGTGTGTGTGTGTGTGTGTGTGTGTGTGTGTGTATGTTCGAGACATCTAACGCATCTGTTACAATACCCCAAAAGGTTGTATATAATATAATATATTATAAAATAACATAATAAAATATAATACAACTATATAATATGATAAAATATGATACAACTTACGTATTGCTGTTGCAGCCAGCAGTTTAATGGCCGACTCCGGCGTCTCACAGTCCAGAAAGAACGGCTGTAGAATATACCTCCCAGCCGTCAAGGACAACACAGCCATCACAGCCGGGCGAATCAACACAAACTGGGTCCACAGTCTCAAAAACGCCGGTATAGGACCGAACGCTTCGTAAAGGTACGCGTAGTCACCGCCGGATTTGGTTATGGAGGTGCCAAGCTCGACGAAACTGAGAGCGCCGAATGCGGAGAGCACGCCACAGAGAGTCCAAACGATCATGGCTACCCCGACGGACCCACCGCAGTTCTGTAAGACTCCCTTCGGTGAGACGAATATACCCGACCCGATGATGGTCCCAACGAGGATCGTTACCCCATTGAAGAGGTTGATGCGCCTTTTTAGCTTCACGACTTCCCCACCCGACGAATCTTTGTCGGTGCCCGGAGCGTCTTTCGCGGCTGTAACGCTTTCCTTGGTCGCCATTGTGAAGAAATTCTGACTGTAGACAAGACAACGAGCTACCCTTTATAGTAGTCACCAATCTCCCAAGGTTTAAGACTGTTCCAGCTTGGTACTGCAAGCTTCAGAGTTACCCTAGTCACGTATTTCTTCCAGGGCTTAACACTGTATTCTCTCGGTACTGCAAGCTTCACTCTTCGTCTAGCCAACTCAACTCACTCGGTGATTTTGCCCACTAGAATGCCTTCCAGGGGGGATTGGGCGAGTTTCCTTGGGGTACTTCTAGGGGGTGGAGTTACCCTAGTCGCCAATTTCTCTCAGGGCTTAAGACCGTGTTCCCTTCGGTGTAGCAAGCTTCAACCTCCGTCTAACCGAATAGACTCACTCGCTGATTTTGCCTGCTTGAAGTCAATGCCTTCCAAGGGGTGGAGTGACCCTAGTCACCAATCTCTCTCCAGGGCTTTAAAGACTGTGTTCCCTTGGCGTAGCAAGCCTCAACCTTCGCCTAAACAACTCAACTCACTCGCTGATTTTGCCTGCGTGAATTCAATGCCTTCCAAGGGGTGGAGTGACCCTAGTCACCAATCTCTTCCAGAGCTTAAGACTGTTCCCTCGGTGCTGCAAGCTTCAAACTCCGCCTAACAAACTCAACTCACTCGCTGATCTTGCCTGCTTGAATTCAATGCCTTCCAAAGAGTGGAGTGACCCTAGTCACCAATCTCTCCCAGGGCTTAAGACTGTGTTCCTCGGCACTGCAAGCTTCAACCGTCGCCTTGCCAACTAAACTCACCCGGTGATTTTGCCTGCTTGAATTCAATGCCCTCCAAGTGGTGGAGTTACCCTAGTCACCAATCTCTTCCAGAGCTTAAGACCGTGTTCCCTCGGCGGCGTAGCAAGCTTCACTCTTCGCCTAGTCAACTCAACTCACTCGCTGATTTTGCCTGCTTGAATCCAAGCCTTCCAGGGGGTTGCGTGTTACCTTGCAATTGGGGTTATGTAACCGCAAACCTGGTGCCGAAAAGCTGACCTGCGTTGGCCCTGACAACAGTCTAGATCCCAGTTTAAAGCTGTAAACAAAAAAGTACTAGTAACGCTGACAAAGTTTACCTGGAGTGAGCCAACTCCCGCGTCAGGTGGTGTGTTGTGTTTGCAATTGTGAACACAAAATACACACTTATAAGTGAACAGCTATCAAATATTAGCCTTCGCGTGCAAAGGGGGCCACTGACATCCGGCAAGGGGCGTGGGGGTAAAGATTGGGGGTTCATTTTAAGGGCATTTAATAGAGTTAATATATTCTAGACCTGTTACGGAATGGCAGGTACTGAAAGGCCTGCGCGACATACATGCCCATTTCGCTATTCAAAAGGGGGAAGCCAGGGTGCCAGATTGTTGGAAAGGCCAGTATACAGGCTAGCTTCTCAGCTGCAGGGCTAGCCTGGGTGCCAGGGCCAGTATACAGGATACCTTCTCGGCTCTAGAGCTAGCCTGAGTGCTAGATTGTTGCAAAGGCCAGTAAACAGGCCAGCTCCTCAGCTCCAGGGCTAGCCTGGGCGCCAGACTCTTGCAAAGGACAGTATACAGGCTAGCTCCATGGCTGCAGGGCTAGCCTGGGTACCAGACTGTTTCCAGGGTCAGTATACAGGCTAACTCCTCGGCTCCAAGGCTAGCCTGGGTGCCAGATTGTTGCAAAGGCTCCTTGGCTCCAGGGCTAGCCTGGGTGCCAGACTGTTGCCAGGGCCAGTATACAGGACAGCTCCTTTGCTCCAGAGCTAGCCTGGGTGCCAGACTGCTGCCAGGGCCCGTATAGCTCTGACTGAGGACTGGCCGGTGTACTGGCCCTGACAACAGTCAGGTTTCCAGGCTATCAAGGGGAATTTATCAAGGGCGGTTCTTTACTTTTAAATCAGTAGTAACGCAGCTATGATGACAGAGTGCGACCTTCGCATTATATAACTGAACTATGTACCATCACTTATGCGGTATGCCATGTTGCCATGTTGCTAGGGTCGGTCAGAAAACCTGTAACACACCATTTTCCCTAATCTCCAAGCACATCCCTTTCGGTGGCAAAAAGGCAGTATCAAATTGGCCAGCAGTATCCATTAGCCAGGTAGGGGTAGCGACAAAAAACGGCCATATATACAAAGCTAACGATGATTCCCCCACAACCTCTGCTTGGAGAGTACATTTTCCCAGGGTCTTGGTGTATAGCGTACATTCTCAACACTTGGCATATGTCCAGAACAGTTAGCTGGCCTGTCACTGAACTTGGCAAAATAGATTTAGATTGATGTCAGCTGTCGTGTTAGTTTGGCTTTAAAGTTGACCCGTGACAGCTTGGCGATAGCATTGTATTAAAGGAAACGTGACCGAGGAAAATATATATTCTGTCTATGATGTAGTTTTAAGTACTGTACAGGTAACCGCATACATACTCGTACACTCTGTACGTAAGGTGACGTTATCCACACATGTATTTAGCTTTGTTAGATCTTTAGTTGTAGGAGACCATACAAAAGTCTCTGTACTTTTTTGTTGTGTCAATAAAGAATCCCTATGGTAATATATGCGTGGCTCTTAGGCCTGGGGACCAGCTAAGGCACCGTACAGGTAATTTTTGCGCTGCACAACTTGATTTTCAAACTCAATTTTCTGGTCAGTCTTTTAATGTAATAAGTTGAATGAATCCTGCCCAATAGCATACTGGTATCTATTAGGCAAAAACGGTTGCTATCTAGATCTATAGAAGGTACTAAAAAGTAAAGAAACGATTCTCATAGCTTGTTTTGGGGCTATTTCAAACGCTTCAAATATAGAGTGATGGTAGGTAATGTCAATATCAGACAGATTTGCTCATCCAGAATATTTTTTTTTTTTTTGCCACCCTGAAATTGCATTGGATGCCTTTAACGTTGACCCATGACGACATGGTGATATCATTGAAAGGAGAATTGACCGAGGAGAATGTATTGTCTGCCTCCAAAAGTTCTTAATGAAAGGCGAGGGTTCGCAGGACAAAACGCCAGCGGGGAGCCTTGGGAAATGGACCGGCGGTATGGGGACTGGGTTATGTGAAAAAGTTTAGCCTCCACCAGGCCTTTCTACGGGAACACGGATCGTAGATTTCGGCACAAAAAAAAGAGAGTAAAATTGGCCAAGGACGTCAGTCCGCGGTAAGTTGGTTCTTCTTCCAAACCTACAAGGCGGCCAAACTCCTCTGGCAAATATTCTCCTATATATAGCTAGTGTAGTTAGTCTGGTAGGGACTAGAAAAAGGTGGCATTGGTTTCTTTTTAAAAGGGCAAAGATTCCCACATTGAGTCACTTACTAGCCCCAGTCCCCAGTCAGTATTTCTGACAGTCTTTCAAGTCGTCTTTCTTGCTACTTCTCCGTAGGTGAATTAATTAAAGCCGACCTGCTAGATTCTTAGGCAAAAGATACGCGATCAACTCCCTGCATAGTGATGAAGAAATTCGGTCGAAGGTCGGTCATCCGTAAACATGGGCTCATTTCTCACAAACTCAGCAAGAGATTAACATTTATTACATGATTGATATGATTTTAATAATAAAAGCATATGATTAAGTTTCGTTTTGCAGCGCCTGTGATCCACGTTCCCTCGCCTGGTGTGAAGTCGGTTCGTCCGGCGAGGTCGCTGTGATTCTTCCTCCTAATTTGTTGGACCTGTAGGAAGAAAATAACATGTGAATGAAGGAATAAATGAATGAACGAACGAACGAATGAATGAATGGATGAATGAACGAACGAGTACGAGTGAATGCATGAATGAATGAATGAACGAGCGAATGACTGAATGAAGGAACGAAATAATAAATGAATAAAAAGTACAGTTGTTCTCGTCGCTACATGTTGTATCAATACATCTCAATAGATAAATGGAATGAATGAATGAATGAATGGATGAACGAATGAACGAACGAACGAGCGAACGAGCGAATGACTGAGTGAACGAACTTATAAATAAGTAAAAAGTACAGTTGTTCTCGTCGCTACATGTGGTATCAATAAATCTCAATAGATAAATGAAATGGAATGAATGAATGAATGAACGAATTACTGAATGAATGAATGAAGTACAAATGAATGAAAATTACAGTTGTTCTCGTCGCTGAAGTCATGACAGTCGTACAGCCCGTCACAGCGCCGCTCCTCCGGGATACAGCCTCCGTTATCGCACTGCCACAGTCCGGGCTGACAGGCTGGGGGTGGAGAGGGAAAGAAAATTTTAAAAAACAAGAACAGAAAGAAAAATACGTAAAAAAACAGTTACTAGTATACTCAAGCAGCTCGATATGATTTTGGAAGCGTTCAGACGCTTCAGGTAGCATCCACTACCTTTTGTCAGTGACACTGGAGAGCTGTCAGAAAAAGCAAGTTTAGACATTGTATAATTAAAAAGTACGAAGAAAGAAAAACACGTTGACAAAGGTTCCAGGCATACAGGTAAAACGCGATACTCAACAACATTTTAAACTCAGTATCAGTACAGCCGCCCTTTGGCGTAACACACCAGCTTCACAGGCACGCGGCGCGGCGGCAGCTGGCTATATTACACTGAACGACTTGTTACACCCAACCTCTGTATATTACTACTGGATAGATGAATGAATAAACGAATGCGAGAAAGAGGGAAAGAAGAAACAAAGAAGGGATGAGCGAATTACTCGATATGTGGTCGTTAGGTATATACGTGTAAGGTTGAAAACTTTAAAAACCGGAGCACTCACGTGGTCTGGTGACGACATTTCCGCAGTTCGCCTCGTCACTTCCGTCCCCGCAGTCGTCAAAACCGTCACACAGCCAGGAGATGACTCCGGGCACGTCAAAGATACACCGGCCGTTATCGCACTGGAAGTACATCACTCCGCACAGGTCTGCAATATACATACATGTAACGTTACATATCTACATGTAAATATACATATTGTGCAGTAGGGGTATCCCCACTAGGTAGCTTTAAATTACCCTGGGCACGTCGAAAATACAGCGGCCGTTATCGCACTGGAAGTACATCACGCCGCACAGGTCTGAAACACGAAATCGGAGTTTTTAGACTCTTGTTTTATTTTAGCCTGGGTGCCATCCTCCATAGTTACCGTCGACTTCAAGCAGACATTTTGGATGGCTGCATAGACTAGACAGTATCAAAGAGTGGCGTATACGGAGGATGACACCCAGGGTACAAGTTTTTCGCAGAGCGCACCACACTTGTTTGCAATATGGTACATTATTCTTTAGCCACATAAACACACGGAAACACAAACACACCACAGACATACACACACACGCGGGCACACACACACGCGCGCGCGGGGGCACGCGCGCACACACACGCACACAGAAACACACACACACAGACACACACACAGAGAAACACAATTCATGCCGAATACAGTCTGAATCGAATCCACCCCATTCTCCTAGACGAGTATTTGGCTAAAATGTTGCGACTAGCGAGCTAAGACATTGTGTACACAGTTATGTTCTTTACCATGAAACTTTTCCATACGCTATTGCCTGATGGTGGATTATACTACATACTACACATTAGCAGTACAGATGCCGCCTAGTACAGTCTGATCCACACATGATAAAGATAAAGATAAAAACAAAATCCTCACCGTTTTGTCCAGACACGTTGGCGATGAGGAAAGCCACGAAGCTGACGAGCAGAAGCAGTTTAGCCGCCGCCATCTTGTTTCGTCCCTGTTCCCCACCCCTATCCTGTACAGGAAGGCAGTACACAGTGGTGTTAGCTTTAGATATGGTAAGATCCGGACACGCTGCTACCATAACTAGGTGCCACTCTATGTGTACAACACATAAGAGCGACCACCAAGAAAAAGATTAAAAGCATAATGCTACAAAAATATCTATTGTGGATCGTTGAACTTGTAACGAGATTTTCTTTTTAAAAAAGACACTAGATATAAAAAGATGTTAAATTTGCAATTGTACAGACTAACTAGGTAAACGAAGCAAACAACAGATGGGCATTTTCTCACTGACTCTAATATCATTAGAGATTAGCCAAAGTCCAATAGTCCACACGTATGCATTGGCTGTGAAGCAAGTCCTTAGTGGTGAATACTATCTGCACACAGGTAGACAGGCCTGTCCCTGGTGCTGAACGCCATCCACACACATAAAACAAGTACTAATACTTTGCATTAAACATTAGCTTTATACATAAGCAGCTCTGTCCTTGGTGCTGAACACTATCAACTCATAACAAAAGGCACATATTCTTGCTGCTTGCTTTGCCCTTGTTCTAGAACAATAACTCAGATCAACAAGAATAACAAAGTAGAACTGCATAAACAAAACAAGCAACAAATATACACTTAACTTCGAAACACAACTTTTTCTTGCCCATTTTATAAGGAACGTAGCTAATAGATCAAGAAATCACATTGTATTGCTCTTTTAGAGTATGTCAAAAGCAAGACATCAGGTCAAAATGAGGCTAGGGTATCCTACTGTCGAGTAATAACGTTACATGTGATGCTGAGGTCACATTTCCAAACCAGGCTGTTTCGATTAATGAAAAATCAACAATTTGCATCAATAATATACGCAAATAGTTCCCATTAATAATATTTCCAACTTATTTTGTGCTTTGTTGTCTTTTATATCCTACTTTTCGTTCCATAAGACTACCCGGCCGGATCCCGGTTTAGAAATGACTTCAGCGTAAGAAACGTAACAAATCATCTACGGTACCATGACGATACAAAAAGCGTTCCATAGAACAAAACAACCGAATTGTAAACAGAAACATTTCTTTCTGGCGTTGGTCTGGTTGTACGCTGTCGGTAAAAGTTGAGTTCCGGGCAAAATGTGCTCCACCGTGTGTTGCTTCCCACGTGAAAACATCAGCGATTGTATTGAAGACTCGGGAAACATTACAACTGTCGACGAAAACAGGAAAAAGGTTATATTATCACCAGAAGAGCCATGTACAAGCAAGAAGGAATCTGGAGCTACCACAGCAGACCTAGCGGTGTCTTGTATGGAAGTGACGTGGACATGTATTAGTATCTCTGACAAAGATTCCAGGGTCGGCGATGATTGGCTGAATGGCGGCTGGATATCTGATGACGGGCTGTCACGTGTTTTTACATATTTGGACATGGCGGGACTGTTGTCTTGTGCGTGTGTCTGCAAGCAGTGGTACAGGTAGGGTCTAATTTTGCCAGTTTTGTTGAATGTTTATTATCATTGACGATATAACTAAAATGGTGAATGATACGATTTAGCTTGCAATGGGATGAAATATTAGAATCAGTTTAAGGCCTGTCTTTGGTGCTGAACTCCATCCATGGCCACGCACACACATACACAGTCAAACAACACCTGTCCTTGGTGCTGAAAACCATCCATACACAAAGACACACAAACACACAGGCGAACATACCTGCAAACATACCTGTCCTTGGTGCTGAACACCATCCACACACAGGCAAACATACCTGTCCTTGGTGCTGAACACCATCCACCCACAGTCAAACATGCCTGTCCTAGGTGCTGATCACACCTTTCCTTAGTGCTGAACGTCCCTGTCCTTGGTGCTGAATGATATCCAACACAAGTAAACAAACATTTTGCCTTGCCATCACCTTTATACTCAGATGTGCCCATCTGCCCGACGTGTGGACCAGAAGAACCGTCACAGTTGACTTTACTTTGAGCGCTGATCACTCCTTCTACAAACCGACAGAGGAAACCACGACTGTCTTAAAGACATTCAGACACTGTCTTAGGAACGTGAAGGTCAGTTTTTACAAACTTCTTCTTAACGTCTGTCACCATGGTAACTGGTGCTGTAGCAGACACCCTGTGGTGTTAGGTTACATTATGTAGCAGGACAGAGCTGAATCACCATATATATGAATGTATTTGAGTAAGAATGAACAGAGAGGTAGTTTCATGAAAGTTCATATGTGTTGGTAGTTACGTGTTTAGAGTTAAAACTTTTGGTCCAACACAAAAAATTGTCTCGCCTACAGCTTTCAACCAGTCACTCTGGTCTTCCTCAGTAGACTGACCCAGTAAAGCTTGTCACCTGGCTTCTTTGAAGTGCGACGTCAACACTAGGTCAAAGGTACATGTATCTGGTAGACGATGTCGGCCCCCGTCGCGGTTCAATGAAGGGTGATGGGCAAGGATAGAGAGGTAGTTTGGTGGGCTAGACTATGTGAAGGTAAACATTATACTTTGCTTTGCGAATGTTACCTTTCTAGTTTTCATAGTGTTTCTTTTTGTTACCCATAGCTCTCCCTTCCACGGGAGGAATGCCCTTACGCCAAGTCTCGTAATGTCACGCGAAAAATCGCGTGGGTGGAGGTGAGCATCCTAGTGCTAGCAGCTGCGCATGCGGGACGCCTGAACAGCTTGGAGGTCAGTGTATAGAGAAGTTTGCTGATACAACAAAAATGTGTTTGTGTGTGTGTGTGTGTGTTTGTGTGTGTGTGTGTGTGTGTGTGTGTGTGTGTGTGTGTGTGTGTGTGTGTGTGTGTCCACAATTCAATACACACACATCCTTGATGCTATTTCCGGAGGTTTTGCAAGGGTAACAATACGGGTAAGGGGTGGAGTCTGCCATCTCTAGTTGCCTTTAGTTGCGAGGAATGCTTTAAGCATGTGACCTGTAGTGTACTGTGTTTTTCAGCTGCACGCCTTTGAACACACGCTATACAAGGACCCTGTCTGTGCCGGCCGTCGGTGCAGTTCCATCACGTTTCCCATGAAGGAATTTCTCAGCGAGGTCAGTCCGATTGGAACAGATTTTCATCTAGCACGAAAGTTCATCTGAGTTGGTAGAATATATAATAAGAAACTTTAAACTGTTATTCAACACAAAGGTTTACATGAGATGATAATTTCATCAGGTTGGTGAATGATTGAATAGCAAAGTTCAATCATTCACAACAACATGTTTAACAAGAGCTGACATTTCTATGACTGTCTGTCATCGTACGAGGGGTGATCCAAAAGTTCTCGGCCTCACCAAGAAGAAAGAGGTGAAACTCCCATTCTGGGGTATAACTGTATACTATGATGTCTTACATCACTGCACACAAAAATGCAAATTTTTATATTCATTAATTAGCACGTGACGCCCCGTGAAAATGGGGCAGGTGAGGGCAAATTCACAAAATGGCCGCAACAGAAGCTCGTGCTGTGATCAAGTGTATCGATAAAAAGTGATGTCTCCCAAGGAAGTCCATTAACACATGGTCAATACACTTGGTGATGACTCCCCTTCTCATTAAACTGTAAAGAAGTGGGTTGCCAACGTCAAGCGTGACAAGGAGAGCACGAAAGATGAACACAGGTCGAGACGCCCTAAAATCAGCACCACGGACAATCCAGTTGAGGCCATCCATCACATGATAGTAAATGGCAGATGTGACACTGTCCAACGTGTAGCAGGTTTATTCGCCTGAGTTGTGGATCAGTTCACAGTGTTTTGTCGAACATCCTGGGGATGAGCAAGCTGTCTGTACGGTGGGTGCCTAGAATGTTGTCTGAACATTGGAAGTTAGACAGGCTGGACATTTCAATGAACGAATTCAGTCCATCAAGGCAATTTACTCAAACGATTTGTCATCCAATATGAGACATGGGTGCACCACTTTCACCCCGAATCAAAACGACAGAGCAAATAATTGATGAAGAACGGGTCCCAGCCCACCAAGCGAGTTTCACCCGTTGACAAGGTTTTGGTCTCTGTTTGCTGGGACAGTGAGGGGGTTATCGTTATTGACTATCTGCAAAAGGGTCAGACCATCAATGGGGTGTTCTGTGCACCAGAATTACGACAGTTGAGGGCAACAATCACAGAGAAAAGGAGAGAAAAGCTCCGAGTCGACGTGCTGACAATGCACCTGTCCACACAGCATAGGGGTCAGTGGCAGCAGCAAACGAATGTGGCTTTGAAATGTTACCCCACTCTTCCTATTCACCTGACCTAGCACCGTCGGACTTGTACCTGTTTCCTAAACTGAAGTTTCACTTACGTGGTCAACGTAGTGATGGTGATGATGGCGTCATTGATGTGGTTTAGGCATTTTTAAGGGCTTCAGACGCAATATTCTTCCACAAGGGAAAGAAAAGCTCGAACATCGCGAGACCAAGTGCAATGAAGTTAGAGGGGACTATGTTAAAAAATAGTGCAAGAAAAATTTTTCTGCCATGACGTTTTTTGGGAGAGGCCGAGAACTTTTGGATCACCCCTCGTAACTGCCCTTATAAAAATGATAGATGGTCATTGAATCATCAAATATTTAGATTTTACACAGCCAAAACACAACCGAAGTAACGCAATGCATTTTTGTCCTAGAAATTTAATAGAAGCCTTAAGACTACTCTATACGTAACGCTTAATTTATTTTGACTGTGTAAAAACTTAAACTTATCCAATATCTGCTGACGTCCTTTTTTGTTTGTTTGTTTGTTTGTTTTGTTTGCTTGTTTGTTTGTTTTTAAGGTCCTCGCCTGTTCCCCGGGGCTCCAACGTTTGGTAGTGAACGGCCTCCAGTGGGAGCAGTGCGGTATATTCCCCTCTTCCCTACCCTTGCTGCCGAACCTCCGCCATCTTGCCCTGAACTACACCAAGGATTACGACACCAGGACGAGAGCTAGAGGACGCCGGGACAAAGTACCGAGACCGGTGTCGCTGTTACCTGAGTCGCCTTCGCAGATACAGATTCTGAAGTTACAGAGCACATATATCATTGAAAAGTTTTTACAGGTAAAAAGTCTGATGTGACAAAGCCTATCTATCATCTTACAACTTAGCCTCTACTGACCGATCTTCATCGAACGCGTCGAACTCCCAATTCTATTTCGAACAGTCCTTCCGCCGCCGATTTTGACGGAGTGGCGGGGCTTATTGTGTTCGAAATAGAACAAGAGGCGGGGCTTATGGTGGTCGAAATAGAACAGGGGCGGGGCTTGTGGTGTTCGAAATAGAACAGGGGGCGAGGCTTATGGTGTTCGAAATCGAACAGGGGCGGGGCTTAATAGTGTTCGAAATAAAACAAGGGGCGTGGCTTATGGTGTTCGAAATATAATACGGGGCGGGGCTTCTGGTGTTCGAAGTAGACCTGAGGGCGGGGCTTATGGTGTTCGAAATAGAACAAGGGGCGGGGCTTATTGTGTTCGAAATAAAACAGGAGGCGGGGCTTATGGTGTTTGAAATAGAACAGGGGGGACTTATACTGTTCGAAATAGAACAAAAGGCGGGGCTTATGGCGTTCGAAATCGAACAAGGGTGGGGCTAATGGTGTTTGAAATAGAACAGGGGGCGGGGCTTATGGTGTTCGATCAGGAACGTTCTATTTCTACATTCTTGTAGGTCTTGAGTTCAGGAGGACTCCCGTGTTTGAAGACGCTCGTGGTGGTGACTCGGAACGAACGATACAACCCTTTCTTGCTGTCGGGTTGGGCCGACGTGTTCCGACGATTGCCGACGTTGCGACTCGGGCTGTTCTTTCTTGACGTCCACATGACCCCTGAGGAGTTTTGGCCCTTCCTGAGACCTGACCTGCCGGTCACTGACCTGGGATTTTGTACCCCAAGCGTTTTTCCAAGCCTACAGATAGAAGCTGTGATGAGAATGATACCCGACTTATACAGCTCAACACTCGAGTCGTTCTTTTTGCTCGGGATTTGCGGACTGTTCTGTCAAGAAAGCCTGGTCGACATCGTCCGGAAATGCACGAAGCTGGCGAAGCTGGTCGTCGAACCGACGCTTCTAGCCGAGACGGTGGCGAAGATTGCCGAAGCGGGCCGGAGTCGGCTGAAGACGCTGGTCGTTCAGTGGATGATGGACAGGGTGAAGTCCGATCCGACACGACTGCGCCTGCTCAGTGCAGACGACATTCGAACTTTGAAAGATCACGTGACCGCGACTCTACAGCAGCCCTCTGAAGTTGCGCTGCACACCAAAATGGCACCAAACTATCGACTTCACGTGGAAAACTTTATATAAAAGTTCACTCCAAGAAAACTTGCCTTGAAAGATTCCTGTGTGATTAGTTGCGTTTTAATACTAGTTAAAGAACTTTGCCAAGAAGTGTCTGTGTGTGTGTCTGATGTCTGTCTGTATGTGTGTGTGCGCGCGTGTGTGTGTGTGTGTGTGTGTGAGAGAGAGAGAGAGAGAGAGAGAGAGAGAGGAGGTGTGTGTGTGTGTGTGTGTGTGTGTGTGTGTGTGTGTGTGTGTGTGTGTGTGTGTGTTTGTGTTCGTTCATGCGTGCGTGAACATCTTAAAGTTTCTGTTATAATGTAGCAAACTAGCCGGGAGCTAGTGAAACGTAACAATTTAGCCTCCTAGTATCTGCTTGGAGATTAATTAATCTAACTGCACAGAAGTAGTCCGACCAGTCTGTGTTGACTTTTGACCTCATCTAACTGCCGACAGAGAGATGTATTTTATGAAGGAATGGCTTAAATAACAGTTTGAGATGTGTTTTATGACTGAATGGCTCGAATAACACTTTGAAATTCGAGGTAGAACAACCAATAGCATGGCGGAGTCGAATTTTGGGAACTGTTTGCAGTTGTTAAGTTTCGTAGTAGTGTCGGTGACTTGTCTTGTGTCTGTTGTACCGGCCGGCGCTGACAGGGAGTTCGGGGAGGCCAGAGGTCGTCTGAGGATAGCCGAGTTTCACCTGAGGAAGTTCGGAAGGGCAACCATGGAGGAGCCGGCGGAAGTTCAAGTTATTATCAAGGTTTGTCTCTGTGTGTGTGTGTGTGTGTGTGTGTGTGTGTGTGTGTGTGTGTCTATATGAGTGCGTGTGTGTGCGTGTGTGTGTGTGTGTGTGTGTGTGTGTGTTTGTGTGTGTGTGTGTCTGTGTGTGCCTGTTTGTCTGCCTGTATGTCTGTCTGTCTGTGTGTGTGTGAGGGGGTGAAGTCTGCCATCTCTGACACATATTTCCCCTTACAGCTAATCCGTAGATATGACATCTTGCTGTTGTTAGGGATCATGGACATCACAGGAAAGGCTATCTACGAGCTCTTCGACAAGATCACCATGTGAGCTGCAGCGTCATTCATACATAATGTTTACCTTCTCCCGGTCTAACCTAACAAACTACTGCTCTCGGCTATGTTTGTAGTTACATGTTTAAAGTTAAAACTTTCGATCAAACACAATAAAGTTCTTTCGACCAGTTACTCTGGTCTTCCTCAGTAGACTGACCCAGTGAGGTCTGTCACGTGGCTTCTTTGAAGTGTGACGTCAACATCTTGTAGACGATGTCGGCCCCGTCGCGGTTGAGTGAGGGGTGAAGGGCCCTGATGTAAATATCCTCTTTCACCCCTCACAGGAATATTGGACATTGCATAAGACTATATCCTGTTAAGTTTATATTTTCATATTTCAAGTGATATGGGTGAAGACGAAGACTACGGAATTATCGTCAGCAAGAGGGTTGGGATCGTGCCGAGAGAGCAGTTCGCAGTCATATACAGGTACAAAGGATCTCAATTCATGAAATAAAGGTGATATCACACTTGAAGTCACTTAAAGTAATGTTTACTCCATATATATAAAACCTTAGATATGTAGGACTCGCTCCGCAAAAAGTGCTTATTTTTCTGAGCTGGATGGCATTAGATATGTAGTAATTGGTACGTGCCGTTTTCGACTCACTGTACATTTGGTCTAGCCTCTACCAGGCTTTGGGAGGCGGATGGAAGGTATAGAAATTGGCCAAATGGAGAGATAACATGCCAGGGGAATTGGTCCGCTAAAGGAGTACAGTTTGCCACTCTAGCGGACCAACTCCCCTGGCATGTCATCTCTCTATTTGGCCAATTTATACTCCTCCCAGCCGCCTCCCGAAGCCTGGTAGGCTACATCTGGTCAATTTATACTATTTAACAAGAGATAAAGTCTTATAAACGATATTTTTCTCTCATTATCAGGGTTGACAAAGGCGTGGTCATGACGGATTCCTATTATTACGAACTCGGGGGAGACGCCAGGGTCTTCGACAGAGCGCCATTCATTGTGAGGTTTTCGTTGCAGCAACTTGGTACGTAAAAATAGAATATATCAACGATCTTCAGTCACACAGGTCATGTACGATATAGTATACAGACGTAGAAGAACAAGAAACGTTGTGTTTGGGGGCCCCTTGCATGCATGATGTGTCAGCCTACCTTACAGCATTCGTAATTGGGTTCTGTATATTCTTTTTTTCAGATCAGGCATCGTGCGAAGAAGAAAGTTGTCACAACAAGGAATTGCCAGGTACGTACTTTTGTGACCACACATTACTCGTACATCTTACCTCATTTTGATTGGAATTATACTTATATTATTGATTGATTATTTCAGTGCTAGATGACATTGCCCTGGTAGCTGTCCACCCCTCAGCCACCGACACGGCACGGGAGTTAGACCGTCTGGCGGACGTGTATACTGACGTATGCGCAAGGTGGAATATACAGGTCTGTTTGTTTGTTTGTTTGTTTGTTTGTTTGTTTGTTTGTCCGCCACCAACACGGCGCGGGAGATAGACCGTCTGGTGGACGTGTATACTGACGTATGCGCAAGGTGGAATATACAGGTCTGTTTAAAGTTACATTTTACAACTTTCGATCCAACACAAAGTTATCTCACCTAGAGCACTCGACCAGTCACTCTGGTCTTCCTCAGTAGACTGACCCAGTGAGGCTTGCCACGTGGCTTCTTTGAAGTGTGACGTCAACACTGGGTCAAGGGTATCTGGTAGATGATGTCGGCCCCCGTTGCGGTTGAGTGAAGGGTGATGGGCCCTGATGTAAATAGCCTCTTTCACCCCTCTCAGGAAATAGTCTTGTTCGGTGGCCAATATTCTTACAGTGTCCAGTGAAACAAAATGTCCAGGTGACTCGATGTAGAGCTGGTTGAATATATATCATATCATAATGCATATATCATTGTTTTCCACAGAACGTTTTGTTTGCAGGAAATTTCAGGGCAGGGTGCGACTACGTCACAGGGAAACAACTGAAGGCATCGCGCCTGCGCGCCAACTCGAAATTCCATTGGCCAATCGGGGATGACGTAGATACAACTCTTGCCAAATTAGGCTGTGCTTATGACAGGTAAAAACTATTCTTAAAAGTGGTTTTCGCCGATTTTTAAGTTAAGGATTCGTTAAAACGTATAGGTAACCAGTTTCTCTCACTTTCTTTTACTCACTCTTTGTGAGCTTATGTGTGTGTGTGTGTGTGTGTGTGTGTGTGTGTGTGTGTGTGTGTGTGTGTGTGTGTGTGTGTGTGAGTGTGTGTGTGTGTGTGTGTGTGTTTGCGTGTTTGTGTGTGTGAGAGTATTTGTGTGTGTGTGTTTGTGTGTGCTTGTCTGTGTGCGTGTCTGTGTGCGTGTCTGTGTGTGTGTGTGTGTGTGTGTGTGTGCGTGTCTGTGTGTCTGTGTGTGTGTGTGTGTGTGTGTGTCTGCGTGCATGTGTATGCCCGTGTTTCTTCACTGTAGTTCCTATATGTTCCACCAGGGTGCGCTTACCATTTACCGCCTGCTATCTCTGATTGCTTGTAAAATACGTTATCAAGGCCATTTCTGTGTAAAAGAAAAAACTATCGATGACACAATTCATTGCAAGCTTCCTATAAATTGTACAGTGCAAGTTCTGACTCTCTTGTTTCTCCTTTCACACTAAGGTTTGTGTTGGCCGGGCAGGATTTGAAGCGGGCCTTCATCCCGGAGAGCGGCAAGATCTTTGAATACGACTCGGCGTACGATCTAGACAGAGACTTGGTGATCATCTCCTTGCTTTAATCAACTTAAAATCACTTGAATGTTAGCCTCCTTCCTTTAATACGACGCGGCTAGGCAAATTTCTGTCTCGTCAACGGTCGTTGCTATTTGAAACGAACGGTCGGAGCCATATCCGAACGTAGCATAACTTCTTCGAGGGGCAAAAACATTTAAACCTTATAAAAAGCATCATTTCAATTTCAAATGCACGACATCGCGAATAATTGTCAAGATATTAATGAAAGAAAATACATTTTTTATCGCAATTAATTATTGTTCGGAACTTTTTATCTTATTTATTGTAAGAATAAAATATTTGGGCATGTCTGTGTTTAGGTGGAGGATCTCAGTGACCACTATCCAATAGAGATACAGATTCAGCCGGCTGGAAGCCTGAAAAGTGAGTCATTTTAGGTAGTCATTTTCACCTGAGTGTAGTGAAGAAATAGGTGTAGAGTAAGTATATGAACACAGCATTGCGGCCTGCATGTGGTTCAAACCCATAACCTTTTGATTCTAAGCCGACAACCCTAACTAGAAGGTGTTCGTCATAAATTAGCAACACCTCATATTGTATTCTAGTGTTCCTTTTAAGTTTTTATATTTGTTTATATTTGCTCTTGATAAGAGTGCTTTTATGAGCACTTTGCTTTAAATTTTCTCAATTTTGTTTAAACAACTATGAATAAGAAAAACACAAACACAAGACCATCTTGCCACCATCTAATTCTTCTTCCGTCAGACCACTGGAACCTGAGAGGAGTAGAGAGTGAACAGTCGCTGAAGCTGTTCGACGCTCGAGCCTCCGTCCCTCGCCCGGCAGACTTGGTCACGACTTTTTCACAAACTTTTGAGGACTATCGTGTAAGTCAACTGACAACATTTCATTCCTTCCGAAAATATATATATAAATAATAAATGGATAAATTTCAAAGCCTTATGATGATAATCATAACTTTTGTAACCAAAATTATGGAAAAGTAATCGACTGGACAAAAGTCGTTCAAAGCCATTCAAAAAGTTTCTCAGTGTTCCTAATTTTGTTCCCATTTTATGTTGTATCGTTTCTCGTTCACTGGCCACCCTTGGTAATCAGCAAAGAACAGCTGTAGGGGCAAGCCAGTTGTCTTAAGATGCGATAAATGAATGAATAAATAAGACTGGACTCAAACAGTTGAAAATTTGGGTATTCACAGTTTTTTGTATGGTTCAGACCTGTTTCAGATACTGAAGTGTGTTTTACATTCTCAGGTTGAAACGCTGTACACGAAGACCGGCGACCTCCGCAAGATTCTCGCAGCAAAATTCTTCCCGGACGGTTCCAAACTTCAGAAGGAGATAAAAGACCTGAAGATCGTTCTGCACTTCTTGTCTCCAGACATTCTGCCGAGGTTTAAGAAAGCTTTCGGGGAGGAGGATAAGAACTTGACCTTGACTTTGGTGTGCGATGTTATTGAAGGTGGCTGTGAGATTAGTATATCGACACCTATGTAGGCATTGGGACTGAGATATCTTTGTTTGTTTGCTTGTCTGTTTGTTTGTTTAGGATCTCTATAGCTATTAGTGTGAATTTTACACTATTCTTCCTGAAGTCCGTAGTGAATCATCAGAGTAGTGTTTGGACCATCGCACACAGGGCATGCCCCTACTCTTTTTCGAAAGGCCTTAAGGTGCGGTCTGTTCTTGAACGTGCGTGGGGTGTGGCTCTCCTCAAGCACGAAACCTCCATTTAGCGTCCTATCCGAGGGACGTCCCTAACCGAAGCTATGTACTCATTTACACCTGAGTGAAGTGAAGAAAGTCGTGTAAAGTGTCTTTCCCAATGGCAAATTCAAGATCGGTGACATGGCAGGGTTCGAACCTGGGACCTCAAGCTTTTTCTTGCAAGTTGAACACACCATTGCAGCATTAATTGGGATTGACAGACTTCAAGTCAACCTTACACACAGACACTTTCCTCAGAAAAGACGCTGGAGACTCACACCGTTCCAACAACTTTATTCAAGCCCATCTGCAAAGTTTTTTCGTCTGGCATGGCAAAGATTCTCCATTTTCAGGCTCTTAGTGACACCTATGGTAATGGAGAGGCTATGGGAAAAGTTTAAAACAACATATCCCCAATATGAAAAAACTTAAACTGTTCTCCAACTCAAAATTTGACTCACCAGAAATTTTCGACTGAATCACTCAGTCTTCCTCAGCTATCTGACCCAAATGCTGTGGACACGTGATTTTTCCCACGTGGGACGTCAGCAAAGGGTCAAAGGTTGTCTGAAGTCATATCGCCCCCCGTCCCGGTTGAGCGATGGTTAAAGTGCCCCAACATATCCCCAACTACACATACAATCATGAACTTTAATATATTTCTTCAGAGTTACTGGATGCGGGTAAAGCTCAGACTTTACTATTACTTCATTATTGTCTGTACTATTGTCTTATAATATATAAGATACTTTTAAACACTATTGCAACATTAAGTATGGTTCCTTTTGAAACCTTGGGAACATACTCAGCTACCTGAGTCAAGTCACAGTCACATCACTGTCAGCATCACATCTGAGACATTACAACTGTAACACTGAACAGTCAAGCCATTTAAGTGTATAACCATTATTCATAACATCCAAAATAGAAATAAAACTAAAAGAACATTGCACTTTCTCATCCCAGCTGTAAGTTAAACACTTTTTATCACTCCGGTTTATTGCCTTTCCTGTCTTTTTCACAGATGCCTAACAACTTGTATTGCCTGACATTAAAGACGTTAAAAAGTCTAGAATCTTCCATAGGAGCCAGACTGTTGTTCTATAATATTCATATTTGACAATTATTGTGGTTTATTGTGGTTCAGCTATCAATACAGCAATTCTACATACTTGTGGTATATAACACTGTACAAATTGCACCAGAATACATCGATAAGACATTAATGATAGCCATGGTCTACAAAAATACTGACCAAACTATTTATACAATTTTCTATATTGGACAATTTCGGGTTACAACTCTGGATGATCATTTTCGTTATTACCTACATCTGATTTAGTATTGCATGTGTCCTCACAATGTTCAAGAGCATCCTTATACAACATCCTAACAACCTCGTATGGGCACGAAACCTGATGCCATCCGGGAAAATGTTCCTCTCGCTCGTTCACCATCATCATCACCCTGAACTTTGACCCTGCGGGGTCATTGGGTCGTGACCCGTTGGGGTCATCAGGTCGTGACCCCTGTGGTGCATCATGGGAAGTTGCTCTCCCTTGTTCCGATTGGTCGCATGGGGAGGTACCGTCGCACTTGTACAAAACAAGAGCGAGGTTTGCTCCGAACGGTGAAATTTGAGATGTACGGAAAACGCGGTTCGTGTGCTTGGCAAAGTTGTCTGCCCTCAGAAGGGTCGTGTCCTTAAATAACCCCAGGAGGCTGTAGAGGGGAACCAGCGTCTCTGTGTGGCCGAACAGGAACTGTGCTCTCAAGCTGAGGAGGGGCAGATAATACTGTAACAATACTAAATCAAACTTCATTGCACAATAATTGTAAAAGGAATATTAGTAGGTAAAGTATGGCATCAATTGCCATATGACAAACAAGACTGACCTACCTACCATAAGTTAGACTACTAACTAGTATAGACTAATTTTACTGTAAATGGTCAGATTTCTGGCATTTAGGTCGTATAGTCAAACCTCGTCTCAGGAACCACTCAAGGGACTGAGGAAAAGTGGTTGTTGAGGAGGCAATTACTAATGTCTAGTTGTTGCTCAGGCAGGGTTCTGGATAGTCTCTGCATTTCTTGAGGAAGTGCAACATAGATTTTCCCCAGGCACAGTTCTAGATACACAGTCTGTATGCATTAAGTCTCAGGTCTCGTATGCGTGGACTAGAATCTAGAACTGTACCTGACCATGGTTCTGAATTAAGTACAGTTCTGGAAATAACAAATTTCTCTCTCTTTCTTTGTCTCTCTCTTTCACTCTCCCCCCTCTCTCTTTTTCTCTCTCTCTCTCCAGTTTGGATGCCCTTCCTAATGCCAACCCAAGCCCTAGTAGGGCCCAGGATCCCTCTAACTGACCTGCTCTCGTTTCCCGAGACAAAGCCCTCCATAGGTTTTAGCATCTCCTTCAGCAGATGACATGCAGGTCTGTAGTTCAGCCTGTGGCCGTATCCATGCTTCCAGTAGGACTTCAGGTCAGACAGGTACTCAAGCACCTAGTAGGGAAAGGATAAAGAACTGTTTAGTCTACTGAGGAAGACCAGAGTGACTGGTTGAAAACTCTAGGTGAATTTCATTGTGTTGGATCAAAAGAATTAACTTTAAACACTTAAAAGCCATTTAGTTGATCACACACTTTAAAGTACAACATGAATTGTAGCCTATTTACTGTACAATATGTACTAGAATCACATATACTTGAATTGTAACAAGAAACAAAACATATATACTTAAGTGTTCTAAAAAGCATGCATAATATGGGGTAATGAAATTTGCTATTTGAATGCATTTATTTGTCTATTATTTAATTGTTTGGCACAGAGTCCATGATAAAAGTACAGCAATCACTCATACACAACTATTTTTCTAAAAGTTGTGTGACTGAACTGTTGGACAATTTTTACCTGTAGATGTTGAGGTGTGAACAGGTCACACCAGATGGAGCGGCCTCCGTAAACAGCTGTCTCCATGGCACAGATGGTCCACATCACCTTCAGGTGAACTGGGGTGGCAAAAAGACAAACATGTAAACAAAAATATCACACTCATTGCAATACATTGATGAAGGTTTAATAGACATCCAGATATTAAAACAATACTCATAGGAAATGTCTGTTCAGCTGTTTTTTCCAGTTGCTCATGTATATGTGTTAACGGTTCTGTTAGTTCATTAGTGACACTGAAGAAGAGTGGTGGATGTCACTCGAAACGTCCGGAAATTATCTCTCTAATTTATCTAGTAGTAGAGTTCAAATTTCCTATGAGCACTCATTGTAATGTTTCTTTATTTCTTTTTTTTCAAGCTGTAAGATATGCCAGAAAAAAATGATTTTGGAAACTGACGTTTTCAGACGTTTCAGGTAGCATCCACTACCTTTCATTAGTGACACTGGAGACCTCTCAAATTCAGTTTTATAAACAGGAACTACACATTCATCCATTGTTCTCTGAGTGTCTCTCACTGCTATTAATAACACTGTTGCCACAATACTATCAATAGAAGTTGGCGTGCCTTGTTCAAGGATGTATTATTTAATGTTGGATAGTTTCCTATTGTTGTCATTACAAAGCATGCTAGCACAACCAGGATGTATTATTTATGCTGCGTCACCTCAAACGTACTTGTGTGATGTGAGAAGATAATAAAAGATGGGGGAGAGCCATTATTCACTTATTTGATCACATACTCAAAAATACAACATTGTAACCCAAGGGCTAAATTGCAGTGTTTTAAAAGATCTTTACAATACGTACTATAAGCATCTATGTTAGACTTCTAACACAACACTAATGCAGGCTACTCATGAGAATATGTGAAGACAACAACAAGTTCAAGTAAGTAACTAAGTCAAGAAAAACATGCAAGTTTAGGCCACAACAATTTAGTTTCTTTCTTCTTGGTCATTTTAAGGTGAACAGATTGCAACTAGACATTACAAAAGCACAGAAAATTTGAAAGAGGCAGGAAAACTTGAATATGACTGTATTCACTGTAGCATCAAGGACATTATACTACATAATATCCTTGGTATCATAAATTAAACTGGGTCCAGGCCTGAATGTTTTCATTTTCCTGAGATAAGCATTATGTCATTAAAAAAAATGGAACCAGCAAATTAAAATGGTGTGGCCTTATAAATTCATTTGCCATTCAGCACAAGGTTGTTGTGGCGTGTAGGTCATTCAGTACCAAGGACAGTCCTGACAGGCCTAATTAAAAGAGATGCTGTCCTATGTAGTAAAGTAATTGCTTTCCATTGTGTACCAGAGTTACAATTCATAATTTATTGATGGGGGTGAAGAACTTACAAGCACGTGTAATTGTCAGTCTTAATTTGAGATCTAATTTCAGATTTATGGGCCCCAGAGTTATGTACATATATGTATCTACCATAACCATATTAATTACTTAGTACAAATGTATCTGATAAATTAAGTCAAAAGGCCAAGTTTGCTTAAATCACTTGTATTAGGAGTGTTGAGGCTTGTGATGGAGTATAGCACATTCAGCACCAAGGACAGACACAGATACCATTATTATAGGATGTCAGCTTGATAATTTATCATATTACATGTAACAGTATCCGTAAAATAACCTGTACTGAACTCAGTGGGCATGATAAATGTACAATAAAGGTCTTCATTGATTCATAAAATCCTTAACTACTAGTAATTCCCCTGAAGTGGCATTATAGCTCATTCAGCACCAAGGACAGACACAACCATTGTTATTGGATGCTATTTTAGGCAGTAGGGATACAGTAGCTACTACAATTATTTGTTTAGATTGGTGACATGCTAGCATGCTGCCAAACTGCAGACACAAGCCTAAAGATGAGTCCTTAATTTTCTGGGTGGTAAAAATCAGCCCAGGGTCCTCCCAGTAACCGTTTTTTTGTTCAGAATTTATGGCATTTTTGCTCCATGAATGTCGATATACATATATTGGGATAGTGTTTCAACTCAGTATGTAGATAAGTGACTAGAATATTGACTTTAAGAAATCTGGTTTCTGAGCCTTTAAAACTGCATTGGATGCCTTTAACTCTTTCTCTTGAACAAACAAACATACAAACTTACCAGTGGAGAAATCCAGCAGTACCGAAGGTCCTAACTGTGACGTGATGTTCTTCAGCACACCTCTGAGCTCAGGACCGTCCAGAAACTTTGAGACTTCTTGTAAGGCTTCTGGGCTTCCCTCAACTTCTTCTGACCACTTCTTACACTTCTCAAGAAAGCGTAACAGCTTGTCTGTGTGAGCGCCTGCATCAGTCTTAAGTTTCCTGGGGTCGTCTAAGCTATCACCTGATTTTATTTCTTTCAACCCGTTCCATACTCCACTTACAAACGCAGAGGCACTGTCTAATGTCCTGTTTGTTGTACTGCTCACAAATCGTAGGCTGTCGGATTTTGCGCCGTGGAATATGGTGGGAAAGCGATGGACGATACGGCCAGCGAGTTCTTCCATCTCGAACTTCCCGGTTTCTGCGAGCATCATGGTGTCCTGCCACTCAAAAGAGTTCTGCCACCGCCTCATCATGTTCACGATGTCCTTCTCTTTCGAGCCGTAGTGTCGGATTGACGAAACCACGTAGTCGATTTTGCTGATGTCGGGCTTTTTCGGGTACCGCGTCCCATGCCTCACGAGCATGCTAAGGTGGATGGGCTTGCATTGGCGGAGTTGCGGGCATGTTTCTGACGGAATTCTGTCTCTCTCGGTCCTCTCGTGCCAGGTGAAAGAAGAGTCGTATTTTGTGTTGGTGGCGAACGCGTCGCGTTTGGCAGAACTGCGCGGGTCCTGGGTGGATGTTCGGCTTGTGAAGCTGAGGAGCAGCAAGAGGCATGTTGCTACAGGCGGGATTCGAACCCTGGTCCGCTGTTCTAGTCTGATCAACATTGTTGCACCGCAGGGCAGGATTTCACAATAGAAGTGTTCCCAGGCTTGAAGGATGGAAAGTATATTATGACATGAATTCCAACAATTAACTTATCAAGCTCATCAATTAAATGTTACATGGAGAATGGCTTACATTATTCAAAACTAGTCTCATAAATGCATACATACATCTACCTGATTCCAATAAAAAAAGAAAGTTTCATTCATCTATGGGAACCACATGAAGGAATAGAAAAGTGAAGGTATCATTACTAAGAATCTGTAAGATATTTGCTGGCTCAATCAATTTAGGTTTTGTGGTGTTTTAAAATATCCAAATGCTGCAAGTTGACTTTACCCAGGAAACACAATCACTAGATACCATTCCATTGTACACACATAGTACATGTCTCCTTTCTACTTCCATCATTTCAGTTCTAACGTTACATGAAACGACAATATTAGATGTAACGTTATGGTTTAGACCAACGTACCTAGCCATCTCTAGGTGTTCCAAATATATCATCAGATTTGAAATCAGTTGGTAGACGCTTTTCTCCAAGATCCTGTGTCCACCTTCTTCAGAATTTTGAGGTGGGTTGGGCATTCCATCACTGTTCATCAGTGCTCTTCTCCATCCCTCATCTTTGCTCTTTAGATCTTCCTCTCTATCTAGGTAGACCGAACTTCATCTAAGGGGGGATGGTAAAATTCGAACTAGGGACAAATTTTCATAGAAGTAATCTTTTGGATTGTCAATTTTGTTTTATTAATAAGATTTCGATGGAAATATTTCGTTCTGATTCGGTAATATGCATTAAAAATGGATGCGAAGTGCATATAATAACTTCTGGGCGTCCCTCTGAATAGTGGACTGGTCCAGATTAAATACCCCAATGTCATTTCCGGTTCAGACACTCGCTAGCTTCCGGTTTTCGACAGCGGACGGCGTTCCTCCGAAAATACCGACTCTTTTCACCTCTCCTGGTCCCAAATCACGACAAAAATGTCCGAGGATAGTCAACAAGACAGCAAGAGGCAGAAGACGGTATGGAAGAACTTATCTTGTCGTCTGTTTGGGCGTATCTTTGGTAGTTTGGTCGCTTGTGGGAGGGGGGAGGGGGGCCCGGCGCGTCTGGACGCATCGGAAGTGAAGGAATTTTTCTAGGAAGCAGACAAAACTCACTCGGCGTTTTGTGACAATTTTTAAACTCTACGTGATAGCAACCGCGAAATTTTAGTCATAATAAAAAAGATAAAGTTATAGAACTTGAGAGAATTGAGTTCCGTTTTGCTCGACTGAAGATGGTGTCAAATAAAATTATCAAGGTGTTTCTTGTTTACTGTTCACCAAGGAGGTTATAACGAAAGTCATCCTTGGTTTGATCTGAAAAATTTATATCTACGTGTGATGACTTCAGTAAAACTCCCTGAAAAATAAGAGGTTTGGTCACCAGCTCCCAGTGATTAAAAGATGCCCATGTTGGCTCTTGGAGGGCATATAATTTTTGCTGGCAGTCCTATAACGTTAATTGATGCTGTCTTTAAGTCATATATATATATATATATATATATATATATAAGACAACATGTACCAGCAAGAGACACCCTCCAAGAGATTTGCTTGGCCAGGGTGTGCCGTTTCCTGTGTCAGAACTTCTCAAAAGTACACGTATGTGAAATCTGAGTATGACATGACTTCCCCTATATGACAGGCATATCGCAACACCTTGCCTTTATTTCTGAACCTCAAGTTGATGAGAACCATGTGAAGGAATTCTAGGAACAGCTCACATGTGTTTCTCATTCTTGGCTACTACTAGTATATGTGTCAAATTGCAGTGATAGTTCCAGTAGGCATACTGGTGCTAGAAAATGGTTGATCTTTACATTTGACAGGTGATAAAATAATTGATGAAAGACTGTACTTCATTCATTGTATTGTTATATGTCTCAAGAAAAGCCAAAGCTTTTAACGTTACTAAGATATTCCAGTTAATCCAGTAAGACCAAGCCCCACTGAAAAATAACTCGTCTTGAAAAACAACACCTCACAGTTGAATGGGGCTGTCTAGTAGTAGTCTGAGCATTGAAAAAATACTGACATAATAGCTCTGAAGTTGAACGACATCTGCTTGACAATCGTGATAACTCCATTACTAGTAGATTATGGGTGTGGTCATGTAGTCTACTAGACAATTAAAGTCACAATTGGTCGAGAACACTTACACTTTCACTTGTTTCATTTCAACAAAATTTCCATAATCTTTCCATCACCTGTTAACAATATTCTGTCAATTTCATAGAAAGCAAACTTGTTGGTCTGATAAAATTGTTATGATACGATATAGAGGAATTTAAAGTTGTGAAGGAATTTCCTCTGCATTTGCCTAGCTAGAGACTGCTTCACTGGAAAAAACAAAACGAATTTACCTTCCAATTGCAACATAAGCCTTAAGAGATTAGGGAAGCTGTCAGAAACCTTATTTAGTCAGACTCGTGTTACCATGGTGACAATGAACAACAACCCACATGTCTGACAGGCTTCACCGACCAACCAGAGCATTCCTGGCATGGGCGTAGCCGTAATCCTGCTCAACTATTGGCTCTAAGCGCTTGCTTTGGACTACTGTAAATCATGTTATATTCGGGATAGCAAAATTTTGCAGCCTGAGAAAAATAAATGTGTTCATGGAACTATATGTTCACGGAGGTGGCAGGTGCAGAAAAAATGAAGTCTTTCTTTGTTCACGGATATGATAAGTTTGTGCCCCGTGCTACAGAAGTGACTGCAGAAACAGCAAACATAAAAGTAACTGGAAAAAATCATGAATTACAGTATCCATTTGTGTTGATAGTTTTCAGGCTTGGTCCACTTGTTGGTTGTCAGAATCACTCAGATTTTGGAAGGAAATCGATGAAGCCAGTTGCCAAAAAAAATCGAAGTCATCCTGTGATAGTCCTAAACTAAATGATTTAAATTAAACAGGCCTTAACAGGTGAGTGACCCACACAATGCCCAGGTGTCTGAATTTTTTTTACCTCAGGCTTTGGCTTTTGGAGGACACTTAATTCTTCACACTGTTCTTTGCAGAAATGTGTATAATTACATTACTCAGCTCAAGGCTGGTGTATTGTTTGAATGGCGTCACACATGATGTGCCAGTAATTGGCATGACGAAGTGTGCTGCGTACATGTGGTCACAATGGTAAATGCGTGCACACTTAACATGTAGAAAATTCAATAGACAGTTTAACAGCCTGTGTCCTTGTGACAGTAAAATGTTCATTATTTTTACATTGTATAATACAGTATGGTTGGTGCCTTGTTAAAACTACATACTTATAATTTAAACACAGCTAAATTGAAGTTAATAACCTAGTTAGAAACATTCCACATAAGTAACTCACTAACTCACTGGGTGTGGCATACCCATTATGTTTTACTGTAATACCCCTGTGGCCTTGCCACTGACGTGGGTACATTCCTGCACATCTTCAACAGATAAAACACGTACTATCTAACCTTGAGACACACGGAGACAACGCTCTTAGTGTTCTCTATAGAACCACTAAGACTTGTGTGCGTGTGCCCTGAGCACACTTACCGGTAATTCAGTCCAATGAATTTGATCGAGGAAAGACAAGATGGCATGATCTTCAAGTTCTCCTATTTCTTGCTAGATCTACACATTTATACTAGAATTTATACATTTATACTAACGTTAGAATTACTTTGTTGAAAATGACTAGTAGATGGTACATGTACATAAGTGTTTGGTCAGGAGTATTAAAATCAATATCTTAATATATAGATCCATACAAATTATCCTATTATGCTATGTACAGTACAGTAGTACAGTATTGTGTAGCCCCAGACAGGTAAATTGTAAAGAACTTAAATTTCTGTGTTGAAGAGTGAAAGAGCTTAAGTGTAAGAAATTCCACACAATACAGTAAATTGTAGAAAACATGAATTGTGTACAGACATTGACCATTGATAACCACCTGTCTGAGGTTGTTATATTCACTGTACTGTAGTTTTAAATGCCCCTCCCAACACGGGTGTGTCTGTGCTGTGTGCTTAATGGATCTCTGATAATTATCTCACATACGTATAAAGTAGCCTCTATAGCATGCCAAAAACTGGGGGTTTTGGGGTCTTCAGGGTCTTTGGGTCAGCTTTTATGTGCTATTTTCTGATTGCATATAGACAATATAGCCGGCCTGGTTGAATTACCCCCGTTTTTAGAACTGGGCTAATCAGAAAACAGCCGAAGACCACCAAACCCCCAGTTCTATAAGCCTGCTACGGAGGCTATGCATAAAGAGGGATTACATTTTAGTTATCTGCAACATAATAAAGCATTCATTTACTGATTTAGAGTCTTTCAATCAAGCATACATACTTAATTTAAGATAAGAGTATTGTTCCTTTCATTGGCATTTTGCATACTCTTTAATGCTCTGACTTATAATTATACTGTATGTGGCCGCATAGTAATTCAAGCATAAGAAAGAGTCTTACGTATGCTATACTGCCTTAGGCAACAATAGCACATGTTACAAAGAATTACCCGTGCGGTGGATTTTGTGCCCGTACGTGCACAGCTAGCCCATAATGACAAGTGGTGACGTGGTCACCAAGTGTTTAACCTACCAATTATGCTCTGTTGACGTAAGTGGGGTCTTTTAGGGGGTTTTGGTGTACACGTGTGCGAAAAGTTTGAACGTTTTGCAAGGATGACTACGCGTTTCGTTGTTGACAGAGAGTTGATCTTTAGACCAGAGTTTGATCAACACATATGTACAGTTTAACTCTTCATAAGGGTGACTATGACTAAGCGTTTTGTTTAACAAGTACCAGGCTACTCATGGTGTGTGTTTTGTGGAGTTTGGACGTGAAGAAAAATGCTTTCTAATGTTGTGCATGAATGATTAAGCATTTCAACATGGTACAAGCAGAAATTTCAGAAACTTCTTGTCTTGCCTATTGAACTTCATTGCATTACTTTGTCATTTTGTATTTAATATGGACTTTTAAAACCAGTTTTAGTCAATTTTAGCTCTCCTTCCAATTAAGCCACCATACAAGTTTATACTTACAAGTATACAGATATTACAGTACTATCAATCAATCAATAGTTCCCAGGCATCAGTGACAGATGCGTGGTGGCTGGAGACATCTCTCTTTGAGATGTTTTGTTTTGAAAATTTGAGCATGTTACAATGTATATGTATAAGATTTTCTAATATCTTGTGCAGATACTAATATACCTGTGCAGTAAGAAATGTCAGAATCTGTAGTACATGTATTGGCAATGCAAACATATCTCATAATTCTTTATGTCAATGGCACTAGAGTACAATTTATTTGTATGTTTTTTATATGGAAACCAAATTAAGCCCCCATAAATCTACATCCTGTACTATGAAGTCTTTTCTATCATAATTAGCCTACTAGTGATGAAAGAATCAAATCTAAACGTATTAAGCTAACATGTACTTAAAGGCCAAATGCAATTTCACCATATATCAGAGAAGAAAGGGACACACAGAATAACAGGTATCTAGAAATAATGTCAACCAAAATAATCTTATGACTTGGATGATATTTGGATTATTTAGGCCAAAGTCATCAAGCTTCAATTATTGAAGACATTTATTTCTATTTCCATCTATAACGACGTTCCCTTATCAAATTTTATTGGCAATTTCTAGAAATAGAAGGTTTCAATTGCAGTGTCTGGCTGTGTTTTATATGCATGGCTTAAAATGCCAGCCCTGAAATATAAGACATTATTACATAAATACAATACTAAGTACTTACGGTTTATTTATAGGCATTTTGGTCATTACCTAACTGGTATAAGAGAGACTTGTTGTTCTTGGGAAAAGGTTTATCTTCTTGTAGTTGTATCGTAAAAAGAAATAAGGATGACGTTCAGCAATTCTGCCATGGATCTTCTGTATGAGTTTTGGGCATTTGTTAAGGTGAGTTTGTGTATTTCATGTCGTAGGAAAATACTGTAACTCCCAAGTTGTCTTTTTCAGTAAGGAAATGTTATCAAGAGTAAATACATTTACATTTGAATTTACAGTACACATATTCTAAAGAGTCACCGTCATGATTGTACAACATGTTAGGGGGAACTTTTGAGTCAACATTTGGCATACAGTCATGTAGTTCCAGATACAAATGTATTTGCATACAAAATATCATAGCAGTTTATGAACAACACTTTTTATCTTGTACAAATGTATCACATCTTATGCTCAAGTTCCAAATCTGTCATTATTCTGCATAATATCTCCAGTCATATTATACTTTCAAGTTTCAGCCATAATAGAAAGCAAGCATGAGTTTGCTACAAAGATATTTACCCAGTCCATCACGTATCCTGCTAACCCCCATGCGGAGCCTCTAGGTGGGCGGGGCATAGTCCTTTAAAAGTTCAGAGGTGTCCCAAAGGTAGTCAGACTCACTCGGCAACTCAGAAAGACGCCGGTAGTACTACACAAGTCTTCTTCTCAAGAATTCCACGTTGGCTTTCCGGAGACCAGCATGGCTTCGGCTTTTGTGACTGTAAGCTTGCTATTTCTTTATATTCATATTCTATAGCAGAAATAATATAAGTTGTAGGTCATTTGGAATTGTCTTTTGCATGATATATTTCACGGGACCTAGCTTTAGGACTGACAGAATGTATAGTTGAAGTACTACCTGAACTACTACCAAACTAAGTCTTGAATGATAAGTGTAGTGGGGCAAAATTATCTCTTACAGTTAATGGATAGTCTTGTCTGTTTTTGTAACTTGAAGATATTGAATTTGTGTTTCGACCTGTCTGCTTTTAGAACTCTGAGTCACAGAATGTAAGTTGACGTAACTACCAACTACTGGTAAACTAAGTCTTGAATATAACTTATAAGAAGTGTGTTTGGGCAAAATTGTCTCTTACAGTCAATGGATAGTCTTGTCTGTTTTCGTAACTTGGAGATATTTGTGTTTCGACATGTCTGCATTTAGAATTCACAGTCACATAATGTAAGTTGAAGAACTACTAACTACTAGTAAACTAAGTCTTGAGTAAGGAGAGTACTTGGGCAAAATTACACTTTACAGTCAACGACTCAATGGATAGTCTTGTCTGTTTTCGTAACTTGAACATATTTGTGTTCTGACCTGTCTGCTTTGGTGAGGTATCCCTTGAATAAACTGGACAAACCAGTTTGGTGCTGGTAGGCTCATCAGAAACATAAGCAGGGCACGGAGGTTACATTCCAAGGGACGTAATCCATGTGACTCTCTGTCCAATTTGTGGAGAAAGTACTGTATGTGCAGAGGTACATGCCTGACTAGTCCTGGGTTAACCATTTGAAAGGTAGCAATGAACATATCCAATCCAGTAAGTCTACATGTACTCGCCTCTATAGTATGCCAAAAACTGGGGGTCTTCAGGGTCTTTGGGAGCTTTTATGTGCTATTTTCTGATTGCATATAGACAACATAGCCTGCCTGATTGAATTACCCCCGTTTTTTGAGAACTGGACTAATCAGAAAACAGCCGAAGACCACCAAACCCCCAGTTCTATAAGTGCTACGGAGGCTATATACGTGTACCTATTTCTTTCGTCTCTTGTCTTGACAGTACAGAATTGCATGATTGTACACATAAGATTGGTCTACAAAATTGATGTTAGAAGTATTGTGCAAGCACGTCTAACCCTCGGAAGACGGGGAACAACAGACGATAAACCGGACAGTGAGTGAGTGAGTGAAAAGTTGTAGCATCATTAGAATACACCTTTCAAGTGTGAACTTGGTTTTTGGAAAGGTAAGAAAGCTGGAAAGATATTTTTTATCAGCAGTTTTGTGAGTGAAAGTTTAGAATCCACCCTTGACACAGCAACATGTACAACTCAGTTCAGCTGGGTGGGGAGGCCACTGCAATTATCCATAATTGAAAAAACCAGTTCTTCAATGTCTACCTTCAAACCTGTGTGTGAAAATGTCTTAACAGTTAGTAGAGTATTCACCAATCAGTGACTGTTTTGAAACTCAGCAAACACGTACCAAGACTATCCAGGTACCAAATTGTCAACGTCCACTGTACGTGAAAACACGAGACTAGGTGTAGACTTGAAAATGTCTTTCAATGAAAGTAATATCTCTCTGCCTAAAATCTCACATGTATGAATTCTTAAAATCTGTGAATAAGACTGTATTAAGAATGCTATGTCTCGGTCCCATGGTTTGTTTGTCTAGATCTGTTGAGAGGATCTTGGAAAGAGAACACAGCAACTGACATAGTGTCTGACTCTACATTGTGTAAATCTAAGAAGACACGCTATTTGGATAATGATACATGTGTATACAGTGCAGACATATCTTTGTCGCAAGCCCTAGTTGACCACATTGTTTTGTCTGTCTTTCACTTGGAGGTAGGGTGACGGAAGGATTCAGGCCTATGCTACCAGGTGCCACATCATCATACAGGCCTTGAAATACATTTGTACTTTTTTTGCATACCTATACTACAATGTACACAACATTAAAAATTTCTTGCCATACCTGTATGTTAAATACAAGCTGTTTTTGATGTGTATCAAAATAAAGTACTAGTAGTACTACAGTATATGTACAAGGGGTTAGACTATTTTTTTCAGTGTATTCAAGTTGTCTAAATATTGCTTATGAATACCCACAAGACAAATACATGTGTTGGAATAATGTTTGTTGTCTATAGAAGGGCAATGCATGTCTGTAGCAGTTTTCTGCAACATTGTATCATCTAAGTGTACCTTAAAGTTTGCTACACTCCACTTGCCACAGTCTAAAGGGGTACGTTGACTTTTTCAAGCAAGCTGAAAATTTATGGGTGTGGCTGAAATAATAGTCACGTTTTTTGTGTTGAAGTGGAGCATGCTTTGTTAAATGCACAAAGATGTCTTGTAAAAATGCAACTTGTAACAGCTGTTGCAACTAAAATAAAGAAATTATAAAAAGGGCTGATACACATGTAGCAAATAAAGCAAACCTTTTGTAAGAAATTTATAAAAGACAACTTCTTCCTCAATGATACTGACTCACCAATCAATTATTTTGATGTTTATCTCTTTCTGAACAGGATGTAATGTACATCAATGAGAAACTGCACATCCTTTTACTGTTATATGTAAACATTGGAAATGGTAGAGCAGATATCGTGAGGGGGGAGGATCCAGTAATTATCCTCTTTGCATTTTATTCCACTAATGTACACAGTATGAAGGACACATTACCATATTGTTTTTCCACATCACTGCCCCTTGTACCATTACTTACTGTATATGTAATTGCAAGGCTGAGACAGTCATTCAGGCATGTTATTTCTGAAACCTATGATGACAAAAAGAAAGACAAAGATAAACTGGAAAGGGTACAGAATCAAGCTGCAAGATTCTGTGCGAACAACTATGAAAGGGGTGCTTGTGTAACAGTAATGAAAATGAACTAAAAAGAAACCTACAGAGGGGGTCTCTGGAAAACCCAGACGAAAAATGTCCAGACTTTGCATGATGTACAAAATGACTAATACACTGGTGGACGCACCAACTACCAAGTACCTAATACCAGACTATCAGTACCAGTAGCTGACAATATAACTTAATCATGGCAGACAAAATTTTGTGTGAAAGAGCTCCAGGCAACTTTGTACTTTAATGTACCGCATTTCTAATGTCTAATATCTTTTGCATAAGTACGTAATATCTTAAGGAAAATCTTTTGTACATGATGTTCTTCAGAACTTCATCAAGGTGTTGAACGTCTATCCCCAGAAAAAATGTTCGAAATAGCTGCAGGTACCTTTTTGTGGGCAATTTATTGCTGAAATGTACAACATTTCTTAATCTTTGCACATGTGTTTTCCAGAATTTCTTGGAGGCAACAAAATGCCTATGCCCAGAACTCGGTCCTTTTATTGATGACATTTCTAACATCTTTTGCTTGTTATTTTTTCCAGAACTTCATCAAGGCGACGAATGTGTACCCTCAGCAGCACCATGTGAGCAGGACAAAGCGTGGACAGGTCCTCGGTCAGCGCGGCGGCTTCCGTGGCTGCTGCATCTGGCTCACCGGTTTGTCCGGCGCAGGGAAATCCACCATCGCCTTCGCTCTGGAGGAATACCTGTGTGGGAAGGTGTGTACGGCAAATGAGTAAGGGTGTGTGTGGGCATGTGTGTTTGTGTGTGTGTGTTTGACTGTGTGTGTGTGTATGTGTTTGTGTCTGCCTGTGTGTGTAATCATGTGTTTCTGTGTGTGTGTGTGTGTGTGCGTGTGTGTGTGTGTGTGTGTGTGTGTGTGTATGTGTGTGTAAAGCGTGCGAGTGTGTGTTGGTCAGCGCGGCGGCTTCCGTGGCTGCTGCATCTGGCTCACCGGTCTGTCCGGCGCTGGGAAATCCACCATTGACTTCGCTCTGGAGGAGTATCTGTGTGGGAAGGTGTGTATATGTCAAGGGAATGAGTGAGTGTGTGTGTGTGTGTGTGTGTACCTATATTTGTACTTGTACATGTGTGTGTGTGTGTGTGTGTGAGAGAGTTTGAGTGTGTGTGTGTACGGTGTGTGTGTGTGTGTGTGTGTGTGTGTGTGTGTGTGTGTGTGTGTACGGTGTGTGTGTGCGTATGTGTGTGTCTGTGTGTGTGTGTGTGCGTGTATGTGTATGTATGTGTATGTATGTGTGTCTCTGATGTCTCTTTTTCCTAATTTCTGCTAACCATATGTTCATAACCATAGGCCATCCCATCCTACACCCTTGATGGAGACAACATCCGTACGGGGCTGAACAAGAACCTGGGCTTCACGGCCGAGGACCGAGAGGAGAATATCCGCCGTGTGGGAGAGGTGGCAAGGCTGTTCGCCGACGGTGGCATCGTGGCCATCTCTGCCTTCATCAGCCCCTTCCAGAAGGTAAGTCATCATTATCTACCAGGGATCTCCCTATAGATGGAACAATGGTGCCACCATTTTACTGTTCTCCTAGCACCATCATAGTATTACGATTCCAAGACTTTTGTCCTTACTTTTGTTCCTTGTTTGTTTGTTTGAGACTCAGCCTGTTGGCCATTTTTCATTCAGGTGATAAGGGAAGAGGTCAGGATCAGACAAAATATAACAAGATACAGGCAGGATACATATGTAACAATGAATCGTTTTGAAACATTGGATATAAAAACCCACTGGTTGGTGAATTAAGAACCTTCTTATACAGTCTCTTGCCAACACAGACATTATTATCAACACACAAATGCAGAGAATTTTAATAAAGGCCATGTCATGTAAATAGTCATGAAAGACAGTGGATGCTGTTTGTGATTGTGTAAGAGACCTTTGTATGCAGCTTTTTTTAGTATAATATGATAATATTATGGTACATTTGTGTAACTGTGATTTTAACCCTCTGTAGGACCGTGACACGGCCCGTAAGCTTCATGAAGACAACGGGCTGAAGTTCATCGAGGTTTTCGTAGACACGCCTCTGGAGGAGTGTGAGCGTCGGGATGTCAAGGGCCTGTACAAGAAGGCTCACGCAGGACAGATCAAAGGTGGGATTTTTGTTACATACTGCAGCTAACCCTATCCCTAAACACTGGCCCTAACAGCCCTAATGTAATCTGTGTGAAACCTGTAATGTATTGTGCTTGTCCCCTTGAGGAGTGTGAACGTCGTGATGTCAAGGGCCTGTACAAGAAGGCTCATGCCGGACAGATCAAGGGTGGGATTTTACGTCATTTGGATCCACAGTTGACACTACAGCTATTCTTCCTGTGGTTATTCCTAGACACTAGCCTAACAGCACATTGGCAGAATGTGTAAATGTAATGTCTTTAGCCTAACACTACTGGTAACCCCAAACCCTAGCCCTAACCATTTTTATAAATTGATAATCTCCAAACAGATGTTATAGTTTGAGTCTGTTAGGATTGCAGCAGAACTATTTTGTGGCATTTTCACCTTAGAGTACATGTAGTTGACACAGAATTTAATATACTCATTTTGTCCTGAGTCAAGTGCCTTTCTGAAGGGCACAACATTGGGCTTGCCAGGGATTCAAACCCAGGAAATCTATGTTATGATTATAACAATCTGAACTGTGTTGATTTCAGGCTTCACCGGAATCGACTCTCCCTATGAGCGTCCTGAGAACCCGGAGATCGTCATCAAGACCACGGAGTTGGCTGTGGACGAGTGTGTGCAGACCATCGTCTCAGTCATGCAGGAGAATGTACGTTTCGAATAGTTTCTATCATTGTTTGTTTGTTTATGGAGCAAGTGTGAACTGTAGTTTCCAACACAGGAAATTACTTCGTTTTTGTCGACTTACCCAAAGTTTAGACTGACTCCAGACCTGTCCTTCCTACCTTCATATTGAATGACGAAAAGTCCAAAGAACATGGCATCAGTCTCTTGACACATCCACATGGATATAAGAATATGACTACGTAAAAGTGAAAAAAAGTCTTATTACCACATTGTAACTTTAAGTAGAGTTTTAGCATGAAGTATACAGCAAGTTCCAGAGATAATTTTATTGGTGTAACGTATAACGTATTGCTTGTCTGTTATGTCACAACTCAATTCAATCGACATAGCTGCTTCTTTGTGACCGTTTTAAGTGAATTTTAAAGGTTGCGTGTGGATAAACCATTCTCTCTCTCTCTCTACCCACAGGGTATCGTCCCGCGCTCTGCCATGGAGACTGTGAGGGAACTGTTTGTCCCTGAGAACAAGCTGGAGGCCGCTCGCTCTGACGCCGACAGTCTGGCAACGCTCAAGATCAACAAGGTGATTTTTGTTTGTTTCTTTTTGTCTCTTCATGAAATACTCAAATCGGCCCGCTGACCGCTTCTCATTGAGATCATGAAGGAACCTGAAAGTTTGCCAACTCTTAAGATCAACAAGGTGCTTTTTCTTCATTTGTTTGAGAGTTTTTTTTCATGAAATACTCAAATCAGCCTGCTGGCCGCTTTTCATTGAGATCATAAGGGAAGAGGTCATGGGTCATCCTGATTTTGTTTCAAGTAACATAATGTCAAGCTCCAAAAGCACAAGGCGTTGTGGGGGTCTGTAGGCATGCTCCCCAGAAAAATGTTGAAATCTTGACCCTCTGAACTGCTGTTTCCTGCATTTTGAGGGGCATATTTTACTGATAGGCTAGCTTAAATCTCTTTAGATGTCTTTGCACACCTATTTTTGTCCGTCAAAGATGACAGATTGGGCAAAATTTTTGTCCATTACATGCAGGAAAATTCTGTCAAAAGAGGAAAGGGCCGACACTGGCAAGAACACTGGACAACATGTAACAAAATACTTCTCAGAAGTCTGAAATGTCTTATTTCTTGCTCTGCAGGTGGACATGCAGTGGTGCCAGGTGCTGGCTGAGGGCTGGGCCACGCCCCTCTCAGGGTTCATGAGGGAGAGGGAATATCTGCAGTGTCAGCACTTCGGCATCATGATGGACGGTAGGTTCCTTTTTTTTTAGGGAAGACTCAAGTCGGAAGGAAGATGTTATTTTCCACTAGATAATCATTGTAGCAAGTTTAATAGTTAGAAAGGGGCACTGGGCTACCTACTGACAGCATAGGAAAGACCATGAGTGTCAGAAGGTTCTGGGTTTGAGTGGCTGAGGAAAGTTGGCACTTAAGTTAGTCAAGTTAAGAATGCATCTTCACACATGATTTAAAAGTACCCACTGGTTGCATGCACATACATTTTTGGAAAAAGAGCGTCAGTGTTCTGGCCAACTCCAAGTTCCAGAATGCATGGTGAATGCAATGTTTGTGACACGGCCTGACAAAAGTTACATTAATCGAATTACAGATGCATCGAAATAAATTCCTGGAAGATCAGAGAATCAGAGGGAAGAGGGCAGTTTCTGCATGTTATGTTAGGGCGGAAGCCGTGTAGTTTCTGGAAGTTTCTGGAAGTTTTGTCGAGCAGTATACATAGCTCAGATTGCCCTGTTCTACATGTATATTCAGATCTTAACTGTTTTTTTGTTTTTCCAGGTGGTGTGACGAACCAGACCATCCCGATCGTGTTGGCGTGTTCCACGGAGGACAAGGAGCGTCTGGAGGGGAGCGCCGCCATCGCGCTACAGTACGAGGGCAAACGCGTCGCCATCCTCCGCACGCCCGAGTTCTTCGAACACCGGAAGGAAGAGAGGAGCTGCCGAACCTTCGGGACAAGCAACAAGGGACATCCCTCAGTGAAGGTAGGGTCTAAAAGAGGAGGCTGCACTATTGTAGTCTTGTCTTGTCTTTCCTTTAATGCCCACAATCATCATACTGATCATTCTGGCATGCCAATTCTTGGCAAGACTCAGGATTGTAGAATTTGTACCATCGCACACCAGGGCATGCCCATACTCTTTTTCAATAGGTGTGGTTGGTTCTTAAACATGCGTGGGGTGTGGCTCTCCCCAAACACGGGACCTCCATTTAACGTCCTATCTGAGGGACGTCCCTAACCGAAGCTAGGTACTCATTTACACTTGAGTGACGTGAGAAAAGTCGTGTAAAGTTCCTTTCCTGTTCCGCTTGTTCCAGATGATTTTCGAGAGTGGTGATTGGTTGGTTGGAGGCGACCTGGAGGTGCTGGAGCGAATCCGGTGGAACGACGGCCTGGACCACTTCCGTCTGACGCCCAACGAGCTCCGGCAGAAGTTCCGATCGATGGGCGCGGACGCGGTCTTCGCATTCCAGCTGCGAAACCCCGTCCACAACGGTCACGCGCTGCTGATGCAGGACACCAAGAGGAGGCTGCTGGAGAGGGGGTACAAGAAACCGGTGCTCCTGCTGCATCCACTGGGTAAGGGGTGTATCATTTGCTTAAAAAGTCTTCTGTTAGTTATTGGATTTTGAAAAAAAATTTGAACTGGACTTTCAAGATGTACAAACACTGTTTAACCCACACCAGTTTTGGCTTGATGATTCTTGGATATTGAAAGATCCTAAAAAGTATTGCTTTGGCATGTCTGTCTGTGTGTGACCATGTCATATGCTGTCATTACACATCTGCCATCTCTGGTTATTTAGGGTGACTAGAGGTTCCAAACAGGCACCTTGCTTCTCCTGATGTCAGTCAGTTGGCAAATGATTTCTCATATCTCTGGTTGTTTAGTGTATGTAATACAAGTAGAAGTGTTTGTTTAAATGAGGAATGTTTTTTTTTTACTGTCATTAGTTTCTGTATATAATTTTTCTGGTGTGTTTCTGTCCAGGTGGTTGGACCAAAGAGGATGACGTTCCCCTGCCAACGCGTATAGAGCAGCACAAAGCAGTGCTGGAGGAGAAAATCTTGGACCCAGAGAGCACTGTGCTGTCCATCTTCCCATCCCCCATGCTGTACGCAGGCCCAACAGAGGTAAGGCACTATCTTTAAAGTGTCACAAACATGTAAATGAGATACCTTCTCATGCAAATGAGGTTCCTTTTATGCTAATTTACATGTTGAGCACTGGAGTTATCAACTTGATAAAAGCAGAGGGCAGGGAGGAAAACTTGAGTGAAAAACCGGTCCTCTGACTTTGTTTTCCTTATTTTTTCCAAAGCATTTTCCAAAGCATTTTTAAAAAGCCGAGAACCAACAGATTAGATTGGCATAGCCTGAATAAGAAAAATGAATGAATAATTAATGAATTGCGTTTTTTTTCCAGGTTCAATGGCACGCCAAAGCCCGCATGTCCACAGGAGCAAACTACTACATTGTGGGTCGTGACCCTGCCGGCATGCCACACCCTGACGGGACAAAAGACCTGTACGAACCCACCCACGGCAGCAAGGTGAGCACATCACATTAACTGCTGACTAATAAACTGGTGGACGTACCAACCACTAAGTATCTAATATCAGTCCAGAAAAGAATAAGCAGTCGTTTCTTCAAATATCAGAAACTCGTATTTTCCAAGAACTGTGCCACCAAGCACAGTCGGGGTACAATCAATTGAGGTTATACGTGTATAAGCTATACTGATACAGATACAGACATTGCTGTTCCAATGCAGGGCTCTAGCCAGCTTGATTTTAAACTTGACTCTTCATAATTTATCGAGTTTCTTGATTTATTTTGTTTTTTTATGTAATGTTGAACCTGGATGTCACAAATATCACTCGTAAGTTCATCACACATTTTCATGCATGTATATTTGATACATTATGATTTTAGTGGTGTGTTCTTGTTACTGAGATTTAGTAGCATGCATGCTGGGTGAGCGACAACAGTTAGGATTCAAACTCCCAACCAAACTCCCAACCAAACGCAACGCTCGAAAAAAATTTTCGAGCGTTGCATAGCAAAAATCCAGATGGTACCCAGGCTAGTTCAGATACATACTGTAATTCATTTTATGTTCGCAGTAGAGATAGTCTGAGAAAAATGGACATGTTCAAAGAACTATATGTTCTCAGTGGCGGCAGATGCAGAAAAAATAAAATCGGAAATTATTTGTTCGTGGCAGTGATAATTTCGCAGTCACATCTTCGCAATACAGAAGTGACAGCGAAAACCAGGATCATAATGAACCATGTAAAAATTGTGAATTTTAGTATCTCTAACGTCATTCCTTCTTTCCTCTTCCCCCTGGCAGGTCCTAACCATGGCCCCAGGACTGACCCAGCTGGAAATCGTTCCGTTCCGTGTCGCTGCCTACAACCTGAAGAAACAGCAGATGGACTTCTACGACCCTGAGAAGAAAGAAGACTTCCTCTTTATATCAGGTTAGGATCTACCTACTTCTTTCACTCACTCCTTCATTCCTTCACTCACTCACTCACTGATACTGAGAAGAAAGAAGACTTCCTCTTTATATCAGGTCAGGATCTACTTCACTCCTTTACTTACTCCTTCACTCGCTCACTCACTCATTCACTCACTCACTCACTCATTCACTCACTACTTATTCACTCAATCACTCTCAGTCACTCCTTCACTCACCCCTTCACTCCTTCTCTCCCTTGCTCACTTACTCTTACACTTACTCTGTCCTTCACTCACTCATTCACCCACTCTCACTCACTCACTCACTCACTCACGCACTCAAAGGCTGGTGTGTTATGCCAAAGGGCGGTTATACCGGCTATACAAGTACACAAATACAGATACAGACTCACACCCACACTCACAAACTCACTCACTCTAGGTTACCATATCTGTGTGTCCTCTTACAATTATAGTATTAGCCTTTGGGCATGAGTTTGCAAATAAAGTTAACATTTTTTCATTATTCTCTCTGCCCTTCCAGGGACCAAGATGCGTAAGTTTGCTCGTGAGGGCGAGCAGCCTCCGAGCGGGTTCATGGCCCCGAAAGCCTGGACAGTCCTGTCTGACTACTACCAGTCACTCGGCAAGGCCAAGGCCTGAACACCACCAGCTCTGTAGCCAGTCATGTGTGATAGGTGTTACTCTAATCTCCAAGCAGATCATACGGTGGCAAGACAGTATCCATTGGCCAGAGGAGTGTCCATTAGCCACTGAAGGGTGGCAAATGGATACTGTCTGGCTAATGGATACTGCTTGGCCAATTCGATACTGTCTTTTGCAGCCACCGCTTCTGAGATTATCTGAGATTAGTGTTACTCATCTTTATCTGAAATCAGGCCCTTTGTTATGTTTTAACTCTCTCATTGTTCAACAGTGCTAAATTACAATCATGGAAAGGCTTAAAAAGCTACATATGTACCTTAATTAGGTCAAACTTAACCTTCTCTCTGCTGCTGAAGTTAATATCAAACATGTTTACTAAGTAACATAATGTATTGTAGATCAACACTTTGTAATTCATCAGGTAAGAACAAGTGTCTCTGTTGCTCAAAGACACTCACTCACTCTCTCTCCTTTGGTATTTAAGTTGTCTTTCTTAAGTTGTAAGAAAAAGCAAGACAAACATTCCAAGCAGTGGTGCTGTGGCATTACTACTAGAGTCTTTTTTTTTCTTTTGCACCAAAAACATAATCATTGCTCTTTGTGTTCAACATCCAACTGATTCAGATTCAGATTTGTACATCTAAACAATGACTATGCTACAATAGCTGGTGAGTTATCAGCATAATAATACAAGTATATCTCCAAACTGTAACATTAGGTTTTTATTTTGCTTTTACTTTTATTTTGAGGTGATCTTAACTTTTAGTTTCAATGTTATTTTTTCTTTTTTGAGATGCCAGTTTTTGGTCAATGAGTTCTTCCATTTTTTCTTATTTAAAGAGCTTGAATTTCCAACAAAAAATACTTTATTGGTCTTAACTACTAGAGAACATACCATAGTACATCAACTATGTACAAGGTTTTAACACCTGCCTCTTGAAATACATGTATTGATGTATATTCAAAGCCTTCTATGTACTTTCACTTTGTTTACTGTGTAGACCCAGAGCCTTGCAGTATGTACTGGTAGACTGTTACTTCACTTCACTTAAAGAAACAAGTTCTCAAAATCATGAAGTTGTGAAAAGTTTGTAATTCGAGTCACAAATCATGTATTCTCAAACAAAGCTTAATAATCATGGAGATATGTTCATCTTTAAAGTTGAATCCATTGTGCCTTATGAAATTTGATGTACATGGTACTTTTAACATCATCCCCCAGCCACTGAATTTACATTGTTTAATGCAGTGTAACAGATAAATTGTTCAATATGCCTTTAGTAATTCAATACATATTGTCTGCTGTAGACCATCCGTGAATAAGATGGCATGGCAACATAGTTTAGAAGAAACGGTATGAATTATGAATTTGATAATCACAAATTGAAATTGTATGTGAATGGTTTCATTCAATAGCAGTACACATTACAGTTTAACTGGACCAGTGTGTTACCCAATGGCACTTGCTTGTTATACAAGGAAGGTTAGTGCAAGAAACACGATTAAGATTCAATGTATTTGTGTTAACAAGTATGCCATTTATTGACACTATATCATCAATGCCATTTTTAAAGTGTTGGGAGCATATTTCACATGAAGGAGAACAAAAACAACTGGCTACAACTCTGATCAGAGTTATTTTGTCTCTACAAGCTTAGATTATCAACTCAAGAAAAGTTATAGATAACACTCAACATGAAACATGTTACTGTGTCTATACATGTACTCTCTAGTACATGTACACATGTATTCTCCATGCCATTTTGAGCAGCTTTGCTAGCCTTAAGCAAAGTTGCCTTGCTGCTAGTGCTTATTCTGCACACCATCTACACTAGATTCTTTCATGACATTTCCATCATACTCAACTTCTTGATTCTTGAATCACCTACATACGGTACAAAGCAAATAAAAACAAGATTTAACCTTATCCTGTGTCATTGTGTTCACTGCGAAGAAGAGAAGTGGACTCTTAAGATTTTACTATGGTCAATATTGACCAAAGGAGGCCATATACATGCCCACAATATATATCTATTACGGCTGTTTTTTAATGGTTAAAAAATGCCACTTTGAATGTCAATAGGGGAATGGCCACTTTTACAAAGGCAGCTAAAAAGTACAAATACACATAAATGAAGATTCCAGAACCTTCAAATTAATACAGTTTTATTCGTTCGTTGCATTGGCAACACAAAACATAACAATCCACATACTACCGGTATCCAGTATCGGTAACAGAAGGCTTTATGTAGATACTATTAAGGCGAATGCAGTAAAATATATGACTAACATCAATCCTGAGTCCTGCATTTAAAAAATAAGTACATTATACATGTTATGTGTAATTTTAAAATCACTAATCTGCTCATTGTACATGAAGGTGTAAGAAGAAACAAAGTACAGTCTGAGAGTAATCTGAACAAATATCCAGCACAAATAAGTTAGACTCAAACAGTTGAACACTCCTCAGTTTGCCTTTGAAGGGCTTGGGACGATTGTATCATGATGGTTTACAGTATGCGTAATGTATATCACTGCTGCAGTATGATAGACTGGGAAAAAATTCCAGCTGGCCAGAAAAACGTTGCAAGTTTGTCTGTGTGAGAGGTTTCAGAGTCCCATCAGCTTGTCCACAGGTTTATATCTCCAGTTGTCCGCTGCCGTCTCCTCCAGCCGAAGTCTCAACACGTTCAGCCGCTGCTGGTGCAGTTCTGGGGACAGAAGCCAGGGGGCGTTTGTTATTACATGCACAAATCTTCCTATCTCCAAGCAGATCCTAGGGTGGCAAAAGACAGTATCAAATTGGCCAGGCAGTATCCATTTGACAGAGAGGGTCCACACGCCACTGCCTGGCCAATTTGATACTGTCTTTTCCACCCTAGGATCTGCTTAGAGATTAATCAATCAGTACTTGTATCAATGCCCTCTACATTTGCCCCTGATTGAGTCATATAGGGAATAACTATGATGATGATGATGACATGTACATGCACAGTCAAACTGCCAAAGAAGCCTACTCAGGGCAATGAAAATCTGGTCTATGTGGACAGGTGGTCACTTCTTTTATTTTGAGGCAGTCGCCTTCAACAAGCTGAAGATTCTGCTGCATTATTGCTGTAGACAATATGAAATATGTACTATCTAAAGAGATATACGCAGTGAATGTATGAGCTGTCAGTGTACAAATGTGTTTTAAAAAAAAGTTAGGTTATAACTTATATATAACAGGAAAAAAATGTTACCTGCAGTAGTTGATCTCCTAACAGAAGCCACATCAAAATCCATCATGAGTTTATTTACAAGGGACTGGCTGCCATCTGGATAAAAAGAGAACAACAGATACACATGAATATTGTCTTGCTGTTTGGTGAAGTTGTGATTTTCTTTTACAACTCAAAAGATTTAGGAACAGGACAGAAATTATGATTTTGTTCACCACGTTCTTCCGGGCAAAACGTAGAAACCCATTCTATAGATCTTTTTTGGAGCCGTGGTGACTGCTGCACGGTTTCTACTAAGCAAAAGATGGAAGTTTTCTCCTTGATAAAAAGTATTACCACTTAAATAGCAAGGATGTTTACCTCCTTGTCAAAATTTTGCTATCTTTCTATTGGGTTTTCATGTCTATTACTACACTGAAGGGGCATTTCTGTGGATTCAACTTACCCTCTACAAGTTCATCTTCCTTTGGTGACTGGAAGAGAGCTTTTCTCGGTGCCATAGCGGCCATAGCCACGAAAACATCTTCGACGTTGCTGGGATTATTTCGTACCGACGCCATCTTCTTCTTCCTACACTTCTAGCTCTCGTTCCCAGGATTGTGTGTCAGGCTGAACCATTAAATTTTAGGTATGCTTAACAAGTTTGACCGATAAAGAAAGCAGTTCATAGATCATTTCATCACAAATAGCAAGTAAATATTATTATACACTATGTATATATTATACAATAAAACTTTTCAAATATCTGTGAATTGACAGAAAAGACTAGAAATTATACTATTACACATCTGTACCCTAGATCAAGAAATGGTCTTTTCCTGCTTAATAAATGCCAGATTTACTTAGATTTACACTCCTGAAATCCTTTGTTTTTACACTGAAGAGCCAATAACCTACGAAAAACGTATTTTATACTGCAATAAAATGAAAGATATCACTAAGAAACAAATTTGCTGCAAAATAAGTGTGTAGAGAAAGATTGGGCAATTTGGTTTGCGAACTGGCGACTAGTTTCAGTCTTGCGCTGCTATTTTGTCTGCCGCGCTGTGATTGGTGAAGCCAACATAAATGCCGCCTTCTGATTGGCTGGGAAGTTTTTGCGCTCTGATTGGTCCGGAATGTGAACTAATCTCTTTCCCAAACATCGCCAATGACGACCCAAAACAGTTAGTGTTTTCCGTGACTTCCGACGTCTACCGGTTTCTATGGGGCGTGTTTGATCAAGTACGCGGCTTCCTTGCCCTCAAGACAACGCCAGAAGTCATGCCATAATGTCCTGATCCAGGATTGTCTTTCTGTGAGGGAGCAACAATTGGATTTTTCTTCTTTTTTTGCCGGTGACTTGGCAAGCTCGCCTGAGGGTCCGTGCTAACCCTCAAGAGATTGTCATGCCTTCTTGATGTGTTGTGTTTGTAGTACATGTTTTGGTCAACAGAACCGGGTCCTCTGCAAAGTCATGAATGTCACGCTGCCGATATTTAGCCAAACAATGGACTTATAAGTGGTTCCAGATCAACATGATTTCCGAGTTATTACCTCCTAATTTGCGGCTTTTATCAAGATAAGAGGAGATACGAACAGCAAGACAACCATGAGACAACCGCCCGACACGACCGAAGTGGTCGAGTTCAACTTGGGAAGAGCTCCGACTCTTCGCTGTACCTCTGGACAACCTGCTACGACATGCGGCGACTGCGAAGCTTGTCGTCTGGGCGCCACGATCAGCTTTACCCGAGAATGGTTCCTCCGAGCAGGCGACGCATCCAAACGGAGGTTTCTCCTCGGCCTGCCTCGCCGGTTTCAAAGCGCCCAACTCATGGAATATGTCGTCTCCCTTCTTAGCCCTCTTCTCTACAAAGACTACACTTATGCACGGTGTAGAACCAACCCTAGTCTACCAGGAGACTCCTCTACTCTTAGTGGAGACAGGGCTCTAAACAGGAGAGAACTCAGGCAACACATAGCTGACACATGGGCATGGTTTGCCGAAGCGAGTTACTGGAGTAAGGCGAACTATATGCTTGGTGTCATGCAGTTCTGTGAACCACAGATGCTGTATTCGCTTGGCACCCAGGCTAGGACTATGCTTCAAGCACAGAAAAATATGGAACCAAAAGGGACAACGGACTGGGAAGGTAAGATATTAGGAGAACACTCATATATGCATGTTTGTTTGTGTATTTTTCTTTCTCATGATCGTGACCATAGCCATTCAAAAACGTTTAAACTTAAGAGTCTAAACTCTAGTACTTTTTATTTTAATGTTAACACACACAAATAAAACTCCTATAGATGTAACGTTATATTATACCCATAAACTAGCTTGGCGTAATGTATGATTATACTCATCATCATAATGATCACTATTATAATGACGTTCATGTCACTAGATTTTTTCAATAATTAATTTGTAGGGAAAGCCATTTAATATCACGTTTTAATACGTGATGTGGTGGCAAAAATTTACCTTTACATAAAGCATAGGAGCCTCTCCCTTAATATACTTCGCCGGTGGTCCTCCTGAATTTAATTAGCAGTGCAATGTGGCTTCAGTTAGGGCCAAATTTTAGCAAGGCACACGTAGGTTCACCCTGACTCTTTTCGGCAAGTGTGTTGGGCTCTTTAACATGCAGAGATTGGGCGTCCTAAATAACGAATGCAACTCTTAAGCATCTCTACCATTTTATGAGAGAATTTTTTCCCAGTTAAACTCTACACTGTACCTTGTGGTATATGTCATTTACATAACACATGGGTGTCATTTTGTACCCAAATTGCACTTCGTACCATTTTATTGTATAACTATAATCAATCAATTAATCAATAAGAGACCTAGATGCCCTTATCAAGTAATTGAGGATAAAATTCACAGCTCCTATCTTTGTCAGACCACTTTGACAGAAAGTCAGTAGTAGGTAGACATTTATTTCATTAGTTCAGATCAACTTTGTTGTTAGCAGTAATGTTAGGGCTAATGTAAAAGAGTTGCAAGCAAGAGAAGCCCTGCAACAGTCACCATGGCTAGGGGCCACACAATGTCTGAGTCATTGACAGTACAGGCAACTTTGACAGAAAGCCAGAAATGTCTACTCAGGTACTAGAGTAGACATTTATTTCATTAGTTGGGTCAGCTTTGTTGTACAAGTAGACTTTCATGAATGGAGGGCGTGTAGGGCAAATTAAAACCATCTCCACTGCTTTCACACAGCACGTTTCATTATAGGTAGCCAGGTTTTATTTGAAGTTCTTGACAGTTCAGTCAAAGCTGCCCAAGAATAGTCTCCACCAGACTCCTTTTGCAGGCTGAATAAATCATAGAAATTGGGATAATTGGCCAAAGAAGGCTACTTTCTTTGGCCAATTATTCCTTTTTAGGCCAATTTCTCCGATTTATTCTGCCTGCAAAAGGAGTCTGGTGGAGACTAGCCCAAGAAGACCACACAGGGGACTGAGATTTTTGTCTATGTATGTTAAGGTGGTCACTTTGGATATCTTAATGCTTGTGTCAATGGGAAAAGTTTAGTTAAACCTGGCCAAGAAGACCACTTTGGGGACCACTGAGAAAATCTGGTCTGTGTATGTGAACAGGTGGTTGCTATAGACATGGTTCTTAATGCTTGTGTCAATGGGAAAGTTAGATAACTTAAAGGGACCAACAGAAAGTGGTCACAATGGTCAGGTGGTCCTTATGTTTGAGGTGGTGGTCACTTGTACTGGTGTAATCATATTGGGTAATTGGATAAGTGGTCTTCTCAGGTTGGGTAAGGGCTGACCTAGCTTGCTCAGAAAGAAGTACTCAGACTGGAAGCAAACTGAATTGTAAACAACTTTTCCATCTGGTTTAAAAATTTAGTTTTGAAAACCAAATATTGCGTGCCATACATAGCCAAATAGGGCAGGAATAAAGGGTATTTGCACCAAGTTTTACAAATTAGAATTCACAACGCACAACAACATGATGTTAACATACTATATAAATTGCAAGTAAAATGCGGTATTAAGAGCCCAGAAAATCTTGCAGTTGGTGCATCAAATCATTCTCCAGTCTGTCCTAATTGGGTGTAGGTTGTAGACCACTTGTAAGGTGGTCCTGTGTGTGTTGTGTCACGCCCATGTAGTTTTCTCTGTGTCTTAGCGTAAAATACAGCATTTAGAGTCCTGAAAATCTTGCAATTTGTGCATCAAATCATTCTGCAGTGTCTTTCCTAATTGGGTGTAGGTTGTGGACCACTTGTAAGGTGGTCCTGTGTGTGTTGTGAACCACTTGTAAGGTGGTCCTCTGTGTTGTGGACCACTTGTACAAGTTGTAAGGTGGTCCAGTGTGTGTTGTGTCACGCCCATGTGGTTCCCTCTGTGTGTTAGCGACAGCGTGTCAACAGTTCGGACCGGCTTGTGACGTACATGGTATGTGTAATGGCAGGTTATAAATGCCCCCTTTGACACCCCAGTTCACTTCTATACCCCATGAATACCTGGTGGACTGACTTACAATAGTGTGTGTGTTGACTTTTTCGTCTTGAGTAAGGGTTAAGATGCTTGTCTATGGCCCCAGATGTGCACACATTTACCTTCATTGAGTACCTGTTTTTCTTGTGGGACAAGAAGTCACCTGAAACTTTGTTTTGGGTAATTTCTTCTTTTGGGACAAAACATCATGATCACCTAAAACTTTGTTTTGGCTACTTTTACAGGTGAAATATTTTGTGGCTTTCCAAAGACTAACTTAAAGTTTATAGTTTGGGAAAAAATGTCACCTGAAACTTTGTTTTGGATAATTTCGACAGGTGAAATATTGGGTGGCTTTCCATAACTAAAGACTGGCTTAGTTTTTCTTTCGGACAAAACATCAACCCAAACTTTGTTATGGCTACTTTTACTGATGAAATATTGGGTGGCTTTCTATAGATGGATAATAGCTTTTCTTTGAGACAAAACATAATCAAAATATGCGTGGCTTAAATCCCAGCCTAGCTTAAAGTTTTTAGTTTGGGAAAAAAGTCCTATAAGTTAACCCTGTTATACTTTCACACATGAAATATTGTGTGGCTGGCTTTAGACTGGCCAGGCTTAATTTTTCTTTTGGAACAAAAAGTCACTTCAGTACTTGACAGGTGAAAAATTGTGTGGCTTTCTAAAGATTAGGTTGAGAAATTAAGTTTTTCGTTTGGGACAAAACATCACCTAAAACTTCATTACGAGCCTACTTTTACAGGTTATATATTTCTTTCTAAAGATTAGCTAAGTAGTAAAAGTTTTTCCTTTGGGATTTCACCTAGAAATGCATGACGACCCTACTTTTACAATAACATTGTGAAATATTGTCTGGCTTTCCAAAGACTACTACTTAGTAGTTTTTCCTTTTGGGAAAAAGTACTTTTAGTTTTACAGGCTGTATGATGGCTTATTTTTTCAAATTCAAAAGGCAGCAGTAGCTTAAAGTTTTCCTTTTGTCACCTGAAACTCTATTTTGACCCTACTTTTCACAGAAGTGGAGTATAGCGTGACTGTGTATAGACTGGCTTCTTACAAACACACAGGTTTTTTTCTAAGAGAGAAAAAGCTCCAGTAATTTTATACGGAAACCAAGACATCTTGGTTTGAAAGCAAACCAACTTTTGCATAATAGTCTGCAACTGTTCTAAGTTCCCCAAAGAAAGCCTTTTGTATTGGGTTGAATGATTATACATTTTTGTATGAAATTGAATCCCTGTAACTCAGGATACTTGTTATTGTACTTTCCCTGCAGCCACAATGAGCAAGGACACTTGCAATAACCAAGTGGTCCTTATGAAGAAGTGGCCACTAGTACTAATACTACTAGTAGTACTACAATAATTGTTTAAACTATAGTATCATAAGTTAACTTAATAGGCAAATGCATACTCTGGGCTGTTATTTATGAACAAGTGTTACAGTACAAACGTAAATCAATAAAACATTAATGAACAAATTTGATAAATCGTCTAATCGAGTACTTGCAAATGACTAATTATCGCAATTAAGGTTAACGATTAACCCAGTGAGTCAATCTGTCAACTGTTACAAAAGATAAGATGCTTTGTGCCACCCAGTCTGTTTTTATGGTACCTTATCTTACTAACATTTAGCAAACACACTAAATGGTACACTTGTTGGTTTTGTGTAGGATCATTTCCTCCGCAATGATTGCTGTAAAGATAAATTTTACCTGTGTAAACAGTATGAATATTTGGAGCATCTATTTTTCTTATGTGCAGTGGTCTAAAATAACATAACTAATCGTAAAGTCTGATGCATGTATTCTACCCTTTCTTACACCAAATTCATCTATAAAAATACCATCCTGTTCATCTGTAGAACATTATTATATGAGATCATTCACTTGTAAGTTTTTTATTCTACAATGTAGTTGCCAAGCTGATCACATAAAGTACTCATTCAATCATTGACAAGAGAAATGCAAAACACACAAAACTGATGAGTAACATACTGTATATGTATTGTGCATACATGTATGTCTGTTTGTTTGAACATTTCGTTTACTCATGTCTGTTGTATGACTAAAAAAAGATTTACCAATTATATACTTTTTACAGATGACGAGTCTTTGGCATCCAGTAACTACACCTACAACACAGAAGAGCATCCGGAACTCTACCTCCTAACACAGGCCAACCTGGAATATGCCACGCCTGCCACTCACCCAATAACAGGGGAGGAATTTGACCCCATCGTTGTTAATTACGGGGAAGATGTGTACCTCAGCGATGATAGTTCTGAGTTTTCCTCGATTGATCCGACCTGTATGGTCCTACCGACTTCGGTCACTGCAACAGCAGGTTTGTTTGTTTGTTTGTTTATTTGTTTGTCATAACATCCAAAGTGTAGTGGCTCTAGTAACTGTGCTGGCCCTATTAACATACACCATAGTAACGATTGTACAAAGTACATATGTGGCATACAGGTATATTATCACTCAGAAGTCTTAGTTGTTTAAATTTGACGTTGGGAAAAGCATTTAACACGGGTATAACATGGAAGGAGAGGGATGGGCTCCACCTTCCAGTACCATGCCTTAGACACAGCCAATGGATTGATAACCCACTTCCCCTATGGCCTCAAAAAGGCTATGGGACTACCTTACCTTTTCCTTACACATACATGATGGTTTTGCTGCACTCTAGGCTACTGGAATCTCCAAGCAGATCTTTCAGTGACCACAAAGACAGTGTCAATGGATACTGTCTGTCCAATTTGATATTGTCTATTTTCCAACCACCAAAAGATCTGCTAGGAGATAAATCTGACTACCTTTACCCTTTCCTTACACATACATGATGGTTTAATTTGCAGGTGTTGCGAAGTATCGAGACTTCATCAGCGGCCTGCCTGTCCACCTGTCAAAGTACATCCTGGGTTTCCTGGACAGAATCAGCCTGTACAACTGTCTGGCCGTGGGGAAGACCTGGAGAGTCCTGGCTGATCAGGTGCAGCAGGAAGAGGAGATTCAGAACCAACTGTGGGAGGAGGTTCTGTTCTACCAGGTTTGTAGACTTTCATCTGTGTTGGTAGTTACATGTTTAAAGTTTACTAATCTGTTTAAAGTTAAAACTTTTGATCCAACTCAAAGAAGTCTCTCACCTAGAGCTTTCGACCAGTCACTCTCACTAGTCTTCCTCAGTAGACTGACCCAGTGAGACTTGTCACATGGTTTTTCTTTGAAGAGGGACATCAACACTGGGTCAAAGGTATTTGATGTTGGCCCCCATCGTTGTTGAGTGCTCTAGGTGAGTGTTGGATCAGAAGTTTTAACTTTAAACAGGTTAGTAGACTTACTGGTTTGTTTCTTCTTTCAAATTTAAGGTGGTCTTGTAGGTAGTGTTCACAGTTGATTTAGAATCTGAGGGTTGTGGGTTTATACCCTGTACTTTCAGGGTTCTTCTGCGAGAGGGTGTAACCCAGTCTATGCCAAGAGAGTTGATGTGGCCGTGCCCATACTTCGCGAGGGAACGTTGGACCCGCTCTCCAACAGTCCCGAGGCGATGGAGGTGGTGACACACAAGGATGACTCAAGTTTCCTGACAGCGTATGCCGGTGTCGTGACTCGAACTGTCACCATGGAGGAGAGGAATGTGTACTGTGGTGCCTACAATGTCATGGTGCTCGCTGACCAGTAAGTGGAGTTATTGATTCAGAATCTCAAGGTTTAGGGTTCAATCCCTTACAGTAAAAAGGTAAAAAGCGTAATGTTGTTTGTAAGCTGCACAAGTTTGTAAGGTGTACAGCGGCATCGTGACTCGAACTGTTACTATGGAGGAGCGGAACGTGTACTGCGGTGCCTACAATGTCATGGTGCTCGCTGACCAGTAAGTACAGGGCTCGAAATACTCGGTGCATGTGCACCTTACTGCACCCAAGTTTGGAGCTGTGAACTAAATTTTTCTGTAGGTTTACAAATGTCAAGATGTTAAATGTATAGTCTTCTCTCCAAATAGAGGAGGAATGCCTGCATTCACGGGTTCTCTGACACGGATGGGTTCTTCTTTTAAATTAGCAGTTCAATCTATTTGCGGGCCTCTGGTGACTTTTGTTTGGCTTGAAAGTCCAACCTTGGTTTTGCAAACCCTGTTGCAAACACTGCACGGGCGGGTAGCAGTCCCATAATAAGTATAATTATAAAAATCATAAATAAATAATTGTATTTCCAGGGATGACCCCCATCGGCGCGTGCACCACGATGGTAAGAAGCTCGTCGCTCTGGGCTCGGTGGACCGGAAAGTTCGCATCCTGGACGTGATGTCGGGCCGCGAGCACCGGACGCCGATCACGGGCCACGCCGGGTCCATCAAGTGTGTCTACATCAGTGAGGAGAGAGGGTTTGTGCTGAGCGGGAGTTACGACACCACTGTCAGGTGAGAAACATTAGATTTTGTTTACTCCACAAGTATACAATTACATGCACAATCTGATCTGTTTGTCATTAGCATTGTTTTGACTTCTGATTTGTTTTTTGTTTACAGTTTTTTGTATTACTAGAGCTACCAAATTGTACATTGTTTTCTCTCTGAATATTTATTTATCTTATATGTTTCGGGGAAGACAACAAGTAGAGGCACACAGCCACATGTTTTGTCTCCCTCTCCATTGTGTCGTACTGTAGAGAAGCCGAATAGAGAAATTGTGAAAGAAATAAAGAAATTACATTGATCCAATACAGTCTACATGATATGAACAATGCTATTAACTACAGAAATTCTGACATTCAAGTCTCTTTATTTGTAGATGCTGGTCCCTCCAGGCTGGCAGCTGTCTTCGTATCTTCCGCGGCCACCGTGGAACGATCACCTGCATCGACCTGTTCCAAAACAGGCTGGTTTCCGGGGCCAAGGACAGCCAGGTCAAAGGTCAGAGCAATTCCTGTAAATCTAATGTTGTGTGAAGCATATATTCCTATTAACCCTTGTCCTGCTGGCATTCTTTACACAATATTTTTCAATAATTTCATGTCTTAATTAGGTCATAGACCCCTGACTTTTTTTGCCCTCCGGAGGCATAGTTACTTCCACATTCATTGCGTTTCGCTGCGGTGTGATGCGTTGCACGAGAAATACCCCCAAATTGTACCTATACAGGGTGCTATATAGATGGTACGGTATGTGAAGAACAACAATTGTTGGGCTCTGCAGGACAAGGATTGAGCTAGAGCAAGGCTCAAAATACTTTTTCTTGCAAACCTTACAGTTGTTTCCTGCACTTCTGTTCCCCTGTATGCATCTACTCTGGCCTGTGTTGGTTGTGTTACTCACAGATTCACATTTTTTTGTTTTCCAGTGTGGAACTTTGAAACAGGAAAGTGCCAACGGACCTTCAAACACAAGAAGCCCATTTTAGCCGTCGGGGTAAGTTTGACCAAACCATTGCACTTGTTCGCAGGGTCTATGTGTTTTTAGTTCATCCCAAAATTTGACAAAACTTGCATGTTACATATCTATCTGCCACTGTATCTAAAACAGTTAACATGTGTCTGAGAGATCTTTAGTGCAGCACTCGCCATATATGCACAGTTTGTTAGATGTACGGGAGTGCATTATATATTACACTGAGGAGCATTGCAGAGAAGATCTCTTTAGACACATTTTCAGGGTGGCAGTGTCCTGGAAGAATTATTTTAGGTTGTGAGATTTGCATTTACCAGTATCTATGTATCATGAAAGTTCATCTGTGTTGGTATACTTCATTATGACAAAATGGGCTAGACGTTCTTGGGCCGGTAGGTAGAACGTTTACCAATAGCCCTTTTTGTCATAATGGTATCTAATTATGTAATTAAATGTTTCAAAGTCATTGATATAGAATGTTTTCTGTCTGCAGATTCTGGAGGACAGAGTTGTGAGTGGATGTGAAGGGGGGCAGGTCAAAGTGTGGAGTATCTCATCGGCTAGTCTCATCAAGGTATGTACCGGTATAGAACAGGCAAAGCTAGGTTTGTGAATAGTTTCATCAGATTGAATAAAGTCACTGAATAAAGAGACGCTGTTTACACAACTAAGAGTTTTGATCAGCCATCGACCAGTTAGAATTGCCCTGAGGAAGGTGACAGATGGCCACTGAAACATCAGCTGAATATACGTCAGTTGGTTGTTTTAAAAAGAGTAAAAGAAACACTGGTTGTTGAATAAAGAACCTTCTTATACTGTCTCTTAGCTCACTCTCTCACTCAGTCCAATATCTGGAAGTTGTAGGAGCTGTCTGTCTGTCCACAAAATATTCTTTACCTTTGGCAGTCATCGGGCAGTCTGGTCAGCTCTCATCAGGTCTCTTGCCTGCCTGATGAAATTATTCAGGAATTTACATCATACCTTAACATTGTCTCCTTATTTGTGCGTAACAGAAGCTGTCCAGTCACCAGGGCCCGGTCACGTGTCTGAAGTTCGACCAATGGCACCTCGTCACCGGCGGGAGGGATGGTTACGCGTTCGCCTGGAGCATGATGGGTACTCACAGTCGCTGTCTCACCGCATTCAGACATCCCAGGTAGGTTGTTACGCCACTGAAAAATGGAAGTATTGTTTTGTGTGAGTGTGTCTGTGTGTGTATGTGTACATTTCCAGATATTTGTAGTCAGCATAACTTCAGAAGGCTTCACCACCTGGCAGCTGTCCTGTTTACTGTAACAGAAATTTAGACTTTTGTATCTTTTAAGTTTTATGCTGGATATGCTAGGGTTTTGATATTTTTTAGTGGCAGATAGGTTTTTTTGAATGTTCAGTTGAGCCTTTAGGTGTGTATGTTGTTGGTAATACTATGTAGGACACAGACAGACATACGCGCAAACACATGAAAACTGACTAACAAACTTACACACACACATGCAAACTGTCACACACACACACACACATGTACATACACACACACACATGCACACATACATACACATCACACACACACACACACACAGATACACACATTCACACACAGCACAAAGCACTATCAACATCAAATCTGCCATCTCTGATTGCCTGTTTTTTATAACATTACAGAGGAAGCCAGATCCTGTGTCTGCAGTTCCTGTTCCTAAGAGTGATCACCGGATGCAGCGACGGCAAAATGCGGATCTTTAACCTTTTGAGCGGCGACTGTCTGCGGGTGCTGAGGGGAAACAGCCACTCTGATGCAATAGACGACATCATTGTGTGTGAAAACAGGTGGGAAGGATGCTCGTGAAATGATACTTGGGAAGAATATTATTGTGTTTCAGTAATCCTCAGCAGTATGGGTAAGGGGGTGAAGTCTGCCATCTCATGTTTACTTTAAAAGAAAACAAATTGTTTCTGCTCTGTTTCTTCTTCTACAAATGAATAATGTCAGTGACCTGGACTAGACGTCTGTCACCATGGTAACTGGTGCTGTAGCAGACACCCTGCAATGTTGGATTACATTATGTAGCAAGTGGCAGGACATAGTTGGAATATATGAATGTGTAAGAATGAACAGAACACATGGTCTCTTTGACAAATTGAAATACTGTCACAGTAATTTGTGAGACTAGACCATGTGAAAGTAAACATTATGCATTTGCTTCGCAAATGTTACCTTTCTAAGTTTATTTAACTCAACTTGCCAGTGTGTGGGAAAGGGGGTAAAGTGTGCCATCTCTGATTGCCTTGTTTTAATCATTGTTTATTCATTTATTTGTTTTTGTTTACAGACTACTGATCAACACGATCAACAACCTGCTTGTGTTCACGTTTGAAGAGATAGAGTGGGACTACACCCTCGACTCTGACAAGGTGGAGGTCCTGAAGCACCTGAACAACTACAGCGACGCACCTTTTAAACATCACCCCTATGTATTTGTCAGAGGCCAGCGCATGAGACAGGTAGATACACTTCAGGGCTCAAAGTATTTTTTTTTCTCTATGAAAATCTCTCCAAAGTTTACAGGATAAAAAAATAGAGAGAAACCATATTCTTACTAAAATTATCCAACACATATATCAATTAGAACATGCTTTTTTTCATTTTCCACTGCTTCCTAAGAAGAAATCAACCCCCACATTTAATTTTGTATTGTAACCTTAATATAGACCCGCAACATAATGTAATCCTCATTGTTTGTCTGACTTGTATACTCATTTGCTTTATGTATACTATCACATTTATAATTTCACTTGCAAAGAGCCCATGGGTGCAAACTAGCAATAAACTAATTATTTTAATTATTGGAATGATACAATAACAGGTTGGAGCCTCCAGTGAGAAAGTGTACCATCGTAGTGACCCTGCATACAGCCCTGTGCGACAACTACCCCACAGTGCTCGAAGTTTCAGCCAACAAAGCCTCTCGAGCGCCAAACGGATTCACAGCGCCAAAACTCGCACCACGTCGCAACCCACGCCAACCCTAATCGACATGGAGGAAGACCCTCGACGGGCCGGTTCGCCGCAACCGCCCACCCGGCGCCGAAGCCCGGACGCTATGAGTAGCCGGCAGAGTTTGTGTCTTCGTGCCCCGGCTACTCCGGCACTGTCGACCGGGGCCGGGGTTCGCCAGGCGGCTGCTGTGAGAGGTGCTAGCGCTCCAGCCGGGAGTAGGAACGTTTTCTTCGAGTCTCACGACTTGTCACTGTCAGAGATGAAGTCACAGCTCAGGTTAGATTTTTATTTATTTTTTTTATTTTTCAATTTTATCTAGGATGTATTTATTCATTTCTGTTTTCAGTAATCAAGTTGACTAAAAAAAATGTGAACAGTTTCATCAGGTTGGTAAATCACTGAATAAAAAGACTCTTTTTGCACAACCAGGTATTTTCTACAGATGACACGTAGCCTTCTTTTCGGCAATTTGAGGTTCAGAGTGCACAGTCAAAATTGCCCAGTGAAAGGTGACAGTGACAGTTGTCTGAATAAAACACTTGGTTGTGTTAGAAGGGTCTTTTTATTCAAAATAATCTAATATGTTATAATTATAATTGTAATCTTAACTGCACAGGTCACGGCAGAGAATACAGAAGAGCCACCAGCCGTCGCGTGACGAAGTCTTCATGTGCGTGGGCACGATCCACAGCTCCATCAAAGACGGCGAGGCCAACCGGAACATGGTCATCAACTCCTGCGAGATCAACCCCAAGATCGGCAGACCGCAGTCTTCTCCGGCTAAACTTGCGTCATCGAAAAGGGCTGAAACGGCTGGACAACGGTCTGCTACTAGAGCGTCGACAAGACATCTTAGCATGTCCGTGCCGGCGACGTCGGTGATCACCACTCACTTTCAGTCAGTACCGGTAGACACCACTCCGCATTCTGGCATGCATGATACACACGTTGTCGCAACTGTACCTCAGCCTAGTTTGCTGCGCCCTCGGACGAGTTTGGGCATATCCAGGGACTTGGACGTTGCACAAAATGCATTACATAAACTGTCATCTTCAGACAGACCTAATACAGCCGGCCCCTCAAGAGGCACGAATCTTTTCACAACGTCGGCGAAAGCTGCAGAACACGTCCCAATGATTGTGACAAAAACGATTCAAGCACAGCAGCAGAATTTCCTGACAAACTTTCACGCCAGGACTACTAGTACCGGTAGTAGGAATCCAGTAGACCCACTGAGAACCAACGTTGCATTCAAACTCAAGACAAACAAGGCTCAGAAACAGTTCGAAAGTAACATCGTGAAGTCTCAGACCTCTCACACCAGTAACAAGGAAGAGGTGGAAAAACGGAGACAGAGGCGAAGATGGTTGGCAGTCGCGAAGGGACTCTCCCATCACAATGACATGACGAAAACGGTCAAGAAAACTGCCTACGAGATTGGAGAGTGAGACACATGCTGTTTTAAAAGTCTGCACCTTCCTGTTTTTCCAAGAGTGAAACACAGAACGAAGTGTGACATTAGTCAGAAGGTTCATATGATGAATCGTCAAGCTGCTATTCTTGGAGGTGAAACTCACCAGCTAATTTGTGTGACCTTAACGTTAGTGTATAGAAAGATTTTATTGATATGCTGCTTCCTCAGATATAACATGGACAAGATTTGAGTCCACTGTCATGTTATTGTACAGTAACGTTACTACTTTTTTTTTGTCGACAGGACATGTAATTAGTCTACCGTTCTATGTGTACAATTTTGTCTCTCTTTACTGTCCCTATCTGCTACTGTCAATGCTAGCTTTTGTAAAGAGAAGAGGAACAAGTATGTAAATGAGTCTCTATATCTGTATGATACACTGTTACTGACATCTTGTGAAGATGCCACTTTTAGTAACAGTATGTTGTAGGTGAAAAAAAGCAAAAAAGTTTTAACGTTATATTGAACAACGAAGCTAAAAAGAGCAAGAGAATAGATGTGGATACACAAGTTTTATCAGGTTTAAACTGATTCAATGTTCAAGAATCAGAACTGCCTTGTACAGGGTATTGGCACGTGTTGAGATGAACACAAGCATAGGTAACGTTACAATGTTCAAGAAAATATATGCTGCTGCTACAATGGTTTGAATGTTGATATGTAGGGATAGTGGGATGTTCCTTTTGGTATCTGTTGCTAGATAGATGTCACATGGATGAAATAAAAGTTTATTGTATTGTAGAGACTCTGATTTGTTATTTGTAAATTATTACATCAGGTTGATGAATGATTAAATAGCAAAGTTCTTAATTTACTAATTAACCACTTGGTGACATTTGATGATTGTGTTAGCAGTAACACCTAACTTCAGTGGTCAGTGAACCAGTCATAATTGCAGGAACGCTACCTTATAATGCATTATACAACACGTTCTGCCAAAGCACCATGAATCTCTCTGTCTTGATTTGAAGTCAAATGCCTTTGTATAACCAATGGCATTATATAATACCTGTTTCAAAGCAAAGATCTTTCTTAAATGTGCTCCAAGCATTTGGAAACTACATTACCCATATGTACGCGAACACGGCCATATATTATATGTTCTGCCACAGTGATATACTGTATTCGAGTTCAAATTGAACACATCGAACCCTCTGATCGAACACGTCGAACCCCTTGATCGAACACGTCGAACTACCTGATCGAACACGTCGAATCCCCTCATCGAACGCGTTCTAAATAGAACACGGGGTTCGACGTACCGCGTTCGATCAGGAAAGGTCTAAGATTCCTTAAAAGGCAATCTTTGACAAGTGTCAAACAACCAGTCTGGTTTAAGTCTCTCAAAAACACCTGCTCCCAAAGCGGCAAACTGTTCTCTCCAGCCGACTAAACTCCCTTGGCATGTTATCTCTCTATTTAGCCGATTTCTACTCTTTCCAGCCGCCTCCCGAAGCCCGGTAGAGGCTATCACAGACAGTCTTTGACAAGTGTCAGACAACCCGTTTGGTTCAAGTCCCTCAGGAAAACCTGCTCGTCGACAATCTCGTGGACGTACGGAAATGCGCCGTTGTCATGGTAATGGTAGGGCAGGGGACGGTGGTCTGACGTCATCTCGAAGGGCCAGAAGCCGTACACGGTCACGTGACGGCAGAAGGCGAGGGAGAAGAAGTAGGTGAGGAAGCCGGTGGTGGGATGTCGGACGGTCTCTCGCAAACGGGAGATGACTCTGTTAGAATGTGCAAAATGTACGGAATTAGCTATTGACATTCATTTACGATTCCTTCTCGTTTTTTTTGTATGTTGTGCGACTTACTTAGCCATTATTCACTAATCTATTGAGATATGCGAATCTAGCGTACGTATAGAAATGCGTCAATATTTAACGTTGAGCATTGCTACTCTCCAAGCAGAAGTTTAGGCTTCAGCTTATTTTTTTACCGTGTTTCCAGGCGTTTTTATTGGGCTTTCTTTTTTGTACTGCCTGGCAAGTGGATATCGTCTGGTCAATTTGATACTGTCTTTGCAACCACCAAAAGATCAGCTTGGAGATTAAAGCCTTGCCATCTTTCCTAAATTTACGCGCCCCCCCCCCCCATTCGGACCCTCTTGCCGACTTTCCTAAATTTAGCAATACTGTACGGTAAGTGTTAACACCCCCCCCCCATGCATACCCTCTTTTCAGCTTTACCTTTTGGAAGCTGCCTGCACGTCATCTGCAATCCCATAGGCCGTCCGTATTTTCAGTCCATTGCTGTTGATAAAGTCATCAACCGACCTCAGTGCTTCCAAAGTTGTAATATTGTGTTCACCCTTTCCGTGCTTTTCAAAACCCTTGGCGTACAATAAGATACTGTTTTCTACCTGTTGCAACATTTTCAGAACTTCTGCTTTGCCTGTAGAGGAAAATAGCAGCGATCCGACGTCTATGAGGACTTTATTATTTATTGAAACAAGATCGGTCCTACTTCCTACGTCCTTTTCGAAGGACTGGACCGGCGGAAGGTTTAACCGGATCACGAAGTCGTGCGAGTCGACCGCATCACCGCAGCTACTGTTGAGTAATATCCCTCCGTTCCCCACCAGTGCGCATGTGCTGTAGTTGTGGGTGATGGCGGGCTTTCCGAAACATTGGGATATCAAATTTGTGGGGTCTTCGTCTTTGGGTATGTTTTGGTCCGTGGTTGATTCGCATCTGGCCATATCGTCATTGAAGTTAGAGAAGAGAGCAATGTGCTTCCGTAAGTCGATGTGATTCAAAGCTGCCTTTCTGCAGAAACAAGACATGAATATAGTGCGTCGATGAAGGTTAGACATCCAGGTAATAAGACACGCCAAAAAAAACAGTTAGTCAAGCAACTGGACATGAATATAATGATTCTATCATATTGACCACTGCCTTAAAAAGTCAGACCCTAGCCTCTATAGCTACCAGGCTTCAGAAGCGACTGGAAAGAGTAGAAATTGGCCAAAGAGAGAGGTCTGTATCTGGATAGGTATAGCCGGCATAACCGCCCTTCGGCCTAACACACCAGCTTCGCAGGCACGCGGCGCGGCGGCAGCTGGCTACATTACATTGCCATAACATGCTAGGGGAGTTGGTCCGCTATAAAGGAGTAACGTTACATAGAATTTCTTCCTGTGGTGGCAAATGTACTCATTCGGCGTTCTGGCATGTTATCTGTCTATTTGGCCAATTTCTACTCTTTCCAGCCGCTTCTGAAGCCTGATAGAGGCTAGTCAAATCCATCCATAATGTACGTAAAAACATGAGATAGATTTGTAGCTACCACTTACCTTACTTTTTCCAACGTCAAGATACCGAATTCCGTAGGCCTGGGTGCGATTTGTACATTAAGTTCTCTCTGCGCTATCCCTATGTTCTGTCTATCGTCGCTTATGTTAAACTCTCCGTCCGGTTTGGTCGAAGTTGATGCAAGCTCAAGGTCCATGGAATGAAGGCTCAGGACTGTAGGAAACGAACTGGTTGTTCTGAAAAAGATGTTCAGAGGAATATTAGAATGAAAGCTCATCTGTGGCGGTAGAATCCATAACTGTTGTAAAGTTCAAGCTTTGGAACTCACCATATAGTTTCGATCGATCTCGTCTAATTGACGGTGAGTCCCTTTCTTGTGTTGGAACAAAACTTGAACTTTATAACTATGTTTGGAGGGAGTTTGAAAGAACATAACGTTAATTTTTCGGTCGTAAAATTTAAAGGGGTTGTGAAGTTGTTCACAGACCAACTCTAAACCTGGATAAAATGTGATCCGAACGTTTTAAGTGACATGCATCACTCTTCTTCGTCTTACTGAAATGGACTTGCAGAAACCTGAGGAAGACCGAGTGATTCGGTCGAAACTTTCGGTGAGTAATTCTTTTGAGTTGGAGAACAGTTTTAATAGTACAAGGAAGGATTAAACTAGTACTTACGACTAAAGTTCTGTAAAGCGTAGAAGGTTTCAGACGGCATCCACCATCTTTCTTCAGCTACAGAACAGTTGAAAGTTTCTCATAATGAGTTGTTAGGTTGTTATTTACCTTTTATTTGATAGGCTCCCGCCGATGGTCCACAGGAAGACAGTAGTGGTGGCCAGAACAAACGCGACCAAAAGTCTTATTTTGACTCTTCGGAGACGATCCATGTGTTGGAACATCTCACCTCAGCTTACCTAAAGAATTAACGTTACATGTATCTGCAGCTGCCATGATCTGGAAAATAAGGGACCAAAATTGAATAGAATAAATTCATAGGCTTATATATAGAATCTTAAAAAATTCTGGGGGTACTTGCATACTCTACCTTCAATTTCAGGACTATTTGGATATAGACTAGGTAAAGGTGATATACATTACAGAGGATACCTCCGGCATTCCTGAACTCGTTCATATCACTACCGGACGGTGCTTCGTGCAGTCTGAAACATGCGTTTTTATTCACATCAAAGAACAAGGACAATGCGGTGTTACACCCAAATTACACACGTGTGACAACGCCACATACAACATAAACAATATTGGAGCAATACGTATGGTGATACCCCTCCCATTACTCAATATTTTAAACGACTAGTAACTATGTACGTACGACCATGGAGTTAGAAAGACTCCATGGTACGATGTATAACAGTTACATGTATATTATAACAGTTACATGTATATTATGACAGTTACATGTATATTATAACAGTTACATGTAACGCTACATCTATATGAATATGAACTTACAAACAGACGTTTACCTTATCATCCGGAAAGCCTTCCATTGCTAGCTGCGAATTCGTAGATGCCTCAAGGCCGGTCCAATAGCACAAGTAGAGAACAATACAGTACAATATAGTAGCTGTAGATTTCAACGTTGATAGCACTCACATTACTTCGTAAAGATACACTGAACTGACAGGTTAACATCATGTCTGCCGGTGGGTAAAGAGAGATGTTCTATGCCCCTTGACCCGTGAAATCTCGCGCGAGAAAAACCGGTTTTACGCGGGAGACACCTGGTGTTGTGTCATACAGGTGACGTCATCCACCCAAAGGCCACAGACTGACAAGTCTTTTGTTTGGACATTTGTTCATTCGTGAGAATCTCAGGTTCATTTAGTATGATCTCCAAGCAGATGTTTCGGTGGCTGCAAAAGACAGTATCAAATTGGCCAGGCAGTATCCATTTGCTGTCTGGCTAATGGGTACTGCCTGGCCATGTTGATACTGTCTTTTGCGTCCACCGAAACATCTGCTTGGAGATTAATGTTAGACTACTATAGATGTAAGATACCAAACTTGTATCACTGTTACTGTACATGTAACCGACACATTATTTTCAAGATCACCTCTGGATTTTGTAACAGTCAGTTTTTTTAGGGCACCACTTTTTAATCTTAGTATGGGTTTAAATGGGATGACTTTCAGATATCAAAGTCACTTTTTGGTTAAACCGATTGGAAAATAAAGTTGTTAAGGTTTTGAACTGACAGAGACACATTGCAAAACAAATTTTCAAGATCAACCCAAGACTTCTTAAGAGCCGTTGGTTTGAAAGTTGTCCAATGGTCCAAAATACTATGTTTCACCTGGCTGATATGGAGGGTACTTGGGGGGGGGGGGGGTTACCAGAATATTGATGCCATATAATATAACTGCTGCCTGATTCAAACTCAATGTCAAGTTGCCAATACAATTACTTTTTGGGATTCAGAAAAATAGTATCAATAGAACCAGAACAATTGCTTCTGCTGTTGAGTCTACCTTTAAACTAGATAATATACAAAGGACACTACCAATTAAAAAGCAAACATAACATACTTTAATTTGCAGGGTTTCATAATAAAAGTACTCTGATTGCCACTGCATAGAGTACATTGTCATTTTTACAAAGTACAGCCTATCTAATACTGGAAAGATAATTCTTCACAAATATAAGGATCTGTTAATCACATGACATTGCTTTTAAAGCATTTATTTCCTAGACTCGTCATTTCATGATCATATTATCCATGTTCATATGTGATTTTATCTAGTGTTGAGAAGACTTAAATTGTTCAATCAAAAATCATCACATAAATATTGTTAGCACCGATGAAAAAAAATATGATAAAATCAAAATATCATTGATAGATAGAATATTATCAAACAAAATACAATAAAATCAACCTATGTTAACTTTATCTTGGCTAATTCTATCATTTCATGTGCTCATTTTTTGCACCGTAGATCATCACCACGTTTTGTTTCAAATCACTTCAGAGAAGATATTATCCCTACTGGCATTTGTTCAAGGCTGTATACTTGATACTGCATATAAAAAAATTAAATCTCATCTCATCCTGCTAAGCAGTTCTTTACTATAATTTTTCTTCGGGTTATATTTCTTCACCTCTACTAATTCCCATCTTAGTTATCTGACACTCAAGTACTTTTCTAGCTATGCAGAGATGTTCATGTTAGCTGATGTGTTACACCAAAGGTGGTATACCGGCTATACAGATACAGAAGCTGGTGTGTCACGCCGAAGGGCGGTTATACCGGCTATACAGATACAGAAGCTGGTGTGTTACGCCGAAGGGCTGTTATACTGGCTATACAGATACAGAAGCTGGTGTGTTACGCCGAAAGGCGGTTATACCGGCTATACAGATACAGAAGCTGGTGTGTTACGCCAAAAGGCGGTTATACCGGCTATACAGATACAGATGTTGTGCAAAGGACAATTAGGTGACAAAATGAGGAAAAATAATTAACTTCCATAGAGAAACGTGACAATGGCAAAACTATATTGACTGTGCTTGGATGGGTGCTGGTCTGGTCCCTAGGATTCCTCTGTGTCACCTTGTTTTGCGAGAATGAAGCCCACACGTGCTGGCATATAGACCTGCAAAAGACATCACTTTGTTATATAACAGAGTTACAATTTTACATCACAATGTGTAGGGTATAACAGACAACTGACAGTGCACTGCAATGGTCATCTTATCATTCTGTGGGCTTCAGTTTGAAAAGAATAATCATATAGAGAAATTAAGTTCCAAACACAAAAACTACTTGGAGATTTGCCCCCCCCCCTTAATTTCCACACACTGTTCAGAACAGAACAATACTCTAGGTCCAAGGTCCAATATTTTGTGTTAGAAATTACAATTGAACCCTTAAATCAGAATTACTTAAATGTGATTCTTAAAAACACCTTAAGTAGAAAACACTGGAATCACTAACACTAGAATCCATACTTCGGCAAAGGTTAGACATCCAGGTAATAAGATACGTCAAAAAAACAGTTACTCAAGCAATTGGATATGATTTTGGAAACGGTCAGATGTACATGTAGGTAGTGGATGCTATCTGAAATGTCTGACCATTTCCAAAATCATATCCAGTTACTTCATCAGGGGTGCCAGAGTATACAGTGCAATTTTACGGAATACAGTGCAATGGTAAGTATACAGTGCAATTTCACTAGTAAAATTGCACTGTATACTTAGTAAAATTGCACTGTATACTCTGGCACCCCTGTGCTTGAGTAACTAGAATGTGTAGTACATTATGTACCTTTAGTGAATTGGCCCTGTTGTCATGTTCGATGGGTTCAGTGAAGAACTCCGTGTTGTGGTCCAGTCGGCTGTGTCCAGCATACGCTGGGTCATCTGTGTCCAGAACTATCTTGTACCTGGTGAATTCTGGGTTAAGGAAGTAACCTGGAGCAGAATCTTGCAAATTTTAACTTGACTTATTTCATTTGTGCTAGAAGAAAGGGTAGACAACATATAAACTTTCAAGGTTTGGGCCCCCTTGCGCAGATGTATCCTATGCAATCTCCATGTTTTGTCCCCCAAGTTACAAAATGTTCATGTATCCACCACTTGAAAAACTGTATGTTTTAGTCAGAGATCTCTAGTGCAGCACCCCCACGTATGTGATGTATTGTACGCCTTTTAGATGCTTTAATCCAGAAGGGTTAGTATAGGTACAATGCGTGTATATGCTCAATGCAGTCCAGATGGCAAAGACATGGAATCTCAGATCTCAGCTTCACCTGGGGGCTTGATTCTGAATATGCATGATGGGCTATACTACTACAATGGGTAGGGGGTGTTAGCTCTATTCTTACTTCGTGTGACATCGTCTAACTTTGCTTAATATCACAACAGTATGCACAGGTTAGATAGAGAAGGGCATTATATCAGGGGATCCAATATTGGAGATCTCTTTTGACACATTTTTTTAAGGTGGCAGATATATGTGACCCGGCAGAAATTTTTTTTTTTGCTGTATATTACTGGTTAATATATGTGCAACTAAACAATGAATAAAAGATAAAGACGAAAAAAAGGATACTTTCCGGGAATGTCACATCCGATTCTGTAGTCAGTGAAGCTCTGATTTGTGTGGAAGTTGAAGACGAAAACACACCCTCCTCTCTCGAACACTATCACCTTGTCACCTTCATGCTTACTGCTCACATAAGCCTGGGAAGGAAGGAATGATGAATTTTTTTAAATATTTCAATGCAGGGATTGATTTAAAGTACCAACCTAGTATGTGACTTTGTAGCTCCTATACTAGTATGGCATAATTCCATTTTTTTTTCATTCGTTAGGTTAGCCTTATGAAAGTGTAGTTGATATATACTAGGAGATACCATAGTTTGTACCAATTGTTGTGCAATAAAATATCTTGTTTTTTCATCGCTCAATTCACTGATTTCCTGCAAAAATCTGATAACCACTTAATCAAATGGGTGTGGCCCTGATACCAGTATGTCTTTCTCTGAAGAATCTAAAGAGAATGCAAGAGCCAGTATTACATGTACCTGTTTAGTAGTCTAGATCTGGGGAAAGAAACTGTTGCTGTAGAAGGACTTTAAAACAGAAATTTGGACTGTGTAATGATGTCAACTGAAGGAGAACCTAGCCAGTGGCATGATGTTCATTACCTGTTCAGTAGCCAGCCAGCCGTAGTGGTTCTCTGTCAGGTTCATGTCTCGGTCAAAGTTGTTGAGGAATTTGTAGCGAAGTAGATCATCATCCACCAGGTTCCACTGTCGGCGGGCATAGTGAAAGCTGCTGTTGTTCCCCACTCGGGGGAAGTCCAGCCACTCCGGGTGGCCAAACTCGTTTCCTGAAACACATGTACGAATGAGTTGCACAAGTAAATGTACAGCGATCACTATCAATACTAATGCTTTTGTTTTGATGCATCAGATTTTGTTTATAATAGACTGTTGTTCACCAGTTGCCTGACTAAATGTAACCATGTCTTGTCCTGTGTATGTAAATGCATGCTGGGCCCCATTGGAAAGCAACTTCTACAAGCTGAATGGGCTACCCAGCCGTTTTATGATGAAATAAATAAATAGCCTTGCATTCAGTAGGTCATGAGTTTGATCCCCAGCTGATTCATATATCTTGAAAGACTTAAAATGGTACAAACTGGTTTCTTGGCTTAGCAGTCAGCATCTGGGAAAGAGTACGGGAGTACACACACTGCTACCAGGAGCCTGGAAGCCAATCCCTATGCGCTATTTCCAGTTCTAGGAGTCACGACTGCCAACTCCTTGAACCGGCAATAGTGAGTAGGGATTGGATACGCTACCAGTAAACTAGTCCCCTGATGTAGTGATTGCACAACTGTGGTAACACCAGGCTCTTGTTGAATTTGATTAGAAGAAAAAAAAAGTTACCAATGAAGTTGAGCCAGCCCTCTCCTCCCAGTCCATGTGTGATGAGACGGATCATCTTATGCAGAGCCAGTCCCCTGTCTACTGTAACTGTCATCTCTGACAGACAGGACATGTTGGTGTACATCTCCTGTAAAAAAAAACATCAATGTCTACATCATTTCTGAGATACCAGGGTACAAGACATGTTTGTATACATATACTTACATGTATCATCTACAGCAAGAAATCAGATATTTTAAGACTTCTGTAAAGTGGGCTGGTGTGTTACACCAAAGGGGATTTATACCAGCTATATAGATACAGATACAAAAGCTGGTGTGTTACACAGAAGAGAACAAGGACAAATATTTCACCTGATTTACTGAAGAAATATTGCTTTTTAAAAATGAGTTACATGAAGTTTCTGATTTTGGAGGGTTTGAAATTCAGATGTCAGATCAAACATTTCATAGCCTTACCTGCAGTTGATTAAAAAAAAGTCTAGGGTCAGTGGGTTTTTGCTGGGGACAGTCAGGAAACCAGAAAAAAAAATTTTTTCCCTAGGCCTTATGATATAGGCTATGTGCCTGAAATAAACAATAAATAGATAGAAATAAGACTCTTACAGCGTCCATGAGCCAGAAAGCCAGGGTCTTGTCTCCCACCAGCGCCTGGTCGTGGCTCTCAGCGTAAGCAATGGTCTTCTCTCCGTGTCTCCGGTTGATCAGGGTGTGAACAATGTCGCCCATGTTCCAGTCTTCATCCTTAAACTCTTTCAAAACCTGTGGGAAATTTTTAATAGTGAGCAAAGATGGAGATGCTTAGTCTTTTACTAGCCTCCACCAGGCTTGGGGAGGCAGCTGGAAAGAGTAGAAATCGGCCAAATATGGAGATAAGCATGCCAAGGGGGTTTGTCCGTCGAGAGAACATTTCGCCGCACCCCAATGTTCTCTCAACGGACAAACTCCCTCAATAGTGGCTTGCTTATCTCTCTATTTGGCCGATTTCTACTCTTTCCAGCCGCCTCCCCAAGCCTGGTAGAGGCTAGAGTTTTACCAGACTCCAACAGGTTGCTGATAAAAAGTAGAATTCGGACAATGCCAGGCACAACCCTAACACACAGAGTGTGGCATATCGGTGTGTTCGCCTCAGAACCATAAGGTCCTGGGTCCGAACCCTGCCATGCCACTGGTCTTGTGCCCTTGGGAAAGGCACTTAACATGACTTTCCTCACTTTACTCATGTAAAAATGAGTACTGAATTGTCCGCTGTGTTGGTGGTGGCATAAAAAGAATGAGCCTACCAGCACCGTGTCGTGTAATTACGTGTTGGAATTTTAAAAAAAACTAACACAAGATTACTCAATGCGTTTATATTTTACCTTTATCCATTTATCTGGGATTGCCATTCCTAAGCGATAATCGAAGCCGTTTCCTCCCTCTGACACAGGTCTACACAGGGCTGGCATTCCCGACACTTCCTGGAAAAAACAACAACAGACATTAATTTATTAGAATATATTTGATGACAGATGCAAAGGAACAAGGAAGCTTAAGAGGAAATGACTATCATTCAAGTCACATCTCTGTTGCCTAACACAGTAGCCTAAAGGGAAAAGGTGGCCAAACAGCTACATGTACAGTACTTCAGTGTCCCGGAGGATCTTTCTTTATGCAGACAACAATCAACGTAAAGAAATGACATATACAATCTACATCTTACACTCATACATTAAATGAATAACACAGTAATATACAACATGACATGCTTGACTACAAAAATAGAATATTGCGCAGTTTATTCAATATCATCATCAGGCGGGTACATCGGATGAGGCGGAATACACTGTGTAGTATACACTATGGAACATAAACTTGACCAAATCCATACAAACTAACAATAAACAGAAAGACTCTCCCACCTCAGCTATAGTGATGCAGTCTGGGTATAACTCGTGCAGCATGTGGTTGGCCAGCGTGAGGTATGTGAGGGACTCGGAGTCCGTCGGTAGCCCGAAGTACTCCCCGAGGTCCCCGCTGAAGCCGTGCGCGATCCCGTGGCTGTGGTACAACATGGACGTCACGCCGTCGAACCGAAACCCGTCAAACCGGTACTCCTCCATCCACCATCGCAGGTTCGACAGCAAGAAGCGGAGAACTTCCCAGCTGGAAACAAAAACAAGAAATGCTCGATATTCTTTTTACACAACTGGTAATGTAGTAGTAGACTGCTTTATTTTACAAAGGTGATAAAAGCATGCCCTAGGGCTGAATTGCACAGCTTTGACAAAATGTGTTACAAATTGATGACTCTCACCTGCTTACTATTAGACATCTTCCTCAAAGCTTTGACTGGAGTAAGCAGGTGAGAGTCATTACCAGTTGTGTAAAAAGAAAACCCCAATATCCCATCTTTTACCAACCAGAGGAAAAGCATTACTTTGTTGTGCAATTAAGTCTACTTATTGTTATTCAGGGCTTTGCAAAAAATAGCACTTGTGCAGAGGTTAATTCTAAAGAACCTTACTTGGTGTAGTCGAAACACAGGTCGTAGTTGTACATTAGTAGATTGTACCTTGTGTACCTTGCCATATGTTGTACCTCAAACAAATAATATTGTTGCAATTGTTTAAGCATTGGTGAGGTTTTTCAAATAAATAGTTCCCTTTCAGAAGTTGATTCTATAGAATCTTACTTGGTGTAGTCGAAGCATCTGCTGCCCCACAAGTCGTGCATCCCCCGGCTGCCGTCATGGAAGAAACAGGCGTTGGTCCCGTCAAATTGGTTAAGGCCGTCCAGAACGTTCTTGGAGGCGTGACTGTGAACCACGTCCAGCAGAACAACTATCCCCTCACGGTGCGCCATGTCGATCAGAAGCTTCAGGTCATCCGGAGGACCGTACCGACTGGAAAGAAACAATATTCCTTCCTTTATTCCTTCATTCCTTCATTCCTTCCTTTCTTCATTCATTCATTCATTCATTTCTCCATCCATCCATCCATCCTTCCTTCCTTCCTTCCTTCATTCATTCATTCATTCAACAAACAAAAGAACAGGATTATAGTGGCAGTACAGAATTTACAATCCAGACTGTAGTGTAAGGTTGGAACCACACATACATGGAAAGGCCCACTGCTCTTTTTGGTAAGTGTGGTGGGATCTTTGACACGCTTGAGTTGTGGCTCTCCTCAAATACGGGACCTCCGGCTTTACATCCTATTCTTAAAAGAGGACATCCCTAACCGAAGCTAGGTACTCATTTACACCTGAAATAGGTGTTAAGTGCCTTTCTAAGGACACAACACTGGGGCCTGCCAGGGATTCGAACCCAGAACCTTTGGTGGTCTTACCTGGAGGCAGCGAAGAAGCTGGTAACTTGGTACCCAAAGCTGGCGTAGTAGGCATGCTCCATGATGGCCATCATCTGGATACAGTTGTAACCTACATATAGAGAAAAGAGACTCAAGTCAACTTATCTGTGCAAACTACTAGCTAGTGTGTTATGCCGAAGGATGGTTATACCGGCTATACTGATACAGATACCCAAATGTAGCTTGTAGATTCATGAATGAAGGTTAGACACCCCGGTATTATGACTGAAAAAGGTAGTGGACGCTATACTAGTACAAATACTTGAAATGTTTGCAACTTTTCAAACTCTATCCGGTTGTAACTTGTGGGTTGTGTGTTTCAGATATTTGTAGTGTACTACTAGTTGACATGCTAATCAACATCTTTTGCACTGCAACCCCGTCTTTTTGTGGCCTTCGAGTTCACCCCATTTCCTGTGTCTGACATTTGAGTTTTGACCTCCTGTCATTCTGGCTGTCAATCTACCTCCCACTCACATGCTATCAACCTACTCTGCCTGGACAAACACACAAACCCACAGCTCAGCCACCCAAAACAGTACTTCCATACCCAGCACTAGTTACAACAAGTTACCTTGTTTCTTGATCCTTGGAATGACGTTATACGCAAAGTGCTTGTAGTCTGCCACCTTCCCCTCCCAAGAGGATATCCCCACGTGGGACTCGTATATTCTCAGGCTGCTGGGAAGCTTTGGTCGTGTTTGTTGGAACACAAACTTCTCGGGAGGGTTCCAGAACGTCGCCTCGTAGATTTTTGTCTCGTCCGAGGGGATGGCGTACTTGGCCCAGGGGCAGATCCGTTCCAACAGGTGCCCGTTTTTGTCCTTCACAACAAGCTGGGAGGGTAATACAACATTCCTTCTTTTTATGTCTTTCTTTTTCTTTTTACAAACATAGTCAAACCTGTGTGATCGTGTGGCGTAGCAGCAGAATGCTTGACTCGAAACCAAGAGGTCCTGGGTTAAAGCCCTGACATGCCACCGATCTTGTGCCCTTTAAGGCACTTTACACGACTTTCCCCACTAAACTCAAGCAAATTGCCAATGCTCAATGTGGCTACTCTTTGAATGTTTGTTTCATAGGTCCTAATTCTCTATAATTTGCTTGGTTTACTTTGTATTTACACATTGTCAAGAAGTTGAAAGTGTTGTCACTATGTATTTTTGATAAATGTTGCAATATAAAAATGAAAAGAAAATTTAGAATCAACTCTAACTCCTACCTTGTACTTGGACAGGTGGTCTAGAGGACAACTCCCATCAGCCTTTGGGGGAAGAACCAGCTCCCATTTTCCGAAGGGCAGCTTCTTGAAGGAGTGAGAGGTTTTGTTCCATCCGTCTAAGGGAAGAAATAAGAAATGAAAATTAAAGATCTGTACAAAATTTCATCAGTTGGTGAATGATTGAATAGCAAAGTTCCTTATTCACAGCCACTTGTTTAATAAGAGCAATGCCCGATGGTTATCAAAACTAGCTTGGGTGCCATCCTCTGTAGTTTCTGCATGCTCCCTAATGTCGCTAGCTAACACCAGGGACATTAGGGAGCTGGCGGCAACTACAGAGGATGGCACCCAGGCTACATCAGGACATTGGCTCTTATTGGAAAAGTGGTTGTGAATAAATTTGCTATTCAAGAAATCAGAGATTTCAAACTTAAGAATTTGTGCCCTTCACACAACTTTCCTCACTTAACTCAAGTGAAAATGACTATTGTCCAGTATTTGTTTCCCACTTGTATTGTATTGTTACAATTTCAACGAGTATATTGTGACAGGAGCAGCAACATTATGTAACCCAACACCAGTCACCATGGTGACAGATGTCAACAAATCATGTCATTGGCCAGGTCAGACTCAGAGGTTTGTGTTTGGAACAGAAGAGGAGGAAGAAACTGAGTAAAAACAATATGTTTCCCTTCGGTAAACATAATAAATCAAATTAAACAGTACAGAAGGCACTTACTGAAGTCGCCCATGAGGTAGAGTTCCTCAGCTCCCGGTGCCCACTCCCTCATCACCACCCCTCCATCCTCCGTTACATGGATCCCGAAGTACTGGTACCCACGGCTGAACTTCTCCAGACCTCCCTCATGCTGGTTGATGTGATCAAGAACATCCAGGAAGCATCTGTACCTGAGGTAGAGAAACAAAGGAGGGAAAAGTGGAGGCGTGTGGCCTAACAGCAGAGCATTCAGCTCAGAACCAAGAGGTCCCAATGTCCCGGTTCGCCTGAATCCTGCCATGTCATCAATCTTGTGCCCTTGGGAGAGGCACTTTACACGAATTTCCTCACTTCGCTCAGGTGAAAATGAGTATGCCAGAATGACCATTATCATGATCTTGGAAAACCAAACCAAAAGTGACACTGATATCTTCCTAGTAAAGATATTTACTAAGATTTAGCGCATATTTGTATAGTTCTGACACGTCAACTTGTATGAATGTTCTTATCTGTGTGAATTCTTCGATTAAATGTCCTACCAAAGTTTTGTTCATTGATTTTTCTCAATACTAGTTTTTCTTATTTTCATTTTGTTTACCTAGATTTTAGATATCGTACTCTCAATGCTGAGGGATAAACCATAAATTATCATTATGTATTAACCCTTGAGGGGGCGTGTCCATTGTTAAGTTACGACTTTTCATAACCATGGCAGTAGATCGTAGGTTAAGGTTAACGTTACAACATTGTCAACTACTATTGAAAATATACACCGGGATATCATCAACAATGCATTGATCTATAGTTGATTATGTAAAATACGTGATGCAACGCACGTGTGTAAAATCTTTAACGTCGGGAGGGCTTCTTGTCGCCTGGTTTGAGCTACCTCACAGGGTAAAATTCGGCCAAAATTTCTGCAACAAGAAGGCCAAAACGTATTTAGGAGTCTCCTACCTTCTTTTGATCTCCTTGTCAAAAGGTTTCAAGTACGAGTCAAGGTCATACAGCCGTTCTAGGTCAGGGGGCGCCGGACCGGTTTCTTCCACCTCCATTTTTGTCGCCATGTTGGATCATCTGGCAATCAGCTGATCTTGGACCAGTCCATTACCTCAAGATGGGGGGATTTCAGTTTGGCGCGCAAGTTGTGTATTCGTATACGTTGTATATATCCTTACATAAAATGTACACTACCCTTACTTCAGTTTGTTTAAATAAATGATAAATTTGTTTAAATGAATGACGAAGGAATAGATAGTTGGTAAATATATTTTATCAGATCTTCAAGCATGATACTAAGAAATTTGATCTTTTTTTCCCGCAACTCGTTTTCGAAAAAACAAAATTAGTTGTGGTAGAGTAGAGGGTTGAAAAAGACACGAAACTGTGAGAAAATGTTGTGATGGTAAAAATTTTTACCATCACAACATCTGCTTGGAGACCCTAATTCCCGGAACATGTCGGGAATTTTCGGAATCGTCCGAACAAAGCGTTCGGCATTTCTCGGAAACTCGAAGCTGACGTCATCATGCGAGTTCTAAGTTTTGGAAAACTGGGAGGAGAGAGAGTTGTTTACACTTTACTCTTCGAAGACTTTCATCCTCAACTAAACTCTTTTCCTGGGTTTCTGGTGATGCGGTTTTGAGATAGGTAAGTAAAAAGCTTAGTGGATTTTATAGAAGTAGCAGCAAAGTATGTAGATATACGTTTAACAGGGACAAAACTTGTCTTTTTTTTGGCGATCCGCTATCTTTGTCTGGGGAATTTCTTGGACAAGATGGCGGAAAAACATGTGGAGTTTTCGTGATGGATTCCAGTCTAGCCGAGATAGTTTGGCGACTAGTTGAGCAGGTATACGTATAGTTTCTAGGCTTTCAGCTAGTGAAAATGTCTTGTTGGTAGATTCAAAGATTTTCACAAGGTTTTGACGGTTAGATGAAGTTCGATATTATAATTTATGAAACCGGACACCCAAGGCCAAAGACTGTGACCATGTGTGGGTAAGTTTGGTCAAGGATACTTGGTTTGGTACAGGAAATATTTCATGCTAGCCTGGATTCCAGACAGTTGACTTTAGCATGTAGAGTGTGTTTTTAGTTTACCAAACAGACTTTTATACAACAGTTAGACAAACAGAAAATTATCAGTTGATTCTGTCTCAACTTTGCACATTCTCTTTGGTGATTCAGCTTGTCAAACTGTTTGTTTTTCTAGCTAGAATTTTTGGGTTCACACCTTGTGTCAACGCAATGTTCAAAATAAAATAAAATATTCACTTTGATAGTCATTTCTGATTATATGTATCTGTAGATAACTTGTCAAGGACACAGAACTTTATGGAATATGAATGCCTTGGAGGGACAGATGGTTTGGATTTCCTGTCTACAGCTGTTTCTTTTGTTACTAAACTGACAAGTTGTGAATGGTTTGTTGGCATAAGTGTTTGACATCTGACTGAGCTGAGTTACACCTGGGCAAAAACTTCAAAGTATAAAATACTGCATACACACACAAGCGTATGAAAACAGGGTGCATCAATTTTTTCCTACATTGGCCTCCCTTTACCAAGAATATACTACATGTTCATATAGTATACCAGCCTGTGCGCTGACCCTTGCAACAGTCTGGCACCCATTCAGTAAATCAAGTTCAATTCAGTTAGAATATTCTTCCATCAGTGACTGTTTTTGAAAGGTAAAATCCCTTACCTCCAAATTTTTCGATGTCGACTGCACACCTTGATCACGGAGGAGGTACGTGATTTTACCTTTCAAAAAACAGTCACTGATTGAAGAATATTCTAATAACTGTTAATTTTATGCGACTGATGGACCTCTTCAACGAAGTTCAATTCAATACTTCTTCCACAGAATTTCTCCTGAGTAGTTTGTAGCGATGTCCCAGCCTCCAGTGAACGGAGCCGGTCGGGGCGGCCGCGGTGCCCTTCTCCTCAAGGCTCTCCAGAGCACGGTACGGCGGCCGGGAGAGGGCCTGCCCGAGACTGGGGTTTCCCACCCTCCGCAGCAGGGGCAGCCGGCTACAGCACAGGTGAGGAAATCTAGTAGCAAAGACGTTGTTGAAGACAAATGTAAATAGAATACCACATGTATCTGGTGCAAGCACGTCTAACCCCCGGCTGGGGAAAAATGACGTTAAATTCGGTTAAAAAAAAAAAAAAAAAAATACTGTATCAGTATAGCCGCTATAACCGCCCATCGGCATAACACACCAGCTTTGCAGCCAGCTAGCTATATTAGATGGTGTTTTTTGGTGAAATTGCTGGGACCAAGTTTGTATGTAGAATTCATAATAAGATATTTGTTGCAGTACTTGTCAAAGTTTATTTTATGTGGCGACCCCAAAAATCTTCTGTACACCTAATTTTTTAGGTTGCAACTTCTTTGTGTTGGATCAAAAGTTTTAACATTGTTTGTTCTTGTCCAAATACAGGCACAAGCGGAGGCCACTCCTGCTGCAGCCCAGCCGGCACCTGCCACTATGGGGAGAGGGGCCTTACTGGCTAGTCTCTACCAGCAAACAGTCAGAACAGGTAAGATGGCAGCATTGGCTTCTCCGTTCTTCTTCTTGAATACCCTCTGACCACCCTAAAATGGGGTATTACTGAGAAGGGGAGTGGTATCAGCCTTCTCAAAAAAAGGCAGCAACAGTCGAAAATCACTACTTACTGAAATTTTTGCGCCGTCTACTTTCATATAAATTTAAGAAAAACATTGTAGTCTCCATTACAAACCCCTTCATGGCTCGCCTGCTACTTTTTTATGTCAGCCACCTACTCTAAATTTTTGTAAGAAGGCTGGGTATGCGGCCAATGTCAGGGCAGCTGCCAGCCCAGCCTTAAAAGCCTTAACTGTCGTGGCCTGCACAACTAGGCCTGGCCTGGTCTTTTCTTTTGAGGAAAAAACTTTGTCTGATTTGTACTGCAGCTAGGTGTCACTGTATGGTACAACACTTAAGGGTCTTATCCAGTCTGACACTGGTCTACAAGGATTGGAACTTTTGTCTGCAATGAAAGACAGAAAGTACTGGCGACAAAACTTCACACACTGCACCTCAGAAGAGGATGAGTAAAGAAGAAGAAGAAGTAGGCATCCTTCCATCTTGAGAGATGTTGGTAGCACTCTAAGTCTTGTGTATAGTACAAATTGTAGAGTTACAAAATTCCTCATGTGTTTCTCCTGACAACAGGTTCCTCCCCCAGTCCGCCTCAACCCTCCTCCCCCCAAGCCCCAGGGCAGTATGGGAAGGCTCCGTCGCCTGTGCGGGGCAGAGGCATGCTGGGATTGCAGGACATCCCAGGGCTGCCCATGTACGGGCGCGGCATGGCACAGCATGCAGGTAAGGTTTCTTGGTTTCTCTGTACTTGTAAAGAAGCACTAAAGTCAAGGAAGTGGGTGTTTTTTTCCAATAGATGATTTATCAGTATGTACATTATCAGCCAGGTTTATGCAGAATTCCAGTTGTGCAACATGTGTTTTGTAAATTGATGTCAGTATCACTATCCCCAAGCACACCTTATCAATGCATTCCTTGTACATATTTCACTACATCACAATATTTTTGGCATGAATGCCAAGGTAGCCAATTACAGAAAAGAACCAAAGAACATATAACAAGTTTAAGAAGAGAAGGACTCTCTACACAATGCATGATTAAAAACTCTTAAGTCTGAAATAATGAAATGGCAAGCTGTTCGCTTCTGTGATAAAGTAAATGAGTTTTCACTGTCTGTTGTCCCTTTGTAGAAGCTGCAGTAAGACCGAAGGAGAGGGTGTCCCCACCCGTACCATCCCCACCCCCAGCCCGGGAACCCACCCCACCCTCACCAGCAGGGCAGCAGGCCTCACCACAGGCACTCGCACAACCCATGGCCAAACTGTCTGTGGAGGAAAAGAAAGAGCGGTAAACACAGTTTGAGTTCTCCTTTGTAAATCCAAGAGGCTAGAAGAACTTGTCACAAAAAGATGTAATCTTCCTGTTGAGTTTTGCATGATACTAAAACGGGATAGAATTTTTATGTTACTAACAAGCCTCAGTATTGCAGTGCAAACACGTCTAACCCTAGGAAGTCAGGGAACAACAGACATTAAATCGGGCAGTGAGTTAGTGTGTGAGTGTGGCCAGAAAGCCACAACAACAAGCTATGATAATGAGGAGGTAGAAAATCATGCTAGAAGTTGCAACTAAACATTGACAAAATCTGGATATATTGTATACTGTATACTAAATAATTTTGACATTTTTGTGTTAGAGTAATTACATGTTTTCTTCATCAGATATATCCCAGAACCAGGAAAAGTGGGACAGCCCGTGAGAGTGGCCTGTAACTACATCCCTGTAAGGAGCAAACTGGGTGGACTGTACCAATATGCTGTCAGCTACAGGTAAGTAGGATCAGCTTCTGAAGAGTTGTACTGTCGGAGGGCAATGTAAGTGGGGTCTGTGGCGTAGCGGTAGCATGTTCACCTCGGAACCAAGAGGTCCTGGGTTCGAACCCTACCATGTCACCGATCTTGTGCCCTTGGGAAAGGCACTTAACACGACTTTCCTCAGTTCACTCAAGTGAAAATGAGACCTAGCTTTGGTTTTACATGCACGTTAAAAAAACCATTACACCTTTCGAAGAAGAGTATATAGGGACATGCCCCTGTCTGCGATGGTCCAAGTACTAAAGTATGAGTTGGTGATTCACTTCAAGTCACCTGGACAGAGGCCTGGCAAACCCATTCTTGTATTAAGCTAACGAAAGGGTATGTCACTTTGTAAGGGGCAGTATAACCCTGACCAATACGGTCGACCAATAAGGTTAACATGAAATGTTACTTTAAATTTCTGCTTGTTTGTTGTATCAGCCCACAGATAGACTCCCGTAACATGCGATACGGTATGCTGTATGACCACAAGGATGTCATCGGAGATGTGAAGGCCTTTGATGGGGCCATCCTGTTCCTGCCGAAAAAGCTGCCTCAACCGGTATGTTACTGTCGTTCTTTCTGACAGCTAAATACCAATAGCTAGATTATTTTTTAGTTTAAGATTTCTCTGGTTTCGTACACATATGTGGATGGTTCAGAGGAAATTTGTAATATGCAAAGGATATGCTTACTGTACTTAGATATTACATGTATTTGAAAGTTACCACAAGCTAGTTCTTGAAAAATATGAGTTTTGAACACCTCAATTCTTGGTTGATTACTCTGGTACTTGAAGGCGTGACTGATTCTTCTGTTTTTTTGTTTTTTTTTCAGGTGACAGTTGTAGAGTCCACGAGGAAAACCGACGGTGCTCTGATCAAGATTCGCATCAGTCTGACAAAGGAGCTCCCCCCGGATGACAGGCAGTGTCTTACTGTCTACAACATCATCTTCAAGAAGTGAGGACAGATTTTTATTTGTTACTCAAGCAACTGGATAAGGTTTGAAAACTGTCAGAAGGTTCAAGTAGCATCCACTTCTCTTCGTCAGTGAAAAGTAGTGTGTTTCACTGTCTACAACATCATTTTCAAGAAGTGAGGACTGTTTTTTTTTTCACTTAACAAGGGTTAAGCACAAAGAATTGTTACTCGAGCTACTAGATAAGTCAGAAGGTTCAAGTAGTATCCGCTATTCGTCAATGGAAAGTAGTGGATGCTACAAGAACATTGTTACTCAAGCAACTGGATAAGGTTTGAAAACTGTCAGACGTTTCAAGTAGCATCCACTACTTTTTGTCAGTAAAAATTGTGGATGCTGCAAGGAAATTGTTACTCAAGCAACTAGATGAGTTTTGAAAACTGTCAGATGTTTCAAGTAGCATCCACTACTTTTTGTCTGTGGAAGGTAGTGGATACTACAAGAAAATTGTTACTCAAGCAACTAGATAAGTTTTGGAAACTGTCAGATGTTTCAAGTAGCATCCACTACTTTTCATCAGTAAAAAGTAGACAAGTGCATACTACAAGGAAATTGTTACTAAAGCAACTGGATAGATTTTGAAAACTGCTACACACATCCACTACTTTTTAGTCACTGTAGAACCCCTAAATATAAGTCTTGTAACAGTTAAGTTTAAGGCAACAAAGATTTTCTGATGCCGTATGATGCAAACAATGAATTTTGAGCTTGTACTTGTAGTTAACCTGTCTTATGATGCTTGTTCTCTTGTAGTGTGATGCGTGCCCTGGAGTTGAAACGTGTTGGAAGGAACTACTACGATCCTCTCCACCCCATCTACATCAAGCAGCACAAGTAAGGCAGCTGCCATGTCTACAAATTCCACTCGTGTTGTCTGCATGCTGTTATACATGTATATGTATATATCTTAGCTATTTTAGTTATTTTACATGGCTAGATACAGCTTGGGACCATGCTAGTTAGAAGCGTATTATAGTGAAGAGCAAAGAGCCAGCTTCAGGCCCGAGCAATCAGGCAGGCAGGCAGTTATTTTTAGTCATTGGTTTGACTGTCTGAGGGCAAATTGTAAGTACAGAAAGTACATTTAACAGAGAGATGGAAACAGTGGTAACAATATTCCACAACTAGAACTAAAAGCCAACTCGTAAACCTACTGGGTTTGACCTCTTCTTTGAGACGAGAATCGCACTTTTTCTGTAATGAGTGAGTTCCCAGCTTTTGTTTTCTTTTTACCTGTAA